TCAAGAAAAACATTTTTTTCCTTTCTTCTTTTTTTTTTGTATCTATATGAGAAGACGGATGTTAGCTGAACCTACTGTGCTAATGATTTTACAATGTATGTAAATCAAACCATCAGGCTGTACACCTTAAACTTACACAGTCATGTTGTCAATTATTTCTGAATTAAACTGGGGGGAAAGAAAGAATCTGAGCAACAGGAAGGAATGATGGGTGTGGTCAGTGTGCGGAAGTTGTGAGGCATCTGACCCTGTTTTCTCTCTTTCCCCCTCCATTCCATTGCTCTTCTATCAGGATGCTTTCAGCTGCAGGTAACGGAGATCAGGACTTAAATAACAAAAGTATGTCATTATGTCAAGTAACAAGAATTCTGGAGATAACTGATTTGGGGGTTGATTTGGCAACACCAGCACATCACAGTTTGCATCTCTGATTCTTCTGATTCTTGGACTCTTCAGCCACAAGAGGTCTATTCCATCTCCAAATACAACAGATTCTCCCCACCAGTATTGCAAGGAAGAAAGAGGGCCCAAAGGATGGAGTTGGGGGTGGGGTTCCTTTATTAAGGAGCCGCCTATCATCCTTCCCTTTATACTCATTGTTTGGGACTGGGTCAAATGGCTACCCCTAGCGGCAAGGAAGGCTGGGAGAGTCTCTGGCATAAGGGATGGGAAGAGCAGTGATTGGTTTACAGCAGGGCTTCATCCCCTGGGGCTGGGCATGTTGCTGCCCAGAACTAAATCAAGGTTGTTCTAGCAAGGAGGATGGGGCAATAGCTCTCAAGATTCAGATTCCCAGGAAAGAATCAATGGGCCTAGCTTGGGTCATCGTGTTTGAGTCACAATATATGATTGAAAGGTAATCTTCTGAAAGGAGGCAGGATCCTGTGGCTGGAAGAAGGGAGATGGAAGCTGAGTGTAAAAGAGACACAGCTCCCTCTCCCATCGACCTTTTCAGATAGCATGACAGGCTACATAATTTGTGGGGCCCAGTGCCAGTAAAAATGTGAGACCCCTGTTCACAAATTATTACGAATTTAAAGATGGTGGGACTTCCCTGGTGGCGCAGTGGTTGAGAGTCTGCCTGCCAATGCAGGGGACATGGATCAAGCCCTGGTCCAGGAAGATCCTACATGCCGCGGAGCAACTAAGCCCGTGTGCCACAACTACTGAGCCTGTGCTCTAGAGCCCGTGAGCCACAACTACTGAGCCCACGTGCCACAACTACTGAAGCCCGGGTGCCTAGAGCCTGTGTTCCACAAGAGAAGCCACCGCAACGAGAAGCCTGCACACTGTAACAAAGAGTAGCCCCCACTCGCCACAACTAGAGAAAGCCCGTGCACAGCAGTGAAGACCCAATACAGCCAAAAATAAATCAATAAAAATAAACAAATAAATTTATTTTTAAATAAATAAATAAATAAAGATGGTGACTAGCATGGGGCCATGTGTGACTGCATGGGTCACACACCCATGAAGGCCCTGGGCCTGGCTCAGAATGGAGTGACCATTTCAGGAGAGTCAGCCTTGGGTGGGTGTTTCAGGGTCTGTTTTTGTATGAAATTGGATTAAAGACATTCATGAATGGTGGGGAAAGTAGTGATTTATATTGTTATAATTCACATATGTCCAGGCTTTTATACAAACTATTAGTTAAAGAGCAGCGAAAGAGGTGACCACACCCCATCTTTGTGTATAACCCCAGGCAGAGGCAGAATTCAGAGAAGACAGAGTTCTGAGGGGGCTTCTACTCTATCCCAGGTAGACTAAGCGGGATGGCACATTGGCTTTATTTCTCTTGCCCATTCAGAGTTGGCCGTGCCAGTCTATTATTTGATCATCTCAGTGGCCCTGTATGGTGCGACGTATTATCTCCATGAGGTCACTGAGGCTCAGAGAGGTCATGGTTATCCGTGGTACATGGTCAAGCTGGGATTGGAAGCTAGGCATTCTAAATCCAGAGTTCGTGTATGTCAGCACTCTGAACTGGCAGCATTAGAACAAGTCTAATGCGATTGAGGAAACTGTAAGCTGTGGGCTTGGTAAGACCAGACATAAAAGGGCTGTTTTTGAGGGACTTAGACTCCTAGGGATGGTTTGATAAGGGCTATCACTCCAGCAACAGAAATGCAGGATGGATTATAGCCCCAGCATGTCAACAGGAGATCAGTCAGGGAGGCTGAGCCAGAAAATAAACTTAATTTTTCTCACAAAAGTGTCTGTCATACTTGGTCAGTTCCTGAAATTAATCCACTAGCCAGGAACATTTGTCTAAATACTTTTAATTAAAATGCATTATAATAGGATGAAAACCAGAGTACAAACACAGTATTCATGTTTACTAAGAAAACGGATGAAAATATTCCAGATCGCTGAATACATTTGGATAATTAAATTGTAAACAGCTTCTTGGTTTTAATTTTATTTAAAATATTTACATAGTTAAAAAAATAACTTGCTGTTCACTTTCTACCAAAATGCAGGAAATGTTGAGACATTTTAAATTAGTAGAGATTCAGCACACATAAATAAAAGTCCTGTTTCAACTGCAGAATGATAATACTCCTGACCTGTACCACCCATATCTTGGCGATCAACCAGTCCCATTCCATTTGGAGAATAATGTCAGCCTCAAATTCAATTTATCTAATGTCCAAAGTTTGTGAAAGTGTCAAGTTTTATGAGATTTCTCAGTGAAATTAAGACACTGCTAAGCTCATTTCAAAATCAATTTTCTTTCTAGGACAATTCTTAGGAACCTCAAGAATCTCTCACTTTATATAATAAGCAGTATACATTCAAGGGTTGATATCTAAAATAATAAGTACATTTACATAAAAAAGATTCCTTATTAAGGACATTTACATGAAAAAGATTCCTTATTTATTCCTTACATAAAAAGATTCCTTAATAAGATTCCTTATTATTCCTTCCTGTTCACAGTGAAGGTGTCTTTGAAATATTTTGCCATCTACTAAAGGGCAATAAGTTTACTTTATTGATATATCTGAACTACTTGCTAAAGATGGAAGCATTCTCTATGCTTGGGTCATAGAACATATAGTACAAATATGAAAATGAGGAATGGGGATGGTAAAGAAAAAAATTAGCCCAAACCTCCATACTTCTCTTATTTAAAAGGTGTTTACCAGTGAAATTCTGTCTGTACAATATTTTTTAATTACAGCATTATTTTTAACAGCATAAGATTGGAAACAATGCAAATGGCCATCGATGGGACAGTGGTTAAATGTTATGGTACATCCATACAGTGGACTAGATTGCAGTCCTGAAAAATTAAGCGCACCCTTTATGTTCTGATAGGAAACAATCTCCAACATAAATCAAGTGAAAAATAACAGCAGCTCTAGTATGTTACCATTTGTGGGGGGGAAAAAAGGAAGGAAACAAGAATGAATTTACATATTTCCTTGTGCAAGCTTAAAAATATCTCTGAAACAATAAACAAGAAACTGATAATAGTGGTTGCTTCCAGGAAGGGGACCAGGGAGGTTGGGCATCTGGAGTAGGAGGGAGAATTTTTACTGGATATCCTTTTGTACACATGTAAATATGTTATTACATTTAAAAATAAATAAAAATTTTTTTAAAAGGTCAAATAATAACATTTCTCATCACTATACTCAATATAATGATTACTCCCAGCACATGATATGTCATGGACCAGGTGAATCTGCTTGTTACCCTGGGATTTGAAAATGCTTAGAGCGGTCTGGGAATCCCCATCCTGTTTACTTCTTTTCACAGGGGAAATGAAAGTTCTGCTGTAGTTGAATGGATAAAAACACAACTTTGCCAGCCTTCAGAGGGCCCTTCAGTAGTTCCCAAGGTTCCTGTGATTTTATATGAAATGGGCAGGACTGGAATAACAGGTCTTTTGTATTCATTGTTGCTGATGGAAACAAATGGCCTAATACTAGTTTTTGTTTTTAATCACTGAAGAGCCATTCAGTATGCAAATATAATCCTCTCAATAAATATTCATTTGACTGAATGACTCTTTTTCCTTTTTTTTTTAATTATAAAAGCAACACGACTTGATCTGAAGAAACCTCAGAAACTTCAGTGATGTCGGCCATGAGACTCCACCTTCTAGGCTTAAAGGAAGTTACTACCATCCTCTCTAGAGCAAGGGTGTAAAAAGCAAGTCATAGATTAATCCCCGCTGAGGAGGCTTGGGTAACTGGCAGAGCAGATGCTCAGAAGCGCTCAGACCCCTTCCCAGTAAGCCATTTCCGTTGTATCTGTTCTAAGATAACAGCATCACTGAGAAGGGAATATAGTCTGGGGAAGGTAAGTACTAACTGTCCTAAGGAGCAGCGCGTTCCTTATGTGACCGCCCAGCAAACAAAAACAGCATTGGACCATGGGTCACATGTGCCGGAATTCCCACTTAGTCAAAAAAACAGTGTAGCTGCCCTCCCTTCCGCCGGAAAGGTTTTCTATTCTTGAAATGTGGGAGACAAATTCCTGAGGGGAAAACCCAAACATTCAACAACCGTTTGCTTCTCCAACAAGGCTTCCCATATGTTGAAGCCCCACGGAAGAGTATTTTGTTCTTAAAAATAATAACAGGCGGGGGGCAGGTAGGGTTCTCTAGTGACGGTGGGAACTTCGGGGCACAAACACTGTGAAGTTTGTTAATTTCAAGACCAGCCCTGGGAGACAGAGAAGCTGACATCAGGGCAGGATCGCTGGCCGAGCTGCTAACTGAGAGCAACTGAGGCCACTACTGCAGACCAGCGTCTTGGCCTTCTTGCGGTGCAGGGACTCAGGGCTCACGGGGAGCAGGGGAGCGGGGGAGTGGGCGGGGCGGGGGGGCGCACCTGCTGGGTTGTGGCACACTAGCTACCGCCTCCCTATTCCTCCTCCTTCTCCCCCTCCTCTCCCTCCTCCCCCTCCTCCTCCTCCTTCCCCTCCCCCTCCTCCCCCTCCCCCTCCTCCTTCTCCTCTCCCTCCTCCCCCTCCTCTTCCTCCTTCTCCTCCCCTTCCTCCCCCTTCTCCTCCCCCTCCTCCCCCTCCCCCTCCTCTTCCTCCTCCTCCTCCTCCTCCTTCTCCTCCTTCTCGGGGATCTCCACCAACAGGATCTGTTCCCCGGGATCCAGGCCTGGGCTCATGTGGATCCGCACCGAGTGCTCCTCGGGCCAGGCCGCACCCCCCTCTTCTCCCTCGGACCTCCCCTGGGATGCAGGTGGCGGAGAGCCTGGGGCCGGGGTCTCCGGGGCCGCGGGCTGTTTTGAGGTAGCTGATCCCGTCTCTCCCGCTGCGTCTTCCGAACTCTTGGCCTGGAATCCAGAAAAAGTGACTCGTGAGGCAGAGGGGTCTTGGACACTTCCCAGTTCCCTCCTTCTTGGACCCCTGGGACCCCTGAGGAGGAAGACAGCGCTCCAAAATCTAATAGCTGGAAGGTTGGGCGGAGCTGCATCAGGGTTATGTGGTAGAAACAGTATATTATGGGGAAGTTGAAGGATTAAAAGCCCCGGTAGGATGTGGTGAAGCTCTTTGGGATATTTTATGTCTCTGTGGAGTTGCAGGGCCGGAAGCCTGAGTGAAGTTGCTAGTTCAAGGGCAGAGCCCCGTCAACAGTCACTGAGCTATTGAGGGAAGAGAGGCTGTGACCAGGAGGGAGCACCACCAAAACCTCTGCAGAGCTCAGCCAGCCTGCCCTGCCCGGTTAGCCGGGATGTGTACTCCCTGGTGAATGAGAAAAGCTCTAAGCAAATACTAAGGTAAAGGCTGATGAGGGCAGGAGCAGCTGTGGCCTGGCCCGTTTCCTGGAAGGTCTCAAAGGTTGAGACACCGCCCCCCCTCCCCACCGGCGGGAGAATGGGCTGGGTACCACTGGCATTAGGCTGGGCTGAGCCCCTGTGTCTGGAGACTTGGTGGGTACCTCCAACCTCCAGCCTGCGGGTTTCCCATGGATGGGGTTCCCGTGGGTAGAATTAGGGAATTGGGTGAAAACCCAAGCCTTGTGGATACCCACGGCCCCTCCTGCTCTCTCTGACGCCATCTCTGCATGGGAGGAAACTGGGGAGGGAGCAGCCCCCAGAGCAGGAGGCCCAGTGGTCTGTAGGGAGTTTAAGGTGAGAGCAGTCAGCGTGCTTATGAGGAATAGAGAAGTCAGAGGGCGCTGAAGGAGGAGAATTGGGTGGGGTGGGGGGAGCCAGGACACTCCTAGATCCCGCGGCAGCTCTGGGGACCTGCCGCTCCCTCTGTCTCCACGCACTTCTGCATGTTTCGGTGCACCTGTTCCCCCCACCCCCACCCCGCCCATCCACTGTCAACTCTGACAACACACTTCCAGGGCAGGATGCCCAGATGGTGCCCATTATGGGATCTTCTTGAAGCATCCTGCTGTGAATGGAGCCAGAAGGATCATGGGAAGTTTGATCAAGTGCTTCACTGTGTTTAACATGCTTTTATGAAAGTATCCAAGGTAACCTGCTTCACCTCTGCTACCCCATGTGACAGCCAGGAGTAATGTGGGCCCCAGAAGGTCCTGGAGGAGATTCCCCAGGACACAGGGCTGGCAGTGACAGAGTCAGGATTTGGACCTGTGTCTATAGGCTGCTGTTTAAGAGCTCCATGTACTCTGCCCTTCTGCCCTGGTTGTTCTAAAATTGCCTTTTATGAGAACACTCATGCAAATTTAATTCACATCTCCAAGCTGCCTGGGTGAAGAGCTAACACTTAGAAGCAACAAATCCCATTTCAGATAAAACCTTTCACTGCACTGAGAACATTCTCGGAGGTCATGTTCACTCAGTCCCACACACCAGCCAGCACTAAAGACCCCAACTTGCCAGCTCGACCCTGCCCTTGACAGTTTGTGAGCCAGACAATCACATCTGTCCTCAATTTGGGGCCATCGGTGGATGCATCTGGAGAATGTACTGGAACCCTGGGTGACTTTGGTGTCATTCCCCAACTCCTGCTGTCAAATGACCTCTGGATCGGTCTCCTGGACCAGCCTGGATTGAGACTGAGTTCAGCAGCCTCCTCTGATTTCTGTCATGTAGACTGCTGTCCCCTCCCTGCCACTGAGCTTCTGCCTGACCCCACCCCCCCTTTCCCAGCAGCCTCCCTAAAGGACAGTCATGAACAACCATAATTAGTGCAATCATCCTAACTGGCACTCTTGGCATTAGTCGCAGAAAAAAGTCCCAGAATTAGTTAAAAATTCCGTTTAGACTTAGGGGGTGGGGACAGTTGGCACCATGCCTGTCACCTTGGATTTTCCTTTCAGATCTTTTAAATGGTCACAGACACAACATTAAATATGAGAACGTCACTGTGGTCTGGGGAGGGACACTCCCTGCCCACACCCACTGCTCCTACCTCTGTAGCAGCAGCCGGATGTCCATTTGGGGGGATGTGCCCACCCCAATCCCCACTCTCAGTCCAGGGATGGGCATATGAGCCAGTCCTCCCCAGAGCACCACACTGAATGGCTCAGGAACTGACATGTGACCCAATTCTGTCCAGTGGCTATGAGCCCTGGGACTTTTTGCTGAAGCTACTGAGAAAGAGGTACTTTCTTTCTGTGGGAGTTCCTCAACCAGGAGGATGTGATCTTGGGGGATGTCCTCTTAAGCTCTTGGGGGACTGCCTGGGAATGGAGCCATCCCCAAGGGAAGCAAAGGTGATAGAATGGCAGAACTCATCCTACTGGCATCATTTGAACTTTTAGATCCAGCCTTGCCTGAACTTTTCAATGACTTGCTCCTATAAATCCCGTTTTTTCAAGCTAATTTGAGCTTGCACTGTCACTTGCATTTCTATCACTTAAAACCAAATGAATCCTGACTGATAGGAAGAAGGAAAAACAGTCCCTAAAATGGAATGCGTGGGTCCCTAGGCCTTCTTCCTGGCACGTGGTTGAAATGGACCAGGGGGCTGTGTCTCCAACTGCATTACCTGTTCCAGCACCTGCTCCTGTCTTGCAGCCGCCTCCAGCGCAGCCAGCTCCTTGAGTCGCGCCCTGAGGTGGGCAAGCTTGCCATCTTTGGCCCCCTTGGCACCCATCTTTCCTGCTGCAGCCAGGGCGGCACTGAAGAGCTTGGGGGTGCCTGGCCGTGGAGGAAGGATGAGTACGCTCTGCTCCTTGGGTTTGTTGTCATTTCTCAGCATTCTCCTGAAAGAAAGCAGCGTCCACTAACATGACCAGCAAGCTCTGGGAGAGAATGAGGCCGCGTTGGTTCGGGCAGAGCCCTTTAGTTGAGTTGTGTGATGGTGTTTGTTTTGACTAACAGTTTCTGAGCTCCTTTTCTGAGCCCAGCACAGTGCTGTTTGAGGCATCACATCTCACTGAACAATCAGAACAACCATAATGATGTGGGTCTTATTGCCTGTACGTTATAGATGAGGCTCAGAGGGGTTGAGTGGCTTTTCTGAGGTCACACAGGAAATGATGCAGGATACTTTAGTATATAGAATCAGAAATAGGATGTCCAGATGAAAAAGAACCCGAGCTTTCTGCTTCTCCTTCTTTTGCTTCATTGTCATTTCACCATCATCACCATCACCAATGTGGACACAAGTGTCTGTATGTGTCAGGCTCTGTGCTCAGACCTTTACAGGCAGGCATTCTTTGGTGACCCCTGTGATCCCCCTTCCTGGTGTTCACACCTCTGTGTGAACCCCTCACCTTGAGCGTAGTGGGACATGTGACTTGCTTTCAACCAGTGGAATACAACAAGGGAGATCAAATGTCATTTTTGTGAATGTGTCACATAGGATTGTGGTCTCTGTCTTATAAGAAGACTCTCCCTTGCTGGCTGTGATGAAGCAAGCGGCCACGTTGGGAGAGGCCTACATGGCAAGAACCTGAGGGCAGCCACTGGCCAATGACTAGCTAGGAACCAAAGCCCCCAGTCCCACAACCACAAGGAACTGAATTCAGTCAACAGCTATGGGACCTTGGAAGCAGATCCTTCCCCAGTCGAGACTTGAGATGAGACCCAGCTCTGGCCCACTTCCTGATTACTGCCTTGTAGTGGATGCATCTAAGCTGTCCCCAGACTTCTGACATTTAGAAACTTTGAGATAATAAATATGTGTGGTTTTAAGCCACTCAATTTGTGGTAACATTGTTACACAGCAATAGATAACTGATACGCACTTTAAGTCTCACAGTAATCCTTACAGGTAGGTCCTATTATTCTCCCTCATTTCAAATGAGGATGTGGACGTCCAGAGGGGCTGAGTAACTTTTCCAAGCCCACACAGCTGGGAAGTGGCAGAGCTGGAATTCAAACCCCTGCCTTTGACCCCAGCACCCCAAGTCTTAAGGATTACAAAGCAGTATCATGGTCATTATCTTCTTGGACGCTGACAACACTCCACGACCTGGAAAGGGCTGGGATTACCGTACCTAGAAGGGTTGGGGAAACTGAGGCTCAGAATGGGAGGAGTGACACGCCCAAGGTTACAGGAAGTGGCAGAGACAGAATTACAACCCAGATCCAATGCAATATACCACGCTGCTTCTCTAAATAAGGAGAGAATTTTCCATCAAAGAGAGCCCCAGCTTTTATTAAGGAATTCTTCACACTACAAATACATGATGAGTGGTTTGGCTCAAGAACAAATGAGTTTCGCCTGCAGTCTAGCAGGTCTAGACGACTAATTGGCAAATTCATTCATCAGGGTTCCGGCCAAACTTGTTTGTTTAAAAATGAGGCCATTACTGGCTGCTTATCTAATCAGAGGCAATGGATTTAAATTGTGCATATTGATATTAATTGCCCAAGACTTACATTTTTGAGCTGGGGCTCTCCCAGGAGACCACAAACATGATAATTTTCAGAGGCCTCTTCCAAGCCCAGCGCTGTCACCTGTGTTATTTGAGTCCATAATTCACAGCATGGCAGTCCGTGGGAAGGCTCGGTGTGGTACTCAAATGACACGAAAGAACCATCTACAGGCCCTTTGCTGGTCGCTGATTATCTCTGTTTTGAAACACTGAGCTGACTTCTGGGACATTTCCAGATCAAGGAAATTTATCCTCATTTTCAGATGACATGAGTTTCACTCTAATTACGGTATAATTCACCCCCGGAGAGAGTGGCATGCAGGAGAGCTTTTTGCCCCATTTCTTGGAGTGGCCAAGTCAGAGGGTGAAGTGTCTCACTTCTTTGGGGCCTCAGGTCCCCCATCTGTAAAGTGGGGAGCTTGGACAGAATCTCAGCAACTCAGACTTCCCCAGGCCCTGTGGTTCTCAGACCTATATCTCCTTGGATGGGCAGAGCTCATCTGTGATCCCCTGCCCCTCTCCTCAAGCTTGCCTGTCCAGAGAAGCAGCCTCGGCTGCTGAACCGTGCCACGGCCCGCTGTGTGCAGCACGGCCCGCCAGCCCCTCCTCCTTCCTCTGGCTGCCTCACCCCAGCACACCGCAGGCATGGCCAGGAGCAAGGCCTCTGTGGGATCCCGGCTGACTTGCTAAACCCACACCTAACCCAGCCGGAGGAATGGGATGACAGCTATGAGTGTGGCTTTTCTGAGCCATGTTCCTCTTGCAGGGGGCAGGAAGGCAGGGGGAGGGGAACCCGGTACCTATTCTCAGACATGAGCAGTCAGTTCTCATTATCCGCGGTAGTTAAGTTCTGTAAAGTGTCTGCAGACACGGAATTAGTGACTACTGAGCCATGGCTTCTGGGGGAAATACAGGATTCGGTTACGGTGAGCCTCTCCACACGTTTTCATCAACTGTTCATTACATAATCTTGTCTTGTGTGTGTTTCTGTTTAAAGACATCTTATTTAATATACATCATTGATTTGTTTACAATGAACGCGCGGCTCTCTAACTCAGGCCCGCGTGGGGCGACACGAGATAGCACTTCAGCACTACACCTGGGGCCATTTCAACAGCAAAATCCCCAACAAAAATCACAAAAATGTGAAAAACATGCTACATAATGGGCCACACAAAGACACTTGTTTACAATATGAGCTGAAACAAGAAGGCAGACCGTCACCCTCTTCAACTTTAGCTGGGAATGTGCGCTTTAGGTGACTCCAATTTTTGCCTCTGGGCACACGTCTGCGAGTGTCTGCGTGAGCCTTTGAGTATTGATTTGGGGATTACAAATAAATTTAGTGAGTAGGCGAATTGCAAGTATGGAATCTGTGAATAATGGGGATTGACTGTGCATCCTTGTCCCTTGGGACAGTAGGGGGACGTGGATAGACTTGGGGGAAAGATCACGTATACCGGCCACTGGAAGGGCCCCATGGCTTCTCTAAGAACAGCCAGGTAAGATGAATTACAGAGCAGCCTCCTTCCCTGGGAGACCCCAACGCCTTGTCTATATTATGCTTTAAGGTCAACACTGCGTCCACTCACCTGGGAGCTGCCAAAGGGATTCTGTAAAAACTTAAGTCACAGTAAGTCACTCCTCAGTGTAAAACCCTGCATAGCTCCCATCTCCCTCAGAGCAAAAGCTAAAGCCATTGTGAGGCTTCCCCTACAAGGCCCTACCCAATCTCACCCCCTACACTGCTCCCATCCCATATCAAGCTACATTCACTTTCTTGTTGGTCTCCATGTAACACTGAGTCTGTGCCTCCTTGGGACCTTTGCACATGCTGTTCCCTCTGCCTGGAATGCTTTTCCCTGCAGGCAGTTCCCCAGCTCACTCCTTCACTCTGGCGGGTCTCAGTTGAAGTGCCACACCCTGAGAATAACTTTTCCTGACCAACTTATCTCACATAGCTCCCTCCATCACCTCTATCTCTTCATGTGGCTTTATGTTTCCTTATGGCCTTTATCCCCAGCTGACACATCACATAGTCATTCCTTTCTCCATTGTTGGCTTCCCCGACTAGAATGTAAGCTTTGTTTGCTCCCTCCTGTGTCCCCAGGGCCTCGAACTATCAGCTCAATAAATTATTGTGCTGTATGAATGGACATGGTGAGTTTGTTCCCTTTATTATGACCACTCTCTCTACAGATTATTTATGGTGACTGAAGTGGAAAATATGAATATGTGATAAAAGGCAAGGGAGGAAATACCAGATAGGTGGATTAAAAAGGCTTTATCCCATGGGAAAATTATAGAGAGAATTTAATGGATAAAGAGGAACAATTATTATTATTAACATGTATTGAGCTCTCCTGTGTGCCAGGCCCCCTGCTAGAGACATTCACATACACTATTTTATTTAATCGTCTCCACAACAAAGTGATTACCCTTATTTTACAATGGAGAAACTGAGACCAGAAAAGTAAAGTAACTTTTCCAAGGTCACACAGCCAGTACTGCACATGGACAGGACTTGAGCCCTATCAGCCTCCCAAGTCTATTGTGCATTTTCTACCACATCGTGCTGCTTCCATCACTCAATTTAAAACCTGATCTTAAGTGTTTGAAAGCAAAAAACTGCTTTTCTTAAAAATTACCTTTTCCAGGGAATTCCCTAGCGGTCTAGTGGTTAGGATTCCAGGCTTTCACTGCTGGGGGCCCAAGTTCAATCCCTGGTTGGGGAACTAAGATCCCACAAACTGTGTGGCATGGCCAAAAAAAAAAAAAATTACCTATTCCCCAACAATACAAAATACAGATGCACAAGGTTATTCATTGCAGTACTATTTATAATTGCAAAATATTGGAAATAGCCTAAATACAGTTGTTAAAAGGAATGAGGAAGCTGTGTGTGGACTCAGTGAATGTTTTCTGGGATTTCTCGTCAAGTGAAAAAAAGTCAAGTGCAAAAGAGAATCTGCAGTGTGCTATCCTTTGTGTAAGACAGAAAGGGAAATAAGCAAATATTCACAGATCTGCCTATTTTTGCAAAAGGAAACACAAGAAGAAAAAAGCAGAAACTAAGGCGATTAGATTCCTGTAAGGGGTGGGTGGCAACAGGTGCAGGGAGCTGGGATCCTGAATGCACTGTTTTGTAGCCTTCTTCCATGTTCATGTTCTACATATTCAAAACACAAAAAATCAACAAGGGTCAGTGTGGGGGAACCCTGAAATGGAATGCAAACTGAAACACGTGAGCCTAGCTGTATTTCAAATGAACGGAACAACCACAGTAAAGGGAGGAAGACAGAGAACCAATCCAGATAACCCTGAACACAACACCTACATCGTGGGTCCTCAGGCTAAAGACAGAAAGAACTGCTCTCTGCTTAGAAGGCTTTCTTCTTTCCAGTAGTACGAAATAGGAATTCTGGTGCTACTTTCTCTACATTGTAGGGCTGAACAAATGAATCAATGTAATGAGGATAAAGGGAGTCAAATTTCTCAGTGTCGGAGAAGGAATTTACAAATATGGAAAAGGAGATTAGAATGAACTCTGTGATGTTGGATCGAAATTGTTAGATAGGTGGAAATAGAGACAGAGATATACAGAGATATAGATAGACACAGACAAAAAAATAGATGTTGATATATATGTATATGTATGTGCATATACATATATGTATGTGTGTATATATATATATATATATATATTTGCATTTATACATACAGGTGTATATGTAGATGTATTTCCCAGCTCTGTCCACTGTGGAGGCCTAGTAACACCCCAGTAGCAATGAGAGCACTTAGTACTAATATCTTGGTTTCTAAAAACCATTCCCCTCTAAAAGGAATCAAGCCTCCTTGGAGAAATGCCCATTTCCAGGGATGCAGCAGGGAAAGTATAAGATGAATCTACGGCGTTTTATTGTGCCTATAAGCAAAAAAGTGCTAAAATATAACAGGGACGTAACAAAAGTTCACTATATTCGGCCTACAGAGGTGTCCAGTGGCCAATGTGGAACAATTTGAGCGTGAAAATGATTGTAACAGGATATTCGTGGAATACAGCAAATCCATACCATTATAAATAGATAAATGAAAAATCAAATAAATGGGAAAGAAAAGAAAGTTCTTCCTTACAGTACATTGCTAGCTAATAAATGTAGAAAGCATGACAGAGTTAGAAAATCACCATTTTGCAAGCACCATGGCAGTCATTGCAAGGAACCTTCAGTGGAGACTGAAAGTAGTGAGGTAAAGTGAGATAAGGAACAGGAAATCTACATCATCTCAAGGTGACTCGCCACTCATTACTTATTAATTTCAAAGGGAAAAATAGTAATTTGAGAGTGTGGAAACTTTAACCAAGTGATCAGAGTAAAAAAATCATCAGAATAGGGAGAAAGCAGCCTCTCAAGACACTGTACTGAGAAGGACACAACATCACTTCTGAGTAATTCCTGCCCAAAATGCAGAACCTGAAGGTAATGATGAGAAAACATATAAACTTAAGTGGAGGGACATTCTACAGAATAACTGGCCTGTCCTCTTCAGAGAAGTCAAAATCACTGAAGATAGGCAAAGGTGAGGAACTTTGATCCCAGATCAAAGGAGACTAAAATGGCAACATCATGCAGTGGGGGATCCAGGAATGGAAAAGAAGAAAAGAAAAGCTATAAAAGACACTATTGGGACGATTAACAAAATTTGACTATGGATTAGGGATGAGATAAGTATTGCTTCAATATTGAATTTCGTGATTTTCAGAAAGGTACTACAGTTATGTAAAAGAAGGTCTGAGTCCTTAAGAAATGCACACTAAAGTATATATGGATTTCTTTTATTAAAAAAAAAAAAAATGTACCTGGCTTTCTTCCGGAGCAACTTCTGAGACTCAGGATAATGCACCAAAATGTCATTCAGGTCCTTCTTATCCAGAATGAAGAGGTTGGTGAACCCGTGGGCTATCACGTTAGCCGTGCGCCGGTTCCCGCCCCCAACAGCCAGCAAGCTGGGGCAGAGAAGGGAGGGAGGTGAGACCCTCAGGAGGCTGCAGTTCTGATCACACTTAGCATCTTCACTTTCACCCCTGCCTGGAGCATCACGATGGCCTCACACGGGTGAGAGCTGGGCCCACCTTGCATATGTCAGCAGGTGCCAGTGCTGTATGCATAGCGGTTTCCTCAGACCCACCGAAGGGCCCTTGAGGACGTGGTCCCACCCCCTGGCCATCCCTCCCTTCCCCAGCCTTTGCCGAGGTCCCCTTGTTTCACCCCGTTCTGACCTTATTTCTCCAAACACAGATCCAGCTTTCAGCGTCACCAGCACGGACTTCCCATCCGGGCCACCCAAGACCTGCACCTGCCCCGCCTGGATGATGTACATCTCCCGGCCTATCTCCCCCTGAAACAGAGAAGGGGGCGAGTCCCTCTGTGATCACCAAAAGCAACCACAGAAGCAGCAGGGCTAGGCCCAGGCGCTGGTGGCACAGTGCAGAGGAACCTGGGCTGGGATCGAGCCCTCCTACCGACTTGGTATGTGGTGTAGAGATAGTCACTTCCCCTCCGGGGTCTCAGTCTCCCCACCTGTAGATTGCAGGATTACGGTGGGGAGTTAGTGGTGTGATGGAAAATGCTAGATAACGAGGCCCAGGTGTAGTGCTATTTGGTAAATTTCCAGCTATACGCACCCATGGAGGGCCCAGAGGCATGGAAAAGCTCACAGTGGTTCATACAATCAGGTGATATCTGCGCCTCCCCCATATCCTATCAGGAGCTTGGGCGGCATTTGCTTACTGAAATAGGAATGATAACAGCTTTAATAGGAATGTCCACCATTCCCTAACGCTTTTCTGTGCCAGGCGCTGCTCTAAGTGCTTTATGTGACTGAGCCTCCTTAGTCCTCAACAGCCCTCTGCGGTAGGAACTCTGCCCAAGGTCACAAAGTTAAGCAAAGCCGAGCCGGGATTTGAAAACAGGCAGTCTGGTTCCATGAACCCAGAGTTCACGGTTGTTACGAACCCCCATTCATATGTTGAAATCCTAACCACCCCCGGCTCCTCAGAATGTAACCTTATTTGGAAATAGGGTCATTACAGATGTAATTAGTTAAAAGAAGATGAGATCATACCGCAGTTGGGTGAGCCCCTAATCCAATAGGATTGGTGTCCTTATAAAGGGACATTTGGGCACAGAGACAGGCGTAGAGGGAAGACAGTGTGAAGAGGCACAGGGAGAAGGCAGTCATCTACAAGCCAGGAGAGGAGCCTGGAGCAGATCCTTTGCTCACCGTCCTCAGAAGGAACCTACCACACCGACACTTGGATCTCCGACTTCTAGCCTCCAGAATTGTGAGACAATACAGTTCTGTCATTTAAGCCATTCCATTTGTGGTACTTTGTTGTGGCAGCCCTAGCAGGCTGATACAACGGTCTTAATCACAAATTAAAACCAATGAACGAATGAATGAATAGCTTTGCTTCGGACTAGAATCAGAAATACCCAGTCTGCCAGCACCTTCCAATCCTTATGCCTTCACAGACCGGTGCCCTGGCCACACCTGGTGTGTGTAAAGGGAGAGTGACCAAAGACTGGTAAGTGGCTTATGCTTTTGATTCATTTGACAAATATTCCCTGGGCATCTCACACATGCATGGCCTTCTTAACAAAAAGGAAGAAAGTCTCCTTCCCCTGTTTCAGTGTCCAATTTGACATGGGGCTGAAGTGTGAGGGGCTGCAGAGCTCACCCTCATCTCACTGACCCGCCCAGGGGTGGTCCTGGGGTGGCCTCGGGTTGTCTCAGCGAGATTGTCACAGCGCCAAGCCTGTCAGCAGAGGGCGCCATTTACACACGTTCACCAAGTGTTCACTTCAGCTTCCACGGCAAACTTCCCAACAATCTGATTCATTTTTCCTCATCAGAGGTAAAGTCTACATCACCCACAAGGATATTAGCAGCAGCAATGGCACTGACTCTGTGCCAGCCATGGTGCCAAACTCCCTATGCATATCTTCTTCAATTCTCACAGTCACCCCATGAGGGAGATACTATCAATGACCCTACTTACCCTTGAAAAGAGTCAGGCTCAGAGAGGGCAAGCCACTTCCCCAAGGCTGCACAGCTAGGAAGTGGCTCCAATGTCAGACAAATCATTCTGTTGTTCCCAAACTTCTCTTGGCCGCTAAGGCTGCAGCTTTAAATTCTCAGCCATACCCTTGTCCCCATTCCCCCAGCTCTTTGCTTCCAGAAACTTCACTGTTATGCAGCATACAGCTTGGAGATGGGGCCCTTCTGGGGCTGGGGGGTCCTGAGTTTCACAGGGGGTTCTTGGGCAATATTTTCACCCCTGTATACACACTAAGCTCCTCCACCCTGATCACTCACTCACCAAGTGAGCTCCGTCTCACCTCGAATCCCAAAAAATGGGAGCAGAAGGGGCCTTAGACACTGTCTAGCCCTGGCATTCAAACCCAAATGAGTCCCAGGATCAGGTGGATAATGTAAAGGAGAGGAGGGAGCCTGTGGGGCAGTGGAGAGTGGTGGGACCTGTGGCATCAGGAGAGGACGACATCCCCTTCAGGGCCAGCCCCTTCTCCACTCCACATGATTCTGGCTATTTGGGAAAGTGGGGCTCAATGCTAGCCGATTTTCTGTTTTCAGCCGGAAATCTGGATTTTTATGTGAAACCTTCCAGTTTTTTTTGGCAGTGCTGCGCACTTTGCAGGATCCTAGTTCCCTAACCAAGGACTGAACCCAGGTCACGGCAGTAAAAGCACCAAGTCCTAACCACTGGACCTCCAGGGAATTCCCGAAACCTTCCAACTTTTAAAGGTTGGAGACTAATTCAAATTTTTATTTTTAGATTAGTCCAAAAAAAAGAAGGAAAAAAAAAACCCCATGAAACATCTGTGGGCTGGCTCCTATGCAAGAACCATTAGTTTGCAATCTCTGACCTATCCTACCCCTCCTCCAGCCCCATTTTCCTGACAGGAAGACCAAGACCCTGGAAGCAGGTCCATCTACACAGTCAAGACCCTGCCCCTCTCTATGCTCCTCACTTTCCTCTTCTATAAAGTGGGGCTCCTCGTCCTGGCCCCCATGGCCCCAGGAAGAGGGAGCAAGGCCTGAGGCACATCTGAGTTCAGTGCCTAGAGCTGGACAGAGCCTCCTCGTGCCAAACAAGCCAGGAGCCCTGGGGTCAGCTCACCACCCTCCTCCCCTCCTGGCAATTCCACTCGCCCCGCTGTGCCTTCATAGGCCCCCGCTCCAGCCCAGCTGCGACAGGCAGTGGCTGTGAATCCCAGACCGCCTTGAGGCTGCCCTGGGCCACTCACCTTCTTGCACACGTAGTCGTTGGGCAGGTAGACAACAGAACGAAGTCTCTTCAGCATGTCGAAGATCATCTGCCGGTCACAGCCCTGCCCCGAGAGGACGGGAAAGGAGCCGTTTAGAGGAAGGTGTGGGCTCTGGACCTTCCAGAGTCTTGAGGGTGGGGACACTGGGTGGGCCATACCTGGAAGAGTGCCACTTTGCTGACGATGTCATAGTTCACATCGATGGCGAGGTCCAGCCGCATCTTATCTGGAAGCTGCACCATCAGCTCTGACTCGTCTGCAAATGAGACCCTGCAAGGTTCAGAGGCACAGCCGGCCCCCTCCTCCACACACACAGGGCCCGTCCACACCACACTGGTGGGGACCCCAGGCACACCATTCCTCTACCACCTGGAACCACTCTAGATTGGGAGGGTATCCTCTCTGCCTCCAGGCGTTTGCCAATGCCGTTCCCTCTGCTGGGAACAACCCCCTTCACCTTCCTGGCTAACCCTACTCATTCTGCAGAACCCAGCACTCATGCCACCTCCTCCAGGAAGCCTTCCCTTGACATCCTCCCACCTAGCTATTACGTTATCAGTCCCTGTGCCATAGCACATATCACACCCTTTACTGCAATTGTTTGCCAATGATCTGTCTTCTCCACTCACATTATAAGAACAACATTAGCAAGAAATGAAGTATTTGGAGCACTTACTATGTGCCAGGCAGTTTCACAGAGTGCTTTACCAAGATGATTTCATTAAATCCTCCCAGCAGCTCAAGAGGTGCCCACTATAATCCACTTTACAGACAAGGACAGGGAGACTCCGGAGGGCAGTGACTTGCCCATGTCCGTGCAGCCCAGGGGAATGGAATCAGGACCCCACCCAGGCCCTGTGACTTCAGAACCTATGCTGCGAGAGCAGTATGTCTGCCCACCATGGGGTCTGTGGTGCACAGCTGAGAGCCTGGCACAGAATGAAGGTCGGTAACTGGAGACAGAAATGTACCACGGGGCCTCAGCCCCGTGCTCTGTCCACTGCACCACAATTAGCTTAGGGCTCAAGTGCTAGGTCTGTGCAACCCTGGGCAGGTCAGAGCCCTCTCTGGTCCTCAACATGTGCCCCTGTGAAAAGTCACAAGGCTGTCACTAGAACAGAACGAGGCAGTGGAAATGAACATGCCTTGGAAACTGTAGTCATGTGCTTTGTCCACAGACTTGCCAACACCCCCCAACTCAGGAGTCCGTGGGCCTCAAGTGTGGCTTCTTTGAGACCAGAGTGAACCCCACAGAAGCAGTGGGGGGCCCTTTCATTTTTCTGAGGGCCTTGGGAGACTCTAGGCACAGTGCCAGTGGTCCATAAGCTTTTCAGAGCCCTCCAAAACGATGTCTAGGCTCTGAAAACAAAATTACTAGCTCCCCAAAATAAAAAGGATACAGGAAAAAAATAAAGTCAATTAACATGTAATTAACCTATTCAAATTTCACTAAGGATTCCATTTAGAATCTGTGAAAACTTCACTATATTTGGAAACAGTTTACAGGTAAGATTCTCCCACTTTGCAAGAATAACGGAGCACACCTCATCATTGACAAGAAAACAGAAACAGCAGTGAATGAAAATGCATTGTTTTAGCCAATTTCAGAAGCAAAGTATAACATCAAAAAATTTTTTTAAATATATTGTAATAAACTCTAATAATCTGAAAAAGAATTTTTTAAAATTTACAAAATATGTATTATATGTATGGATGTATATGAAGAGGAAGAGAGGAGAGAGAAACAGAGACAGAGTCTTCCCTCCTGGTTCCAACTGTACTTCTATCTTCGAATGTAGATGCATTTCAAGGTGGCGGGCGGCATTCGGAAGACAAGCGCTTCATGTCTTCAGGGGTCTCCTGATGGCTTAACTTGGGCACCGCCCAATGCCTCCCCAGGCCGCTCTCACTTAAATGTTGGGGCCAAGAGAGGCCCCCATGCTCGGGGCCTCAAGGACACGGGATGAGGCCAGGGACCAGGAAGGCAGGGCACCGGGTCGGGCTGGGGGAGCTGGTGACAGCCGGGTTGGGGCAGGGAGGGGAGGGGGGAGGGGGCGTGGTCTTACCCAGCATGCCTTGGGAGTGCCAGGTGTACTCATACCAGGTCTTGACCCGGTTCTGCACGGACCTGGGGATCTTGTAGAAGTTCATGTACTTCACTGTGCTGTCCATACAGCTGCGGTAGTAGGTCTTTCCCGCAGTAGCGGCCCCCACCACGTCTCTCATCTGGGGGTAAGGAGGGTGGTCAGGGGAGCCGCTGGGTCAGAGCGGGGCCGGGCTCTGGGGACGTGTGTTGTGGGCACATTTACTTAACACAGGCCAGGGGTACGTGCCTGTGGGGCTGGGGGGAGATCAGGAGAGAGGGAATCCCATGTCCACACACAGGTTTTCCGACGATGCTGCACGTGGAGGAGCGAGGCTGCTGGCCCCCTCCCGTGGCCTCAGGTCTCTGGGGCCACACAAGGAGGGAAGGCCTCCCTGGGCTGGGCTGATTCTGGTACAACGTGGCCCCTTGGTGCCAGAGGTCACTTTGACACCACGCGCCACCCTCCCGCCCCACCCCGCCCCGAGGAAATAGGAACCAGGAGTGCTGCTCCTTGGAGCAGAGCCCCTCAAAGGTAACTCTGAGGACCCCTGGTGGTTGCCTCAGGCACTGACTACAGTATGAGCCGCACCCCCAGTACATTAGAATCCACTGGGGACTTCTCTCCAAGGGAACAGCCCAAATCCTCAGCCCCTGCAGAAAGCCATTCAGCCCAACTCTCCAGCTGTCCCAAAGGACTGACATTTCAAATGGGAAGCAACTTCAGAGAGGAAATGGGACCTACACCTCCATCACCACCCCTTCACTCAGCGGGGCCCAGAGCTCCAGGCTCCTAACTCTTGGCCCAGTGCTGTTCCTGGGCCTAGTCTGAAAGGAACGGGCACAGATGGTGATGCTTCCGGCAGCAGCAAGAGGGCAAAGGGCCCTGCAGGCAGGTGGTTTGGAACAGACTAGTGACCCAGCTACCTGTCCGATCATCACGGAGAAAGCGAAGACACCTGTGAAATAGTTCAGACCCTGGAAGACAATTTCAAAGAGCGTCCTGGGGTCGGGCAGGCCGCCGATGGTGATGAGGGTCTTCACAGCCCAGTAGTAACAGCGAATGTAACTAGGGAGAGAAGAGGAAGGGGACCTCAGTCATCACAGGCCCCGCCCTGTGGATCCTGGGCAGCCTGGCGTGGATACGTACGTGTACACTGTACAAAAGAGAAAAAGCTTTACGGCTCATAAGTGCCCCCGACCCTGCAGAGATATGTTGTCATCCCCATTTACAGATGTGGAAACTGAGGCTTCCGGAGATTACTTAGAAGACTTGGCAGGAGGATAAACCAGGGTTTTCCAGCTCCTGATGCCTGGGATCCCTCAGTTTCCCTCAATATGTTTTCAATGTCCGCAGTCTTTCCTTTGCTATCCCATCATGAGGTTTAAGAACAAGCTCAAAAGTGGAAGATATCTGGAGGATCACCTTTTCTGACCCTCCCCCTTGCCTGTCCACTAACCAGATAGTGAAATTGAGGGCCGCAGAGGGAAAGGGAAAACCCATGGTCACCAACTGGCAAGCTCCAGAGCTCAGACTGGAAACTAGATGTCATCTGCTTCTCTGAGCTAGCACCCACCATCAGTAAGCCTTTGACACAGCTCATGAATCATCGGAAAGGGAGGTATGGGTGATGGGGCCCTACTGTGTGGTAAAAGGCATAGGAAATGCCTGCGCTTGTCTAATTATCACAAAGCAGTGAGAGTCCCTCCCTTTCTTTTTTTTTAAAGTTTTGCATGTTTATTTATAATTACAAGTGTACATTACTCCAACAGAGCAGCCCCATTGTTATGTTCTAATTTTTAGCCACTAAGTCCTACAAAAATAAACCTAAGCTTTTACAATATCTTAAACAATACAGAACTAAAATCTTTATAGCTATTTGAAGGGATTTAGTTACCAAGGTACTTATGTTCATACCTTCAGACCGTGCCCTCCTGTCAGCAAGGCTGAGGTCAGCAGGGCCTAAAGCCAGGGCAGTCTCAGCAGGCTTTCCTGTGCTTCCTGTCCTCCCACCAGGGCACAGGAATTGCCCAGAGCCTGCCCTGGCTCCAGTGTCCTGATACACCCATGTTTCCAGGGTCCCTGCTCTACTGGGAAATGGAGAACATCAACCAGATGGCCAATCATCTGGTCCAAGAATGACCCCACATTTGTCCTCCCCTGGGCTCTGTTCACCAGCTATTTTGCAGCACCACGCTTAGAGCATGGGCTCTGGAGCTGGACCGCCTGGGCTCAAACCCAGCTCTGCCACTTTCTAGCTGTATAACCTGGACAAGTTACTCATCTAGCCAAGCCTCAGCGTCCTTCCCCTGAAAGGGACATGGCAATAGAGCATTCTTCACAGGGCGATCATGAGGGTGACATGAGGTGCAAAAGAGCTCCTGGCACACGGTGGGCTCTCAGTAAACGTCAGCTATCAGAGCCTTCTCTGTCACTGGTGCCAGCAGTGGGGAACAATAGACTCACCTATGTCCTCAAGAAGTTCACTGTCTAGTGGGGACAGGCAAGTCAACGTGCAATGAGCACTGGTGGGTGGGGAAGCAGAGGTTGCTGGGGAGTTGGGGCAGTGCGGCGCCTCTACCTCTGAATAGCTGCGAGGCCTGGGGCAGGGCTCTGGGCCTCCTGACCCCTCATTACCACCTAGTGCAAGAAAAATCTCAGAATCATGAGACAGGCCTGCCCTGTCAATCCCCATCATACCAGTCCTGGCCACCAGAGGGCGTGCTGAGCAGCCTTTAGGAGGACTGAGCTGGGCGCCGCCTGGGTACTGTCTGGGCTCTGGGTGCCACTGGGCCACCAATAGAAGATGAGTGATATCCACACAGCTCCTGCTTTCCCCTAAACCCTTACTGGCTGCAGAAGTCAGCCACTGGCATGGATGGCACATCTTAGGGGCCTCCCAAGTCTCCCATGCCACTGGGTCTGTGGGGACCCCTGCATGCTGCCCCAGACCAGGCCAAAGCAGAGCAGGATGAAGAAACCAAATATTAATATATAGGAACTTAGGTCCTTAAGCTCCCTGGCCTATAGCAGGTGCTCAAGGAATGGTCACTATTTTGAAAGTTATTATTACGGATCATGTTTGATTTCTACAGGAATTCTCCTTCACTACTTGTGCTTTTGCATATCCTGGGGTTCCCTACAGGATTCCATTTCGAAAAGGGTAATGCTGCCAGAAAAGTGTGCCCCTCCACTACGGAGCAGTGAGAACTCCCCAGGGCCATGCAGAGGGAAGTCCCGGATGGTTGGCCCTGTCCTCCCCTGCCCTGCCTGCCATTCCTCCCAGGCCTACCCGTGATGGGGGCCAGGCCCAGCTCCAGGACGTGGGTTTTTAGCCTGTTGGGGCACAAACCCCTTCGAAAAGCTAACAAAAGTTATTAGGAAGCTTCTCCTTAGAAAAGCCAGCATGTTCCCAAAATTTAATTCCAATTTCAAGGGGTGGTTGTGACCCCCTTAAATCTCTGGACCCCTGGTTAGGAACCCTTTCCTGGTGTGCCGGCTTCCCCATAAGAATGGCCATAGCTAGGAAGTGAGGTCATTGACTCCTGTCCAGGCACAGGCTGGACATGTTACATACTTTATTTATTCTTCACGAGAAATCTGAGTGTAATCCTACCCTCATTTTATAGATGAGAAAATTGAGTCTCAGAAAGGGTAAGGGCCTTACCCAAGGCCACAGAGCAAGATTTAATGAATAGCTTCTGTTCTTCCCTTTGCATAGAATGTCTTCGAGTCCTCCCTCTGCCCCCTTGTGAGGGGACGAATGAATGAATAAATGAGTGAATGAATGGTCTAGTCATGGGCTCAGGAGCAGGGCTGTGGGTGAGTTCAGCCACAGGGAAGAGGGAGCGGGGCCAGTGGTGATGTAGGCGTGCTGGGCCCTGACCCCATCCCTGACACACTCCACCCCACAGCAGATGGCAGGATTCCCCCCACCTGCCTGGTTGCCCTGGACCCTGTGACTCTCTAGGTGAGCTCCCCTCAGGCCACAGGCCCGTCGCAGAGGGTGACAGCTGTGGCCATTGGGGCCAAGGTTGGGGCATCTGTACTGAGAAGGGACTTTCTGGACCAACAACCACTCTAGAGAGAAGCCACCTTGGACACAAGTGGCCTGTTCTAGCGCCAACTGGAAACAAGCACGTGGAGGAGGTGAAAGTGTTGATAGCCGGACTGAGAGCATTTTGTGTCACTAGCGGGCACAGCCCAGGGTGAGGCAGGGCCTGCCTGAGGGGACTCACTGACCCCCTGGATCTGAACTCTTCCTCCGCCTCTTTGTCACCACAGCTGACCGAGTGCCGGCTGTGGCCTGGCATGGGATCGGTGACTCAGATGCACCCAGTCCTCACAGTTACCTCTTCAAGGTGTGGGGCTCCTATTATCAGACCCATTGGGCAGATCAGGAAACTGAGGCTCAGAGAAACGAAGTGAGCTGCCCACTGCTAGCAGGTGGCAGCACCAGGAGTGAGCTCCGGATTCCTGTTTCTAAAGCCTGTGCTCTGAATCTCCAGGCCCATCCCTGACCTTGACCCTAAGTGCTTCTGTCTCCTTCCCACACTGCCCTCCATCCTTGTTATCACACAAACCCTCTCTTGACCTCTTCTTTTTTTTTTTTTTTTTTGCCCTCATGGACAGGGCCCTAACCCCTAACCAATTCATCTGTCTGCTTCCTGCCTGTCCTCCCCATCCATCCTCCCATCAGCCATCATTGGGAAAATCATCTTTCTGGGATTCCCCTGGGTCCTGTCATTCTCCTGCTTAAAAGGCTTGGAAAGGCAAGTGGTGAGAGTGTAAATGGGCAGCTTTCAATAACCAACCAAGCCTCAGAGATGAGGTGGTGTACGGGAACTCTCTGTACTTTCCAATCCACTTTTCTGTAAACCTAAAACTGCTCTAAAAAAAGAGTCTATTAATAAAAATAATAATAATTTTTTAAACACTTCATAAAATGTTCATACCCTTGGCCCTGCCATCCCTCTGTAGGAATTTATTATGAGGAAACTGTCAGACCAGAAGACAAAGATTCCTAAACACAGACACTCCCTGCAGCATCACCACGTGTCATCATGAAAAAACTGGAGACAACTTAAGTAGCCAATGACAAGGAAATGGCTAAATAAATGGTGGTATCTCTGTGTGGTGGGGCATTGGTATCATGGTTTTTAAAAATTTACTGATGGGAAAATATGCACAAAATTATGTTATTCTATTTCCTTGTTGGTGACAATTCTTTTCAACTTTCACATTTCTAAAATAAGGATTATCTTATAATCCATGTATACGTTTAATGTAATATTTCCTTTTTTCCCAAAAAGCTATATTGACTCAATAATGTATCATAATTAACTGCATCTTAGACTCAAAGAAAGAGAGTATGTTCCGATCTTTCTTTTATAATCAGAATATATATATATGTATACGAACAGTAAAAAAGAGACTTCTGCTGGTTTTGCCTAGGGCAGCTCTATCCAATAAAAATATGATGTGATCCACATATGTAATTTAAAATTTTGAGCAACCACATTTTTGAAAAGTAAAAAGAGGTGAAATTAATTTCAATAATGTATTTCAGTTAACCCAAAATATCAAAATTAATATCATATCCACATGTAACCAATATTTTAAAAATTAGGAATAAGACACTAATCCAAAACCTGTGTGTTCCCTACAGCTGCAGCGTATCTCAGTGGCCCTTGCACTTCAAGTGCAGCCAGTGGCTTCGGTATGGCTCAGGTGGGAAGCTGCTTGGCAACCCGGCCCCGCCTCCCTCTATGGATCCTTCCACACACCCTGCCCGCTCCAGCAACAGAGGACCGCTGGCTCCCTGACTCCACTATTTCGCAACTCCACACCTTTCTTCCTGCTGTTCCCTCCCCCCGGGATTCTCTGCCCCTTCCCTCCACCTACCCAGGCCAAGCTCAAACTTAACTTTTCAGAATTGACCATCCCACGTCTCCCTCCCCCCCACCCAGGGCACTGGGCAGATGGTACCACACGTAAGACTCTGTAGCCGTGCTGTCTGGATTCAAATCCTCGCTCTCTGTGTGATCTGGGAAGTCGCTTCACGTCTGTTACCTCATCTGTGAAATGGGGATGCTGATGGCTCCTGTCTAGTGTGATTGTCGGGAGGATTAAGTGAGATACTACGTGAAGTGCTTAGAACAGGGCTGGTCTGTATAAGCCTTCTCCAATGCTTGCTATTATTAGTATTACTACCATTGTCACCATCATTAACATTTGAGCATGGACCTCTATGTGTGGCAGCTCTCTGGACTGGCAAGTAGATTTCTCCTTGTTTGCAAGCTCCTCCACGGCTAGCAATGCCCAGGAAGCATGTCGAGCAGTATTCCCTGGCCTTGTTCCCGCACAGCCGTGCCCACAGGGTGGAGGAGTGGACACGCACGTGCTGTGAACTGGCCAACTCAGTAGACTTTGGGATGCGAAAGGATCTTTCTAGCAGGTCTTGTTCATGTCTGCCCCCTTTTGCCTGGCACGTGGCAGGTGCTCAGAAAATGTTAGATTAGTGAGGATGTGGAGACTTGGCCCTTGAACCTTATCATGACAATGATTCTTTGGGAGCGAGGTGACCTCGGCAAAATGGCGGCAGTGGGACTCCTTCCTGGGAGTCTTGGTACCGTGAATTATTAAGACACAGGAGGAAGACCGCGGCTCACCTGTTTCCCACGCCATCATAAACCCAGTGAGTGGAGCCAAGGCCCTCATAGGCTGAAGCCCAGTAATACAGACATGAGTTCACATGTAGACTGTAGAGCAGGTAGGCTGTGGTCCTGATAACCCTGCAAAAGAAGGAAAGGCATGAACACAGTAGCAGAAAGGGTGGCAATGACATATCACCCCAGGGGTCAGAACTGCAGGGAACAAGCTAGTCTTCACCCTTCCCAAAGCCCACCTCAGAGCCCTCCCTGTCAGAGCTGCACGGCCCTGCCCAGCTGTCTGGTGCTACGGACACTTGACCGATGGGAACCAGTGGCTGGACTGGGCCAACTGGCTGCTCTGTTGAGACTGTGCTGGTTAGGACTGGTGATACTTGAACAGAAAGTTGTCAAGACTGGGGGCTGGAATAGGCACAGAGCTACATGTGCAGACAATTCCAGGGAAGTGGAAGAGCTGAGTGGGGGATGCATCGGGGCGGGGGAGCAAAGAAGGGACAGATGCATACAGAGGAGCGCTGCTCCATGAGAGATGGGGAGAGCAGCCCTGTCCCCGAGCGTGGCCTGGCTGGTCCTGGGTCCCAAGCTTGGACATCTGCAAGATGGCCCACTGTGTCCATACAGCCACTACCCCCGTGTTTGAGTGGTTAGGGGGGTCAGTTTCCTGAGCTGAGACTAAATTGAGACCCAGTTCCCTGGAAATGCAGGGGAGCCGTGCATGTCAACCTACGTGAGACCTCCTCACAATTGGGGGAAACGGGACATTCCTGGTTCTCTAAAAAACAAACATCCCTTCGCAGAAGGGCCAGGAAGAGGCCCGGCTTCCGGTGAGTGGCTGTGGCAAGGGGGCCTGGGGGCCAGGGGAGCCGAAAGGGGAAGTGATGGGGGTAGAGAATGCCTTGCTCCGTTCTTGCTGCAAATGTCCTGGGGCATGTGTGTATGTGCATGTGTGTGCACGTGTGCACTTCTGTGTGTGTGTGTGTGTGTGTGTGTGTAGGGGTCTCACCTGTAAATGTAGGCTTTGCTGAGGATGGATTCCAAGCGGTTGTTAAACTCGAAGAAGGCCATGTACTGGGAGAAACAGCAAGGCATCAGGGGCGGCCCGCTGCCCTCACCTCCCAGACCATTCCCCAGACCCCCGGTGGGAGCGGGTTGGAGAGTGAACATTCAAAATCAGAGGTCCTTAGCCCTTTGAGGAATGGGGGGCCAGAAACTCCATTTCTGAATCTGATGGAAACCCTGGACCCTCTTCCTTGGAAATTACATATAATCATGTTGTCACAGTTTGTGTATAACTTCAGGGGACTCCTAGACCTTCCAAATCCTATCATGAAACTTTTAAGGTACATGCATCCCAGGTTAAGGACCCTGTTTTCAAGGTTTACTTATAAAGACAACAATTATATAAAGAAACAGCCACTCTCTGATCTCCTCAAAAGGCTTATTTATAACAATAAAAGTGTAAGATAACTGCCCATTACTGAGCCCTTGTATGACTGCACTTTATACACTTTACCTTAGCACTTATTTACATGTATTATCCTTCTCCTTTTACAGAGAGAAAACCGGCACTCAGGGGAGTTCAGGAACTTGCCCAAAACACACAGCTGGTAAGTGACAGAGCCAGGGTTTGAAGCCAGATCACACTCAAAACTGCAAGCTCGGGGCTTCCCTGGTGGTGCAGTGGTTGAGAGTCCGCCTGCCGATGCAGGGGACACGGGTTCGTGCCCCGGTCCGGGAGGATCCCACATGCCGCGGAGCGGCTGGGCCCGTGGGCCATGGCCGCTGGGCCTGTGCGTCAGGAGCCTGTGCTCCGCAGCTGGAGAGGCCACAGCGGTGAGAGGCCCGCGTACCGCAAAAAAAAAAAAAAAAAACCAAAAAAACCCCCTGCAAGCTCTTTCCACAATGTTACACTTGCCTCTAGATCTCTGCACATATGTTGTTTGACCTTTGAAAATAACATTGATGAAGATTCCCTGTGGGCCACGCTATCATCCAGGTGTTCATTCTAATTTCCACCTGGAGTTTGCATTGGATGAAGAAGGACCATGGACTTGGATCCTCACCTTGGACCCAAAGAGTTGCATCCTCTGAGTCCTGCTAGATGTTAGGTGCTTGAGTTACGTTCACTACTACCACGTGGACCAAGATATGGATCCAGCCTCTGTATTTGGGGTAAAACTTGGGCTGTGGATCTAACCCTCCTCACTCTGATGTATGGCTCTAAAGCAACCTCTGCCGCCCCTGAAAGGCTGGCATGTGTCAAATAACACTGGTGCCACTTCCAGTTTCCCTCTTCCTCTGGGCAGCCAGGAAGCTCAGAAGCAGCTTTCATGCTCCATTCCAGATATGCTTTCTTTTCATCGAGGTACTTGCATTCTTCCAGCTTTTCTCTGCCCTATTTCTCCAAGTTATTAAGGTTATTGCATTTTCCTCTTTTGTAAATTCCCTCATTACCATTTTGGGGAAGAAGCATCAGGTATTATGTAAGGAGAAAGATGAATTTACTTGGTCTGCCAGAAAAATCCATTTGGGGGATCCTGAGTGCTCTGACTAGCTGTCCACTCTGGTCGCATTAAAGGATGTTGCTAGGTCTCTACTCTACACTGTGTCACCCTCTCTGAGACATTGGCTCTGCCCCGGTGACAAGAGGAATGGTTGTAGTGACACTGTAATGACAACAACTAATGATGAAACAGGTGTCGGGCTGCATGTTCAAATCCATCCTGGGCACTTCCTGGCTCCTGTGACCTTGGGCAAGTCACCCAAGCTTTCCAAGCCTCTGCTTCTCCATCTTTTAGATGAAGACCGTCATAAAGCAGAAGTCTCTCTGTTGAATCTCTATAGTAACTGAAAGCATAGACAGTGGAAACAGGCTGCCTGGGTTCAAATCCAGACTCTACTCCTTCCTACCTGTGTGACCTTGGGCAAGTTACTTAACCTCTCTGTGCCTCAGGCATCTCATTTGTGAAATTCTGGTACTAACAACACTCATCTCATGCTGTTGAGGAGCAGGCACTTGTAAAGCCTCCAGAACAATATGTAACACACAGCACAACTAAGAAGCTAACAATTGTAAGGAATTTGCCATCTCCCCTCGGGGCCACCCTTCCCAGATGCCTCCTGCTCCCCAGTGCTGCTCAGGCCAGACATTAAGCTGCCACTGCAGGTGCAGAGCACGGAGGAGCTGAAGGCCTTGGATGGTCTTACCTTCAAACAGCGGGGCAAGCGCAGGAGGGGATTCACACCGAATTTCAAGTAGAGAAAGTCCAAGGGCAAGAGGCAGAGCATATCCATCTGAAATCCCAGCAGGACACCACAGTGCATAAGAGAGTATATAACTCCCAGGGCTGTGGGCTGGGGTGAGTGGCAGGGGTCTCCACCTTCAATGGAAAGGTGAGGTCAGAATGCCCCTGGAGGGGCTAAAATTAGGGCAGGAGGCATCCTACCAACGAGCTCCAGCCTGTGCTGGTCCTGGCAGGAACCACATCACATTGGCCCCAAAGCACCCAGGGACCCCAGAGATACCACCTCCCAAGATCCCTGGCACACACCTTAAAGCGCTGAGATCTCAGATAATTGTCGCGCATCTCCTTTTTGTCTGTCTGGAATAAAATGGAATACTGACTGTGAAATGGTCTGAGAGCTTAATCCCTGACCCCATGGGAGGAGCGATGGAAAGCCCTGCACAACCTCCACCTTCCTATTGAAGTAACAGCCCCATGGATGTGTAGCAGAATGGACAAGCAAAGCTTCAATGAAAGCCTCACAGTCTACAGATAGGGAGGGTCGAGCTCCCGGGGGTGGCATGGTGGGTGAGGGGGGAGGTTGTCCAAGGGCACTCAGCTCAATTCCAACTTCTTGGATGGAAAGCAGGGACATTGAGCTTATTCTCTCTTACCTGGACCATTTGCAACCTTATTCACTGAGGAGCTGGCCACTGCTCTGATCAGACCAGGAAAGAGGTTGCTCAGGGAATTCTCTTTCCTCTAAATTGTTTTAGAGGCTCAAACTCAACTTGTCTGCACAGTGGAGCAGGCTCTGCCAGCATGGGATTTTGAAAAGTGACATGCACAGGGAGATGGGAACTCTGCCAAGTCACAATCAGGACTTAGGTTTTCTCCCTAATAAGTGCACCAGAACACAGGCTCCCAAACTGGTCTGGGTAGTGCTGCAGGAAATGTTGACTGTCAGCAGATACCTGTGCTGAGCATTCTGCATACATCACCTCCATAGATCCTCACAGCAATGGTATGAGGTGGGAGCGATTACTATCCCCATTTTACAGATGAGGAAACTGAGGCTCCAAGAGGTGATACAGTTGTCCTGGTTGAGCCGAGATTTGAACCAGGTCTGCCTGTTCTAAAGGTCATTCTCTAGGCCACTTCTTCATCTCTCATTGCATCAGGTGGTCCAGGAACCATTTCACCCATGAGCAAGACTTGATGTGTGTAATTTGAACGTATCAAAGATGTGTGAAACAAGCAATGATGCTGTTGAATAAGCATGGGTGGACGTCCTGAGATTTCCTTGTTCATTTAGCTTCTGGTCCCTCCCAGCGTCAGGGGTCAGCCCCATGAATGCTCTGGCTGCAGGGTCTGCTCCCAGCCACCCCCCCACACCTGTCTGTGACTCACAATGATGTCCCCGCCTCTGACAAACTGCAGACGCAGCTGGAACACGGTGATGTCCAGGAGGTAGATGAGGTCACACAGGTAATCCACCAGCAGCCAGAGGTGGATGTTGTCCGGCATCTGGTAGGGGAAGGCCCAGCGCACGGGAATCAGCCAACAGTTCCAGTTCCAGGCCAGCACCACGAAGAACAGCCACAGGATGTACATCAGGTCTGCAGGGGTGGGAGGGGCCAGGAATATGCTAGAACGTCAGCCAGAGAAGGGCTCCTCGCCACGGGATGAAGGTGGGGCTTTCCTCTTCCCACTTGACTGTCTGCACTTTCCTACAAGCCCTATATGCGGCCCTTCTGTAATTTTGGCGGGGGGGGGCGTGTAAAACTATCGTTGATATAAAAATAAATCACGGCTAGGCCCTAACAAATTGAGTACTCTGAGTAGGGGATATGGGATATGGGGTCATTACTAGTTAACAGACAGCTAACCAGAAAACACTTCTGCTCTCATCTTGTTGAAATTTTTCCAAAAATGTATTTCCTGCCTTTGTAAATACACAACAGTAAATAATGCATAGAAGATGGACAGATGGATATACAGATGGACAAGTGCATGGATGGATGGATGGATACTGTAGGTCACCTGGGCATTTTATCATTTATTTATTTATTTTTGTTTTTAATTTTTTTGACCGCGCTGGGCAGCCTGTGGGATCTTAGTTCCCCGACCGGCGATCAAACCCATGCCCCCTGTAGTAGAAGCGCAGAGTCCTAACCACTGGACCACCAGGGAATTCCCCCCACCTGGGCATTTTAAAGGACCAATGGACACCAGGGTTGAAGTCCTGCCCCCCAAATGACTTCTTGTGTGTCCTTAGGAAAGTCCCTCTCTGGCACCTGTTCTGTCCTCCTCAGAGAAGTCATAAGGAGAAGTCAGATAAAAAAGGCAGGGCGATCCTTTGTAAACTGTGAAGTACTGTGCACATATGAAGCGTCGTTATTCCTGAAGAATACAAAATGGGCTAAAAGGCAAGTGAGAGGGACTTCACTTTAGATGCTGGAAGAACTTTTCCCCTTTTCTGCTCAGAGCAGCAGCTCTGGGAAGGAGCCAGGAAGAGCAGAGTAGAAAAAAGACTTGGCCAAGAGTCAGGAGTCCTGAGTCTGCCACTGACTAGTTGTGTCTTTATGCCAGTTAACTTCTCTGTACCTTAGTTTGCTTGTCTGTTAAGATGGGTATGATCTTATGTTCCTAGTTCAGGGACTTCGTTAGTTTGGGGCCCTCCCTTGCACTGCCCCCACCCCCTCCCATTCTCCTGACCTCTCATGTGAAATGTGGCAACGCCCACCGCCTTCCCAGGACTCACTGGTCATCGGGTCGATGCTCTGGGGAAACTGGCACTTCTTCCAGGGGCGGTGTTTGAACTTGCAGCAGAGCATTTCACAATAGTGTTCCTCCTCCACCTGCCCCGCTTCAGCTGGCTTCACATCCAGGGCCGGCTCTGGGGCTTTCTTGGCTGGGGCTATGGGATGATACTGTGACCCTCTGACCCAGCCCTGAGGCTCGGGTAGAGGATGCAAAGAGAAGGCTCGCAGGACTTCCCTGGTGGCGCAGTGGTTAAGAATCCACCTGCCAGTGCAGGGGACACGGGTTCGAGCCCCGGTCCGGGAAGATCCCACACACTGCGGAGCAACTAAGCCTGTGTGCCACAACCACTGAAGCCCGCAAACCACAACTACTGAAGCCCATGCGCCACAACTACTGAAACCCATGCACCTGGAGCCCGTACTCTGCGACAAGAGAAGTCACCGTAATGAGAAGCCCGCACACTGCAACGGAGGGCAGCCCCTGCTCGCCACAACTAGAGAAAGCCCGCACGCAGCAACAAAGACCCAACGCAGCCAAAAATAAATAAATAAATTAATTAATTAAAACAAAAAAAAGAGAAGGCTCACAACTGCAGACTCTGGAACTGAAGCTGAGGGGGCCCTGGCACCATCCCATAACCTGCTATAAGCTCTGGGTGCTCTCCTGCAGCAAACCACAAAGATCCTCCTTAATAGCAACCTGGGCACCTGCTCTGAACTCTTACAGCTACCAGTCTGGGACTGCTTCTCAGGAACTGCCTAAAATGAGGTGTTTCTGGGCAAGTTGGATGTTTCAGTTGAGTGTGTGCTTGTGTGTCTGTGCTTGGACCCCTTGGTTTCTCTGGAGGGCTAGGGGCATTGGTACCCAGAACTTCCACCACCCAGGGCCAGAAATCAGGAAAACATTGTTCTAGGTTTTTCAGAGCAGAAATCTCAGCTGTCTCATCTCTAAAACAAGACACCAGATGGGATCACAGTTTTCCTGTGCATCTATGGTGATGTTGTTGGTGACCTAGAAATTGGTTCTTACAGGTTTAATATGGCTATGTTTCCAGCTTTAGGAGTGTGAAGTCAGGCTCTGCTAGGTCCACTGTTGGCACCATGAGTTCTAAGGCACAACCCTCCTTTGAAAAGACCTAGAAAACCTCCCTGGCGAGACAGCATGGTTCTTATTTCCTCCTGGCACTTTGAAAGCAGGAAACTTTCAGGTAACCTCATAAGAATATTGCAATGGAGGCCTCTGAAAAATAAGACTGTGTAGTTCCAGAGTGGGTTACGGACACCATCTAAGTGCAAGACCATGAGATACATCCCAGGGTGGACCACCTGCCCGCCAGTGGGAAAGGGGCAGGGGGTCAACAAGGGAACTTGCCCTGTGGGAGGGAGAGCCAAGTACAACTGGATCACTGGTCAGAACTTTGACATTCTTTCCTCCCCTGGACACGTAGCTAAACCTGTACATAAAGGACCTCAAATTCCAGAGAATGGAGATCTGGGCTTCTCTCAAGCACCCCAACCGTTTCCTTGGGGCCACCCTCCCCAAGAATTGACAGGGGCCTTAAGGGGCCCCACCCCACCCCTGGTCAGGTGGCCCAGCCCCAGCTCTGGACTCACAGGGCTTGGGGCTCTCTTCATCAGAGGTGACATCAGGGTCGATGAGCTTCTCCTTCACCTTCTCCGTCCGCTCCTTGAAAAGCTTCACCAGCTCCTGGAGCCGGTTGTTGATGAGGGCGCTGGTCTGGCTGTCTGTGGAGGCTGCGCAGTCCTGGTCACTGAGGGAACACCACCCAGAGCTGAGCGGGCTGCCTGGGGAGGGACCTCTGCACCACCGGGCAAGAGCTGAATCTATATCCCACCTGGCCTTAGGGGGTAAATCCTGGCCCAGTCTTCTTCTGACATCAAAACATCAAACCCACCTTAATATCTCCTGGGAGGAAAAACACCCGGGTGCCCAGCTTTCAGAAAACCACGAATGCTCTGATTCAGATGGGCAATTCCAAAAGAACTCGGATTCCACTTGTGATTTAGGGGGAAGCTCTGGAACTCAGTCCAGGGCTGTTAGTCTCAGTTTGGGGTTCACGTGAGATACAGGACAGATCAGAGAGGGGACAGGGGCTACTGTTTTAGGCTTAGGAAATAACTGATGGAAAAAACAGTGCAGGGAATTCCCTGGCTGTCTGGTGGTTAGGACTCTGTGCTCTCACTGCCGAGGGCCCAGGTTCGATCCCTGGTCGGGGAACTAAGATCCTAGAAGCTGCACAGCGCAGCCTAAATAAATAAATAGATAGATAAATAAATAAATATTAAAGACAGTGCAGATACATTATTCTTTTAATTTATAGGAAATTAAACTGCATGAACTTGCAGCAAGGGAGAGACAGACACAGACAGAGAATGAATGAGAGTCTTCCGCTCAGTGTGTGTCAAGAGCCCTGGGTGAGCTGAGACGGGCGGCCGTGTGAACCAGCCTATGTTCTATGTTCTCCTCTGAGTAGCCTGTGATCTGCTTGCTGAGCTGAGGGTAGCACTAATGTTTACAGATCTACTGGTTTTTTTCATACATTGAGGCACTGAAACTCAAGCCAGCTACTCTTCTTGTGCTCAGTTGAGGGAGCTAGCTGGAGAAAATCAGTGGGGGGGGGGGTTCATAATGAGAGATAGCGCTGGGGGGCAGAGGAGACACGAGCTGCTCACCCACACCCACTCCCTCCTGCAGGGAGGGGTCACCACGCAGCCAGCGACTACGTTGCCCAGGTGTGGCCGTGCGAGCTCTCACGGGTGGACATGCTAGTGCAATTCCGGGCCTCCTTGTGGAAGAGCGTCCCGGCACTCCCCCTTTCTAGTGGTGACCAGCAGGGTCTTGAAAGCCACACAAAGGTGGCAGAGCCACTGTTGGCTGGGGCCCTAAATGACTGCAGGGGGCAGAGCCTTCCATTGACCTGAAACACACCACCAGTGACACAACTGTGACATATGAGACGTCTTGTTCCTTAAGCCACTGAATCATTGAGGTCTATTTGTTATAGCATCTTAACCTACTGAGGTAATACATGGGGTTCCATGCTGACCACCTTAAGAGTTTTCAAAGGTAATTTTTATTATTGTACCTGATTTCTGGCTTATTTTCTGATATTAAACCCTAATCCAACCCCTACCCTACTGCATAAGATGTGACTCCACGGTATGCTAAAATGGATCACTGGGCTATGCGTGAGGTTTGGGTTTTTTCCTGCTTCTTTTGCTTTTCTGAACTTTCCACAATACTGTTAAGCATAAACTCCATAAAATTATGGACAGAAAAAAAGACTGGAAGGAAAGTATATTGTCTCCTAAGGTCACTCCAGAAGCTATGGCTGGAGAGGAGGTGAGGATCCCAGGCCAGAGCCCAGGACTGGGGTATTCACTGTCACCAGCCTACATAGACCCTTCAGGAAAACACCTCCCACTGGCCCAGCCCTTGTGACACTTCGATGTCAGAGACACAGGTCCCGATGCCCTCGTAGTGGCCTCTAAACATTGTTCCACAGACCAGTTGCATCAGAATCAGCTGGGGAGCTTATAAAGATGTGGATTCCCCGGGGCCCACTCTCTGTGGTTCTGGACACAGCTGGGCCCAGAGTTTGAGCCCATTCTGCAGACCAGATTTTTCAGAATTTCTGGGCTGGTCAGAAGCAGCCTGGGCAGGAGACCCGGCCCTCTCTTACTGCCGGGAAGCCACTGGCACAGTCTGCCTTGGGGTGGAAGATTCTAAAAACATCCATTCTCCCCCCAACTCACCTCCCTTTGCTTACCCATCCCCACCCAGACTTCTGGTTCCCTGAGACCCCAGAGATAGCCCCCGCTTACTCAGTGCCCTGCGGGCTGGTGGGGTCTGAACAAGCGACCACGGGCGATACAGCCAGTGACAGCATCTTGAGCTCTTCAGCCTCATCATCTTGGGAGCACAGCCTCTTCCTGCAAGAGCACAGACATGGAAGGGAGGGGCCTTCAGGGAGGCAGGGGCCGCGAGGGGGTGAACCAACTTTGAGCCCTGCAGATCACCCAGAGCGAATCCTGGGGGGGAGGTGGGGACAGAGGATGGTGCTGCCAAAGGGTCCTCACTTGCCTGCAGGGAAACAAAAAAGAGAAGAGGGGACACATCCAACCTCTGGATCTCGGTCTCTGCATCCATTCAATGGCCTAGCATAAAAGTAACAGCACTGACTTGGGATCAGGCAAACCTGAATTTGCACCCCAGCCCTGCTTCTTCCCAGTGTGTGACCTTGGCAAGTTACTCAAACCCTCTGAGCTGCCTCAGTTTTCCCCCTCTATAAAATGGGACTAAACCTACCCAATTCAATGAGGTGCTTATCACTCAGTCGGGTCTCAGTTTAAACATCCTTCTCCCTTCCACCTCCCAGTCTGAGGGCACTGCCCTTCCCAGTCCACCCCGTCCCCTTCTCCATCACACCACCCTTCCAGCTACTGAGAAGGTGTGAGGGCTCACATTCCATCATATTAACTCTCCTGGAAGCTCAGCTTCTCTCCCTTTGCAGATGTGCCCCTGGCTGGAAAAGCTGACACCCATGGGCCATGAAGTCTGTTTTCCAGCTCATGGTGTGACCTGGGGAAAGCCCATCCCCTCCTGGAGTTCCCGCTTCCCTATCTGAAGAATGAAGGCTAAATTATGTCCATGTCCCCATCATTCAGTCCAAGTCTGCCACAGAGTGCTGCATTTGGAATCACTGGTGTCTCAGCTTTTGGTGTCTAGATTTGAATCCACTTGGTACTCTTCCCATACTCAACCACTGTGACTCAGGATTCCATCATTAGGGCTTGTAAAGGGATACAGTCAGAGGGATGTGCAGCATTTGCTTTATTCCACAAGGCTCTGAAACCACCTTATTACCTTCTGCCAACTCGCCTAGAATGGCAAAACTCATGGGTTCACCTCTTTTACGCTCTAATTAAAAGGATGCCTGCAAACAAGAAGACTGGGGCAAAAATCTCACAACTGGGACTTAAACTCAGGCCTCCTGCTCCCAGCCCAGTGCCCTCTCCGGGCCTGGAGAGAATCAAGAGTGTGGAACTAAATCAGCAGCTATGCTCCTCCAGCACCGCCCAGTGCCTGGCCCTGTGCTGAGCACCTCACATACAGTAGCTTGTTGAATTTTCATAATACTAGTAGACAGGGGACGTTTGGGATTCACTCCAAACCACAGCATTGCACTGTGAGAAGGGCCCTGCCCGTGCGCCCCTCTGTTTTGGTGGCTTTTCTGCTCCCATCAGTTGCCCCCAGTGCTCATTCCATCCCGGACCACAGGCAGCCGCGCTGGCCTCTCATGTCAGGCATCAGAATTCCTTCTTGGCGCCAAGCTCAGGCTGAGGCTTCCCAGTTTCTCACAGTCACATTCTCCTTAGCACTCTCTGGAAAAATCTTGTGTGATTACTTGTTCATTGTCTATCTCGGCCCCATTGGAATGTCAGCTCCATGAGGGCAGGCCCCTCTCAGGCTTCTCCCTGATGCAACCACAGCACCTAGAGCAGAGCCTGGCACATAAAGGTGTTCAGTAAATGTTTGCAAATGAATGAAAGAATGATAATAAAAGGAGCCTCACAGACCCAGCTCATAAGCAAAAGGCAGGAGGCTTTGATTCTTGTCCCAAGTGATCTTAGTCCCCTCCCTCCTCCCGAATATCCACCTCTAACCCAGCCTGTACAGTTTCCCTACCCTTATAAAGGGAACAGAGGGAGGTAGACCAGATGTCTACAATTATGGTGGTGCCCTGTCTTCTGCTCTCTGTACTCTGTGCATGACTCAGTGAATTAAACGTGAGGACTGATGTGTCTGTGAGCTGGGTGAGATTATGACTCTTTTCTCCACATCAAAATCCGGGAGCCTTCTGTTTGCTACGCCCAACCATCTCTGTTTTGACAGTCTTCTGACCTCAGCTGAGAAATTACTCAAGGGTTCATGGATAAAAGCAAGAATTAATCAAGAAAAAAGAACCATCCCGCAATCTAGCCAGCAAAGGAGATGCACTGGCAGCTCCCCTTTAGCTTAATTAACCATTCACACAGCACTGTACTGCAGTTCACAGACTACCTACAGCTCTATGCAGGCCCTCTCTCAGTTACCTGGCTCAGGTTGTCCAAAACCAACTCTAACCATGCAGCAACTAACCTATCTCGAGAGGCACAAAAACGCACACAACCCTGACCAGGAAACCCACTCTCGAGAAAGGAGCCCAAGGACAGAGGGCAGAAGACCAAAGAGATATTTGTAGCACCACTGTGGACAGTATTCAACAACAGAGGATTGTTATGTCTATCCTGGCACATGCAGCTGGAGGATGTCAACACAGCATCACAATGGGTGTTAAGGAGACAGGCTAGCAATATGGAAAAGGGCTCAATAAATAAGATGTGGTCTCAAATGAGATACGATCCAATCACTCCTTCAACTAAAAAGCATGGGCCCACAGACAAGGTATGAAAGAGAAGGCAGAAAAATAAAAGTACCACCTAGAGCGGTGGGATTAGGGATGGTTATTATATCTAGTATTCTTTGGTATGTCCATTGTATTATTTAACAATAAAATTAGCCCTGTCACATTTATTACCCCCTTCAAATGTACAATTGAGGGTATTCTGGACAGGACTTCCTCAGAGAGCTCTTTCTATAGAGCCTGAAGCCAGAAATTAGGAGAACTGAAAATGGTGGGGCCATAGTCCCAGGACTGACAGCAACTCGCTGAGTGACTTGGGCCAGCTTCTTCCCCTCTCTGGCCCCAGTGTCCTCAAATGCCAAATGCACAGGTGGCACTGTGCTATGAAAAGCCCAAGAGAAGCATAAAAGGTGACCTGAGGCTCCCTGTGGCTGATCCTGGGACCCCAAGTGTGTCGCATTTGGCAGGAGACGGGGGCAGCGGCATGGGAGAGGGTGGATTCTCCTCCTCGTTGAGGGGCTGGCTGTCAGCATCAGCGTCTTCCACCTGCACTTCCGGGTGCTCTTCCGTGGCAGGTACTGGGGAGAGGAAGGAGGCACAGCGTCAGAGAGAAGCCAGGTCCCAGGGCCTTGCTGTGTTCTACAGGGAAGCCACAGAAAGCGTGTGTGGAGGGGCCTCTGGAAGCCTTGCCTCCCAACAGGGCCCACAGGAGAGATCCACGCAGGGGGCGCAACAATGCAGAGCCCGGGGCCCTCTGACAGTCACGCCCATGCCAGCCACTAACCCAGGAGCCACAGAAGAAGCCACAATGCCACAGAAGCCACAGGAGCTCCTGGACACAGCCTGGAGCCCAGCTCTCCAAAACCCAGCCTGGTTTCCCTGGGCCTGGAGAAGCATCAAGACCCTGGGGTGGGTGATGGGGGTGCATCACTCAGATAGAGCATGGGGAGCCTGGGGGTGCCACGTCCTAGGGCCTGGCCTGGTGCGGCCTGGCTCAGCTGCTTCCCCTCTCTGGACCTCAGTTTCCCCATCCCAAGGTAGGAGTGACAAGGCTTTCCCAGGCCTGTGGGGGCATGAGACACGGGGCTAAAGGGCCTCACACTCTTTTTATATTTGACTTACCATGTTGTGTCAATCTCTGCTGTACAGCAAAGTGACTCAGTTATACACATATCAACATTCCTTTTTTTCATATTCTTTTCCGTTATGGTTTATCACAGGATATTGAATATAGTTCCCTGTGCTCTACAGGAGGACCTTGTTGTTTATCCATCCTATGTATCATAGTTTACCTCTGCTAATCCCAAACTCCCAGTCCTTCCCTCCCCACCCCCCTCCCCTTTGGCAACCACCAGTCTGCTCTCTATGTCTGTGAGTCTGTTTCTATCTTGTAGATAGGTTCATTTGTGCCATATTTAGATTCCACGTGTAAGTGGTATCACATGGTATTTGTCTTTCTCTTTCTGACTTACTTCACTTGGTGTGATAATCTCTAGTTGCATCCATGTTGCTGCAAATGGCCTTATTTCATTCTTTTTTATGGCTGAGTAGTATTCCATTGTATATATGCACCACATCTTCTTTATCCATTCTTCTGTCAATGGACATGTAGATTGTTTTCATATCTTGGCTATTGTGAATAGTGCTGCTATGAACATAGGGGTGCATGCATCTTTCTGAATTATAGTTTTGTCTGGGTATATGCCCTGGAGTAGGATTGCTGGATCATATGGCAACTCTAGTTTTAGTTTTCTGAGGAACCTCCATACTGTTCTCCATAGTGGCTGCACCAATTTACATTCCCACCAAGAGTATAGGAGGGTTCCCTTTTCTCCACACCCTCTCCAGCATTTGTTATTTGTAGACTTTTTAATGATAGCCATTCTGACCAGTGTGAGGTGGTACCTCAATGCAGTTTTGATTTGCATTTCTCTAATAATTAGTGATGTTGAGCATCTTTTCATGTGTCTATTGGCCGTCTCTATGCCTTCTTTGGAGAAATGTCTATTAACGTCTTCTGCCCATTTTTCAATTGGGTTGTTTTGTTGTTGTGTTGAGTTGTATGAGCTGTTTGTATATTTTGGAGATTAAGCCCTTGTCTGTCACATCATTTGCAAATATTTTCTCCCATTCCCTAGGTTGTCTTTTTTTTGTTTTTGTCTTTAATGGTTTCCTTTGTTGTGCAAAAGCTTGAAAGCTTGATTAGGTCCCATTTGTTTATTTTTGCTTTTATTTCTATTGCCTTGGGAGACTGACCTAGGAAAACATTGGTACTATTTATGTCAGAGAATGTTTTGCCTATGTTCTCTTCTTGGAGTTTTATGGTGTCATGTGTTATGTTTGAGTCTTTAAGCCATTTTGAGTTTATTGTTGTGTATGCTATGAGGGTGTGTTCTACTTCATTGATTTACATGCAGCTGTCCAACTTTCCCAGCACCACTTTCTGAAGGGACTGTCTTTTCCCCATTTTATATTCTTGCCTCCTTTGTCAAAGATTAATTGACTGTAGGTGTGTAGGCTCTCTATTCTGTTCCATTGATCCGTATGTATGTTTTTGTACCAGTACGATGCTGTTTTGATTACGGTAGCTTTGTAGTATTGTCTGAAGTCTGGGAGAGTTATGCCTCCTGCTTTGCTTTTTTTCCTCAGGATTGCTTTGGCAATTCTGGGTCTTTTATGGTTCCATATAAATTTTTTGATTATTTGTTCTAGTTCTGTGAAAAATGTCTTGGGTATTTTGATAGGGATCATATTAAATCTGTAGATTGCTTTGGGGAGTATTGTCGTTTTAACAATATTAATTCTTCCAATCCAAGAGCATGGGATATCTTTCCATTTCTTTGAATCCTCTTTAATTTCCTTTATTAATGTTTCATAGTTTTCAGCGTATGTCTTTCACCTCCTTGGTCAGGTTTATTCCTTGGCATTTTATTTTATTTTTTCTGGTGCTGTTTTAAAAGGTATTCTTTTTTTACATTCCCTTTCTGATATATCATTGTTAGCGTAAAGAAATGCAACCGATTTTTGAATGTTTATCCTGTATCCTGCTACTTTGCTGAACTCATTTATTAGATCTAGTGGTTTTTGCATGGAGTCCTGAGGATTTTCTATATATAGTATCACGTTTTTGCATAGAGTGACAATTTTACCTCTTCAGGGTCTCACAGGAGAGAGACACGGTGCAGCGGGGACGTCCCCCTGCTTCCCTGAAGACCTTGAGAGAGGTGAGCTGGAGGTGGGCCAGGGGGGTGGAGGCAGCCAGGACAAGGGCAGCTTCTCAAAAATGCTCAGGGCCCTGGGGTGCCCCCAGCATGGCCCCCAGGCAGCAAAAAAACACCCTGGTCTCAGCATCCATGAAGCTGTCTCACGGAATCTGGGAAGAAGAAGGTGGTCCCCTTACCCCCTGCCTCGCCCTGCACAAGACCCTATGAACTCAATCACTCCCAGGGGAGGGCGGGGAACTCCTAAGCCTGATGTTTCATTTCCTGCCAGCTTGGCAGAGTAGAAACTCAAAGTAGAAATTATATTCGTTTATATTATACTGATTTATAGAATAAGAATACTATAATTCCGCATATAAAGAATATCTTATGCTTAAATTGGTTTAGAGAATAACAATGTTTACTGTTAAGCACTTCCTATATGCCTGCTAGGCATTAGTTTCACTAAACTCTAAGCGCTCTCTATATATAAACTCCTTCATCGTTCCCGGCCACTCTATGAGGTCCCTGTTACCATAGTCCCCATTTTGTGGAGAAGGAAACCGAAGCACAGAGAGATTAAGAAACTTTCAGCAGAGCCCAGATTTGGACCCAGGCAGCCTGGCTCCAGAGCTGAAACTCTTATCCCATCCTGAGGTTGGTGACCAACATATGTAGAGGCCTCTGTCAAAATGAAACCTCGGCTGAGAGGTGCCAAGCAGCACCACTGAAATGGGAATAATGTTCTCACCACATGCTGTCACCGCCTTGTCTGCAGCATCTAAGATCATCGTGTGTCCTACTGTTTAGATTGGGCATAGGTAGAAACCATATATAAGACCCGCAAACTATCACCGAAGGACCTTGCTCTTGATCCTAGATTAAATGTTTTAGAACCAAGTCTGGGGAAGAAGGCCTTGATTTACATCTCTCTATTAATCTGTGTTGTAAATTCGACCACTACCGTGACCAATACCAAGCCTTACATAAATCCCTGTTTTTTAAATCTTTTAATTATCTGAAAGATTGTTTTGACTGACAATATTTTCTATTTCTCTACTTGTTTTACTTTTAACGGCTCATATAGCCATTTTATAAATAGTCTGTATTGATGAATATTTAAACAGCGCTGCAGTAAACATCCTTGCCTATTCATCAGTAAATAAAATCAAATCATCACGTGTCAACGACAGCCGGTTCAACCCCCCGTCCCAATGTGTCGCTGGGACTATTTCCCAAAGTGTGGGGCTCCCAGGGACCAGAGAAGGCACACGATGATTTTAGATGGCACAGCCAAGGCAAAGGATGACAGAACGGAACCATTCATCCCTGTCCGGTTCCGTCTGGATCCTGAGAAGGCAGAGAGAAAGCCTCAAGTTAGTGCTGCTATGGCCTTAACACCTCTCTGACACATCTGAATCCCCCTTTGCAGCTGGGAGAGCAGACTCAGCTATGAGCCTTCAGCAGGCCACGTACCTCACTAGAAACTACCGACTCTACATTGTTCTCCATACCTTTGTGGTTATTTCTATTTATGCCTTCTCTATATTTATGGCAGGCCATGCTGGTTTTCCATTTGAATTATAATGTAAAGCTTCCTGTTTAAATACACTCAATTAAATGAAAAAAGTGAATCCACTGACAGAAAGATGGTAAGTAAATAAATGCAGAGTTGGTACAGAGTGCACAAAACTCGAGCCGCGATATAAGGGTAGAGGGTGTGGAAGACCCTTTGGAGTGATGAGATTTAGGCCCTACCCGGAACACCGAGCCTGGCGTGTCATCCCCTGTCATGGGGTTGATCACATGCCACCTTGCCCCAACTCTGTGCCCACCCCAGGCCAGGAGGAGGGAGAGGACGAGAGTGGATCTCTTCTTGTGAAATGTTCAGCTCGACCTGCCTGTGAATCTCAGAGGCAACCTTGCCCAGCGTAATCCAAAAACAAACAAACAAATTAAAGGGAAAATGGCAGGTCTGGTTTGAGTCAAGGCAGAAAGTGACAGAGGTTAGCCCAGAGGCACCAGTATGTCCCCCAGCACTTTCCAAAGGCCACTGCGGGGATCTTGTCACAATTAAATAGATCCAGACAGGCTCTCTCTCTGCACTGGCCCCTGAGGACGCCTCCTCTGGGTCTGCCTGTCAGCACCTGGGGGCCTCCCCTTTCCTGAAAGGGAATTTGCTGAGCAGATAACAACAGTCCTCAGAAAGTCTAGCTCCCAGCCAACTCTCAAGGTCGGTAGATTCTGTCTGCAACGGACCTCCACATTCTGCTTCTGGTTCATTCCCCTCTGATTATTCTCTTCCCCTACCCAGCTCCCTGCCCCAAGCCTCTTGGCCTGGAGACCTGAGTGACTTGTTTAAACTCGGGTATGAGTGACTACCTGTATAAAAATTGATGATCTGCAAAAAGCCATGTTTAACCCAAAGAAATGAATTGCTAATTGTGAAATTTTAGGCACAGAGAGAAGGGGACTAATACCCTTTAAGTCACCACAAAGCAAGATGAAGGCACTGGTCAGCAGAGGAAGAAGGGGTGGTGTTCCATGAGCCCAAATAGTGGTCCCACGCCAAGACCATGGCACCCATGCAGGAAACAGCCCAAGCCATGCAGAAGCACACCACAGACATCAGCGCGCTGGGTGGTCAATTTCACGCTACCTAGGCGACGGATGGAGCTCCTGGTCTCCTTGGCAAAGCTGGAGTTGGACAAGGCTGTCCTCCAGGAGATGAGGAAAGGGGTGCAGGTGATCAGGGGGTGGTAGCTGGGCACATTGGGGAGGTGCTCCACCAGGTTTGGGGGAGCAAGCCCGGGGGTCACTTGGCCAGGTGGCTGGTCCTGGACCAGGCGATTCAGCTCCACGTCCCGGCCTGGTTTAGCCATGGTGCTGGGGGCAGGGGATCTCGGGCAGAGGCGGGACCCTGGGGACTGCAATGAGGAGCACAGAGCTGGGAGAGGCAGGGTAGGTGGGGCTCTTCCCCACCAGCACCACCACAGACCAGCCCAGTGCCCACCTGCGCTTGCAGCAGCTGCACCCAAAGTCTGGAGCATCACTCTTGTCCCTGGAGTTCAGTGCCAAGAGCATCACCAGTCATGTGGCTCGTCCACCCAACAGCTCTGAGAGACAGCCCTGAGCACCCCAGTTCTGGAGCTTTCTCTGCTAACCAACCATCGTAGCATTTCATACTTTATACTCAAAGAAATTAGAATCAGAGAACCCAGAACCCGTCAGGCTTAGGCTCACAGACTCAAACGTCCTTAGCCTGGTAGGATTTTCCATCCCAAAGAAATCCTGGAGCTCAATTAATTTCACTTCCAACCAGAAGCAATAACTTTTCCTAGGTCCCTGTTTCCCCAAATGGGCTGCATATTGGAATCACCTGGGGAGGTCTGGAAATGCCCAATGCGTGGGCCCATCCCCAGAGATTCTGATTTAATGGTCTGGGGTGAGGACTGGCCCCAAGATTTTTAAATCTCCCCAGATGATTCCAATGTGCAGTCATGATTGAGAACAAGGGCTCAAGGCCATTGCCTCTCAAACACAAATGCCCAGAGAAATCACCAGGGATCTTGTTAACGGTGCAGATTCTGGTTCAGCAGGTCTGGGATGGGGCCTGGGATTCTGCATTTCTAACCAGCTCCCAGGTGACACCAAAGCTGTTGGTTCAAGATCCACACTTTCGAGTGGTGGCAGACAAAGGGCTGTGTTTCAGTGTTTCTCAAAGTGTGGTTCCCAGGCCACCTGCTTCCAAATGACCTGGGGAAGGGGGTGGAACCAGCCCCACGGAACCTGAGTCTGCAACCGGGTGATCCTGGTCTTGTTCATCCATGTGGGGTGCAGACTTAGTAGGTTTCCGGCAGATTTGGGTTAAAGTTAACAGAGGATGGTTTTCAAAGATCAGGTGGGGGGCAGGCTCAGGACACCTGGGGTTAAGGCACGCGGGTCCAGTCCCATTTCCATCAGTGGCTGCCTGGGACACAAACATCATTGTCATGGTCCCCATTATGGTCTCTTCTTTCAGTTCCACTGACGCATTGTCACCCCCACTCTGCCCAACAACCCAGTGAGGTAGGTACTGTTATAGCCCCCTCTTTCTTGATTTGGGAGCCACAGTTAAGAGAGGTCACAGAACTGGCTCCAGGTCACAGAGCGAGGAAGACGGAGGAGCCAATAGTGAAATGCAGGTCTGTGTCCTTGACCACTGAGCCAAATGCTGCCCACATGGAGCCTCAGTTTTCTCATCTGTAAAATGGTCTGTCTGCCTCAGAGGTCAGGTGGAGCACCACCCGTGTCTTGAGGCCTGTGGAAGTTTGCAAGGCCAGGGCTCAGTGTCCAGACATCCTCACTCCCCTAGACTCTGTCCCCATCATCCCTGAAGTTCTCAGGATTAGGGGTGGGAGTGATAAATAATCAAATTGTGCTGGGGATCTTAGCAGTAAGGAAAAGCTCAAAAGACACAGAGTCTAGGACACAGCCTTAGCGAGCTCTGGCTCCAATTTTCACTCAGGTACGTTACATTTGAGCCAAATGCTCACTGGGCAGTAACCTAGAGAGCTGTGTTCCCAGTGAGGGGGTTGGCAGGAGGGGTTGGCTGGGAGTATGGTTTCCCCAGGCCTCTTGAGGTCCGGGGGGGGACCTCAGTGCAATTCCCCTGGGGCCTTTGAAATACATCATCAGGCTCTGACAAAGTGGCCCTAAGATGCACAGAATGGGTTTTGCCTGAGGATGGGATGGAGCAGGGGGACGAGCTGAGAGGGACAGGAGGAGGGTTTGCCCCTGTACCCTGGCTGCCCCCAGCCTGAAAGCATCCTGGACATTCTTATGCAACCCCACCACACGCCTACCTCCTGAGCTGGCGGCCACGGCCTCCTCCTGCATCTCCTGCAAAAGATAAAGAGGAAACCGAAGCTGTGACCATCGAGCCCTGTCCTAGCCCTAGTCCAGCCCAGCCCCTGTGGGGGGATCTACCCTCAGGATGGGCCCCAAGACTAGTCCTGGCCCTGCCCGTTTGGTCATACCCTCCAACTCACCTTCTGGGGTGTCCAGTGCACATAGGAGCCCCAGGCCCCAACACCTGGACCTGTCACATATAATGAGGGGAAATTCTCGGGCAGCCCTCTGCGTGTGGGGACAAAGCAACTGAAGCAGCCACCACGGCACTCTCCATCCGGCACCACACTTCACAGCGTAGAACTGTATACAGTACTCCAGGGAAGGGTTTTTAGCCCCATTTTACAGAGGTGGCCACTGAGGCCCAGAGTGGGGAGGTGACTTGCCCAGGGTCACACAGCCACGTGAGGACTGGAGTCTAAGCCCACTGCTTCCCACCCATGGCCGTACCACCCGGGGCCCTTCCTGACACCATCTGAGCCCTGAGCACCATCTGAGCTACAAGCGGGCCTCCCAGCACGCACCACTCTGCTCACGTCTGTCCTGTGGGCATCTCATCAGCCAAACCCCGCCCCTGTAAGCAAAGGGGACAAGGCCCAGCGCCTTCCGCCGACTCCAGTCCAGGCCTCTGAGGTAGCCCGGCCGCCAGCCTGGTGCTGTTCCATACCTGGTGTGAGGCGCTCTGGTGCTCAGTTCCACCTACTCCACTCTGGTCCTCGCCTCCCTGCGCCACCAGACAGCTATCCAGCAGGACACTGTGACTGCGAGGGGGCAGGAGGGAAGGGCTGGGGTTAGGGGTGTTAAATGTTTCCTGAACTGTGCTGAGTGCCAGGCTCTGTGCCAGGAGCTGGGGCACAAAGACGCCTAAGGATAGGTCCTCGCCCTCTTGAAGCTCCCAGCACAGGGCAGGTGGCAGATCTCACATTCTGCTAACAAGTTCCCAGTCTGAGTCACAGTCTGGAGCAAGTAGCTATGAAGGGCACAGCACAATTCTGCCTAGGAAGGAGGGCTTCCCAGAGGAGGTGGCCTGCGAGCTGGGAATAGGTAGGGAATAGTGTCCAGGAATGGGGAACAGCAAGTGCAAAGAAAATCACGGAGGACGGTTTTGAGGAGCTGTCCTTTGGGGGCTGACCAAAGGGCATTGTAGAGTGTTCAAAATCTATGCCCAGCGTTTCCCCTCTGAGAGTCTCCAGGCAACCTTGGGGATATAGGCAGAGCAGGGAGTATGAGAAAAGTGAGGCACAGAGAGGTCAAGTGGCCCGGCCAAAATCACACAGCAAATTGTCCCACATCACACAAACCTCAGACACAGACCCTGGTTTTTTCCATGCCATGAGATCAGAGCCACACTGCAAATGCTGAAGGTTTCGGGGGTCCCTGGCCCAGGCAGAGGCATACATGAGTGACGGGGGCTGGGGTGAGACTATAGGAAGGAGAGAAGAACCTGTGCCCATCTGAGTCAGCAACTCCACTCTGCTTGGAATGGGAGTCCTGTGGCCAGATCTGCTGATTTTCAAGAGGAGCCTGAACTACACATTTTAAAGGTGGGACCTCCCCATCTCTAGATGCTGATAATTAATCCAAATGAATAGATCTATATTAACATCTGTATTATCTATATTAATATCTATATTAATATGTCAATATCCAAAAGAGCCTGTCTCCAGACTAACTTGGGCCCTGAGATGCCTGTGTGCAATCTCTGGGTTAAAATGATGACTTGGGACCAAGGGCTAATGTGATTTCTGTGGTTAGAATTAGATTCTGCTTCCTAACGGCCTCACCCCATGCCATGGACCACTGTCACCAAGGGGCTCATGGAGGATGCTCCTCGGCGTCCGCTGCCCAGAAAACCTGAATTCCCCATCCTTTATCCAGAGGGCCAAGTCTCAGCCCTCCTGAGGTGGGTGAGGAGATGGGGACGGAATTACAGCCCAGTCGGTTTGGAGCCAGCAGCCTGGGAGCAGGAATAAGCCAGCAATCATATTGTCACAGCAGCTCCCAAGGGCTGTGTGCCAGGCGCCGGGCCAAGCACATGGCACGCACAGTGTCTCACCAAATCCTCACCCAAATAAACCCGAGAGCCCCGCTATGACTGATCCTATTTGAGCTTAGAAATCGGAGGCTCAGAGAGGTCAGATGGCCTGTCCAAGGTCACACAGCCTGTACCAGGTGAACCTGGATAAAAGATGGGTGTCTCTGACTCTAGCACCAAGTCTTTAATACTCCACTGCCTGCCTCTGAGTGTCTGCACAGCCCCAGGTGACGTGGAGGAGTGAGGCGAGTGTTTGGAGGATTCCGGCACCTAACTCACTTTACTTCTCTTCACTGCATATGTATTTCCATTGTGAGGGGCCTGAAGTATCAGTCACACTCTCTACCCTGCCCAGGAAGAAACAGCTTTTCTTAAAGAAAGGGGCACATTATGACTTCCACAGGGCCTGGCCACTTCAGCCTTCACGGGCCCCTTCCTCCATAAATATATTTTTAAAATTCCATTTTGTGACTGCATTCATATGAAGACTAAAATGTTAATATTATATACTAAAATATTCTCTTCCATCTAAAAGTTCATTTTTTGGTCTGATTTTGAAAGAAATTAAAATGTTCTTGGGGGCCTCTCAAAGTATTACGGGAACCGTGCCTTCCACACCTGACAGAGAAGTCGGCCCTTCCCGGAAGGGTGGGATGGGCTTGTGCTGCGAGGGGCAGACTGGGTTCTCCTTCCCTGGAACAGATGCAGGGGCCTCCTTGGTTCTCAGAGCGCAAAGGCCCAGGAAATGAACTTCCCACAGTCCCAGTCAGAGGCTTCCTGGTGTCTTGCTCATTCTAGAATCTGGCCTGGAAAGCAAGTCCCCGGGAAGCCTCCGTTTGCTTATCTGTCAAATGGGTAGGACTCATCCAGCCTGTACTGTACAGACTGGCTTATTTGAATGAGGTCAGAAGGGCCAGTGAGAAGCTCATGGAAAAGTCAAAAAACCTCCCCGTGTCCGGTGTCATCTGGATTCTCCATCTCTAAACACTGGTAAGCAGCTTTCCTTGTCTGTAGTACTAGGTGTCCGCTTGGGAGCCCAGCCTGACCTGGGACAGAATCCCAGCTCTGTGCTTGCTGGCAGGGCACCTGTGGATGTGTGGGCTGTTATCTCTGAGCCTCAGTTCTCTCATCTGTGAAATGGGATTAGCAGTAGGAGCCTTAGCACAACGTCTGGCATGGAAAACAAGTGCTAATCAGGTGACAGCTGTTATTATGACTGTTCTTGTCATTATTATTATAAATCCCAGAGGAGGCGGCCTTCTGCAGGTCTGTGAACCACCCACATAGATTGCGGAACATTTTGCACAAACATCTCCAGCTACGGAGACACATAACCAGCCTTACAGTGAGCCTGTCAGCCCCACCAGGGGCTGTTTGGGGACCCATGTACCCCCAAATCATGTTGCCCCTGGTTGGCAGGTTGCCTGGTGCCTGCTGAGGCCCCCTCTTGACCAGCCCAGATGCAGCGGGCCATCAACTTCTGGAAAGTTCCCAAGTTCCAGGGATTTCCAAGTAGAGGATCAGACAGACTGGCTGAGGTGGGCATCCCAGAGGTCCTGGCTCTCCTAGTTAAAGGTGTGGGGAGTAGCCGCAACGGCCAGCCCACTGTCCTCCCCCAAGTCACAAAACAGGCTGTGCCCCCAAGTTAAGGTCCTCACTGTTGCCTTCAGCAGACTCGTCACCCGGTCCCCCAGCCCCGAAAGAAGGAAGGAGGGGAGCCCTTAGGGAGAAGCAGCCACCTACTTGGGTCTCTCTGTCTTTGCTGACAAGGACGCCCGTGGTGCAGGAGTTCAGCTGGGGGCGATGACATTCATTCCAAGCCCCAGGTCGGTGCATGCCAGTGGAGGATTGGGGGAGCCCGAGCCAGCCCCGAGCCTGTGAGGCCAGCTCTGGAGCCAGTGTGACTCGGGAGGCAGATGAGCCACCAATCCTTCCTGCTTCTAATCAGATTGAGGGGATGTGCGGGGGAACTCTGCAGAAATGGCCCCAGGGAGGCCAGGTGGGGCCCAAAAGGCTTCCGTTGCTATGAAAAGCTGAGCTGTTGCCAACAGAGACCAGGTCGCTAAGCGACCATCTGCCCGTTACCAGGGCTTGCGCGTTGTCATCAGTAACCCCTGTGCCTCCGCAAAGCTGGCAAAAGCATCCTTCCTCAGCCAGTGACAGCCCAGCCCACCTGTCCCACGCCTGACACCCTCTGGCCTTGGCCCTGGGATCACTGGCTCTGTCACCACAGGGCCCTTGTCCCTACCTGGGGCCCCAGGCCCCAAAGTGCCCTGAGTTTGAAGCTCTGGGTGAACATCTGTATGAGCCTGTGTGTGCCTGCAGTGTTTGTAGGTAACTGTATGTATGCACTTGTGTCTAGTGTGGATATGTGCAAGTGCGTACACGTGTGCCCGTGTGTGTTGCTTGTATATGTATCAGGCTGTGTAAGTGCCCTGCCTACACGCAAGTGTGCACATAACCCAGCCTGTGTGGCTGTGTTTGTGTGCAGGTGTGTATGTGCGGTGCAGATATGTGTGTGTGTGTCTGTGTGTGCTGTGCAGAGAACACGTGTGTAGTTAGTGTGTGTGTCTGTGTGTGTGCACGTTGGCTCACTGGCTTTCAAGTGGTGTTTTAGCTCAGGAGCTGTGACATATAAAGGGATTTGCAGACCTATGTGTTGGGCATACGGGTTTGGTGGCAGAACAGCTCAGAGCTCTGCAGCCTACACAGAGGCAGGTGAAAGCAGGGGGCAAATAGAACTGCACTAATGCAGCCAGGCAGCATCTAAGGTCTTCATTTAGGGGAGGGGCAGTTACCTGTTAATGAGAGCATCCTGGGTCTGGAGAGGCCTGGAGGGTAGAATTAGGACTGGGTTATAGAAGCCATAGTTTTGGCAGAAGAAATAATTTCCTAACTCAGAGGTGCATATGGATGGAATGGATGGCCTTTGAGAGGTTGTGAGCTCCCTGTCATTGGGAGCAATCAAGTAGCTGCGTGGCCTCCAGCTGAGGATAGAAAGATTATAGGTGAACTGGGCAAGCGTGGACTCAAAGTAGATGACACTAAGCAGGCTTCTAGCCCCCAAATCCTGTGTGGCCTCATGGTTTAACTCTTTCCTGACTGGGACTAAAAGTGACCCTCAGTAGGGATGAGAAGATGGGTGACTTTTGATGGAGCACTTACTCCATACCAGGTCCTACCGCATCCATTCTCACAGCCAGCCCTCTGACCACTCAGGAGGGGCTGTTATCAACCCCTCCCCCCGTTTTAGAGATGTGGAGGCAGAAGCTCTGTGCCCATCTGCCACTTGCCCAGGTCACTCTGCTGAGAGAAGAAAAGCTTGTGCTCCTAACACTTGTGATGCTACCTCGCCTCAGGCCATGGCCAAAGGGGCAGGGAGGAAGTGTATGGGCCGGGGGTACCACAGAGGGCAGAGTGACGGGGACAGAGAATAATACAAGGGGGATGGAGCAAGGGGACAGGTTAAATCATCTGGCCTGATCTGTGGTACGACAGCCACCACGCTGCTCCTCCTGCCTTGGTCTCTGCACAGTGCAGCTGCCAGCCTGTCACTTCCCTGCTCACAAACCTTCCACGGCTCCCCACTGCTCCCGGGAAATCAAGTTCAAGGCCTTCACGATCTGGCCCCACCACCTCTGAAGGATCATCTCCCACCCCTTCCACGAGCTACACTGTCACTCTTCCTGGGACATGTGGGCTGCTCGCGAGGCAGCAGTTCACTCCCTCCTCCTTGAGACACTTTCCAGCTGGGCCTCCAGGCCTCACACCCTTCTCATTTCCCTCACCCCCCATGGGCGCCTCCCCCTCCTTGGTCCTTTCTGGTTCCTCCCCATCTCCCTGACCTCTGATCTGGCATTTTGGCCTCTCCTCCATCTACACTCACTCCCCGGGCATCTCCTCCAACCCCACTTTCATTCCGTCTATGAGATCAGACGCCCATCTTTACATCTCTGGTCCAGCCTCTCATCCCCTAACTCCACTCAGGCATCCAGCCATCTGCTCGTCACCTCCACGTGCATCCACCTCTCCATCTGCCCTTCTGTCCAGCCCACATTGCTCAGAATCTCCTCCCTCTTAGTGGTTTCTTTTCTTATTATTCAAATATATTTGACATATAACATTTTATAAGGTATACAACATGCTGACTGATACATTTGTATATTATGATATGGTTGCCATTGTAGCGATAATGAGCATTCTATCACATCACCTAATTATCATTTCTTTTTAGTGGTGGGAATAATTAAGATCTAGTCTCTTGGCAAGCTTGATTATAACTTTTAGCAGTTTCTGAGTTCCATTTTTAAGCTCTTACTGTAACTGAATTCTTTTGTGTGTTTTGATGTTGAAATTTTTATGGATGTGGATACAGAATCAACCATTATGGAAGATAGAGCAGAATCCAGGGCAGCCTTAAGGGGCATCAAAGGCAACCATTGGGGACGGACTGTTGGGGAGGGTGTGAGGGACAGAGACAGCTCTGCGCCTTGGCTTTGTTAATCACACGGGAGAGCTGGGGGCCCACTGCATGGGTCCGTGCATCCTTCCATGCATTCAACCAACACTGATTTGGTGCCTACTATGCTAGGCACTGTTCTAGGCTCTGGAGACATGGCAGTGAAGGCAACAGACAAAAATCCCCACCCCGGGGCTTCCCTGGTGGCGCAGTGGTTAAGAGTCCGCCTGCCGATGCAGGGGACGCGGGTTCGTGCCCCGGTCCAGGAAGATCCCACATGCCATGGAGCGGCTGGGCCCATGAGCCACGGCCGCTGAGCCTGCACGTCCAGAGCCTGTGCTCCGCAACGGGAGAGGCCACAACAGTGAGAGGCCCGTGTACCGCAAAAAAAAAAAAAAATCCCCACCCCGTGGAGGTGCATTCTACCTCTGTACGTGTGAGTGTGGGTGGCGTGGAGGTGGTCGCTGAGTATTAGGTACTATGAATCTCAAGGTCATTATGAGCACAGTGGGGTCCCCCAGCACCACCTCAGCCTTTCTGGTCAGTGTCCAGCGGAAGTGGGCACGGAAGAAAGGGAGGAGCTTCCGTGAGTGGCAGAAAGCACCCTCACCCCAGAAGCCCTGGCAGCCCCTCCCTGGGTCATCCCTCAGCCAGGGGCACGGGTCCTTACTCAGGTTCCTCCTCCTCTCCGTCCTCCTCCTCCTCTCCGTCCTCCTCCTCCTCTCCGTCCTCCTCCTCCTCGTCTTCTTTCTCCTCTTGAATCTGAGGCAGCTCCCTGAGTTGAGGTCAAAGGCAGGAGGTGAGGTCACCTGTAGCTGTACCCCGAATCCACCACCTGACCCCTATTTTTAGTACGATGGACTGTGACCCCCCCCCCAGAGACCAGACCTTAACTTCCCACCCAAGACTTTACCTGGGGAGCCCTGCCTGAGCAGCCCCGGCTTCTCTCTAGCAACAGGTCTCCCTCAGTGCATCGGGGACTGGTCCTGGCCCCCAACTGTCCTGGTGCTGACCCTAGGTCAGCCTCTGATCCTCCCTGGACCTCAGTTTCCCCATCTTTGCAATGGAGGTCATGGGCCTGGAGGCCTGAGGCCTCCTGGCTTGAGCAGCTATCACCCAGCTCACAGGTGGGTACTAAGATGGTTCAGCCCCTGTGGAGGGTGACCCAGACATCACTACCATGGTTACACATTCCCTTCCCCGAGGACCTTGCAACTCCCTTCTGGAAATGTGTCCTGCAGGGAGTACACACAAGCACATGCAAGGACATGTGGACAAGAGTGCTTGTCGCAGAATTGTTTATAATAATAAAATTTTGGAATCAACCTAAATGGCCATCAAGTGTGGACAGGTTAAATACATTCTGGCATATCCATAGGATGGAATACTATGCAGTTGTAAAAAAAAAATGAGGATGATCTCCATGTACTAAATGTGGAAAGATCTTAAGGTACGCTGTTGAATGAACGTAGCAAGGTGCAGATAGGTCAGTGCATGTGATATGCTATCTTTTGTACAAAAAAATGAAGGGAACCCATGCTCATATATGCTCAGATGGGCCCTGGAAAGGTACAGAAGATGCTGGCAGCCACTGTGCCCGTGGGGAGAGGGATGCGTGTCTGGTGGGAGGGAAAGAGAGGAAGAGGCAGACTTGGTGCCCGCTCTATGCCCTTTTATACCTTTGGGATTCTGTACCGTGTGCCTGTTATCTTCCCAAGCACTGTTGTTTTTTAGGGCTTTCTCTGGCTCCCACCTGGGCATCTGCTCCACCACCTCGCTCTCCTCTTCATCAGCTGGAGCTGCCTCTGAGCCCCGTGGGCTGCTGACCTCCTGGTACTCATACTCCTCCCAGTGAGGGTCAACATCTTCTAGGATGAGACTGGGCTCCTCTTGCTCTCCCGGGAGGATGCTGACTACAGGGGACACAGGGTGAGGGGGAGAGTGGGCCTGGGCCTCTGAGACCCCGGGTCCTCCTCCTCTCCGTCCTCCTCCTCCTCTCCGTCCTCCTCCTCCTCTCCGTCCTCCTCCTCCTCGTCTTCTTTCTCCTCTTGAATCTGAGGCAGCTCCCTGAGTTGAGGTCAAAGGCAGGAGGTGAGGTCACCTGTAGCTGTACCCCGAATCCACCACCTGACCCCTATTTTTAGTACGATGGACTGTGACCCCCCCCCCAGAGACCAGACCTTAACTTCCCACCCAAGACTTTACCTGGGGAGCCCTGCCTGAGCAGCCCCGGCTTCTCTCTAGCAACAGGTCTCCCTCAGTGCATCGGGGACTGGTCCTGGCCCCCAACTGTCCTGGTGCTGACCCTAGGTCAGCCTCTGATCCTCCCTGGACCTCAGTTTCCCCATCTTTGCAATGGAGGTCATGGGCCTGGAGGCCTGAGGCCTCCTGGCTTGAGCAGCTATCACCCAGCTCACAGGTGGGTACTAAGATGGTTCAGCCCCTGTGGAGGGTGACCCAGACATCACTACCATGGTTACACATTCCCTTCCCCGAGGACCTTGCAACTCCCTTCTGGAAATGTGTCCTGCAGGGGGTACACACAAGCACATGCAAGGACATGTGGACAAGAGTGCTTGTCGCAGAATTGTTTATAATAATAAAATTTTGGAATCAACCTAAATGGCCATCAAGTGTGGACAGGTTAAATACATTCTGGCATATCCATAGGATGGAATACTATGCAGTTGTAAAAAAAAAATGAGGATGATCTCCATGTACTAAATGTGGAAAGATCTTAAGGTACGCTGTTGAATGAACGTAGCAAGGTGCAGATAGGTCAGTGCATGTGATATGCTATCTTTTGTACAAAATAATGAAGGGAACCCATGCTCATATATGCTCAGATGGGCCCTGGAAAGGTACAGAAGATGCTGGCAGCCACTGTGCCCGTGGGGAGAGGGATGCGTGTCTGGTGGGAGGGAAAGAGAGGAAGAGGCAGACTTGGTGCCCGCTCTATGCCCTTTTATACCTTTGGGATTCTGTACCGTGTGCCTGTTATCTTCCCAAGCACTGTTGTTTTTTAGGGCTTTCTCTGGCTCCCACCTGGGCATCTGCTCCACCACCTCGCTCTCCTCTTCATCAGCTGGAGCTGCCTCTGAGCCCCGTGGGCTGCTGACCTCCTGGTACTCATACTCCTCCCAGTGAGGGTCAACATCTTCTAGGATGAGACTGGGCTCCTCTTGCTCTCCCGGGAGGATGCTGACTACAGGGGACACAGGGTGAGGGGGAGAGTGGGCCTGGGCCTCTGAGACCCCGGGACCACACAGGGAGCCTTGGTCATCACCAGCTACACGCCAGCTCTTAGCCAAGCAGCAGAAAGGGCACCGCTATCAGTGGGACCGTTGACAACCAGGTCAGTGCTAAAGTGATGGGCTGAAGCCCCCCAAGATCACTCATCCTGTCTCCCTCCATTAGTTTTCCCTCTCTTTTTCCCCTTGAGACAGAGCTTCAGTTACAGTTAGTCTTGTTTCTCACCGGAGCCTCCTTCTTGGAGGTTTGTGCAGAAGCAGAAACTATGCTTCCACCACAGTATTGCAGGTGATGCCAAGAGACCCAGGCTCGAAGTCCACCCTGCCACATCCAGGTGCAGTGGCCTGGAATGTCCTGAGGGATACAGACAAAGCTTGCCCACCACCTGTTCTCTAGATGCCGCCCCCTGGTGACAGCGTACTACATGCCCATCATCTCAGAACCTCCTTCCGGGAGTCTAGGAAGACTTCCTCCTGGACTAGAGGCTCCAACCTCCAAGGGAACTGAACTTGACTTTCTCGTGGAGGTGGTCTCACCTTCAATGTTTCTCCACGTACCCTGGTCCCTGGCAACGAAAACGCTGTGCGGCTGTGACCTTGGCAGAAGTGGGTGCAGGGGAGTCTCATCAGGAGCCTAAGCTCACCCCAAGACAGGAGAAAGGTGGAGATTGCCTGGTAGCAGCGGTTCCCAAAAAGCTCCAGCAGTCTTGGTGGCCTTCAGGCCAGGCATGAGTTACTAATGGCGACTTTAAATGGAAGCTAGCCTCAAGTCTCATCCTTTGACTTTGGAAGTTATTGTTCATGGTGTAGACTAATAATATTAATAATAGTAATGGTAATAATAACAGCACCAGCTACATTTATTGAGCATTTACTATATGCCAGGCCCTGTGCTAAGTGATTTACATGGACTAACTCAATCAGTCCTCACATCAACCTTTTGAAGTGGGAATAACTATTACCCTCATTTTATTTTCCCTCTTTTATATCTTATTCCGCATTTTACAGGTGAGCACGCTGAGATGCAGGTTAATACCTTCTTTTACGGGGCGCTCCCCACGTGCCAGACATGGGGCTGTCTGCCTTCCAAGAGTCACCTCACTCCCCACTCCTGCCTCCTGGCTTCCAGGTACCGATGTCATCCGGCCTCACAGAGGAGGCTACTGCCTGCCCTCCAGGGAAGGCTCCCACATGCTTCCTGAACTACGGTCCTGGCTCCCCCATCCCTACAAGCAGCCCTGGGGTTTGACCAGGGAGGATCCTCCAGCTGTGGCCCTGAATCCATTGGTGGGACATACATGTCATAGGTATGTGTCGTTCTATGTTGCCACCCAGTAATGTTGCAGTGTCTTCATCCTGATCAGCCCCTGAGGGTTCCAGTTCCTGCCTGACATCCAGCTGCCATCCAGGGGACAGAATATCCCCTGGCCTGTGAGCTCACGAGCTTTCACGGCAGCGCTGCCGGGTAAGAACACTACTCTCCTGCATTTTATTGACCAGAGAGGACGAGTGACTTGTCCAAGGCCACACAGAGGACGAGTGACTTGTCCAAGGCCACACAGAGGATGAGTGACTTGTCCAAGGCCACACAGAGGACGAGTGACTTGTCCAAGGCCACACAGGATGCTGGAAGCAGTGCCAGGTCCCCTGACTCATTGCCCTGGTGCTATCCCAAGTGACAAACATGCCCCAGGAGCGCCTCCCTGCCATTGGTGGCCACTCCATAATGGGCGCTGGAGGCTGTCCTTGCTTGCATCCTTGCTTTCCCTTGCATTAACCCTTTCTTTTTAGGTACTAATTAGTGAGTAGGCATTTTATAAACACTTCCTCCTTTCATCTTTGTGCCACGCCTGTCCCCATTTTACAGCCAAAGAAGAGGATGGTGCCGGAGGGTACCAGCCAGGAAGGGCAGGCAGGGGATACCAATCCCTGGGCAGGGCCCTTCCTCCCGTGGAGCTCCCAGCCCTCTCTGCAGGCATCTGATTCACAGCTCTCCCGGCTTTTCCAGGGTCCACCCAGGTCACAGATGGGGCTACGATGCACCACAGGTGCTCAAACTCACATGGAAACTGCTGTTCCATCCAGGGCTTAAACTTCACCTGGAGTCCCTCACGGGCACACCAGCTCTCGCGCAGCGTCCTCTCTGCCAGCCTAGCATGGCCCTTAGGGCAGCTGAATAGGGTTCTGACCCCGGCAGCCCCATATGGGGAGGGAGCTGCTGTTTCTAGGAGCAGCAGGCAGGAAACCCAGGAGCATGGATTCTAGGCCGAGGGCCCCGCCCGGTCCCTGGGTTGCTGGCAAAGCCCAGGCCTTGACTCGAAACGCCCATCCTCCCTGGCAGGCCTGGGTCATGATACCCACTCCCTCTGCCTCTCCCCGGTCCAGAACCACATCTTCTCCCATCTGACCCCCAAAGCACTAACTTCTCACTAACTGGTATTTCTCAAAGCACGGTCCTTGCCACTACCCCATCATCAGAATCATCTGGGGAGGTGGGTGCTTCTTGAAAATGCAGATTATCAGGCTCCCACACTCTTCAAATTGAAAGGTCTGGGCATGGGACATCCTTCATAGCTCCCCCCAGATGTGGCCTCAAGTTCAAGAACCCTTGTGTCCATTGCGTTCTCTGCCTCCAATGCTTGTTCAGCCTCAGAGTAATCTTGGTGAAGTCACTGCCCTGCTCAACCACCTTCAGTGGCTCCCCATTGCCTACAGCCTCGTCCCCTAACATCCGGCCCCAACTCTTCTAGTTTTACCTTCTGCCTCAAGGACCCTGGGCTCCAGATTAGCTGAAGTGCCCACACTCTCACCTCCAGGTATATGTTCATTTTATTACGTCTACCAGCTTGCCCTCCCCTCGCTGCCAGTTTGAGACCTCAGGGGTCTCAAACTCCAAGGCCTATGTAGCCAGGGAGATGGTGCATGTGGGTAAAGCGGAGGGTGCCACCTGCCCTCAGGTGGCAGCTGCCCCTCAGACCGTCCTCACAAGCACAGTGCGGGACCATTACAGCTCGATCTTCCCAGTTTTCAAGAGAAGCCAGATTTTTCTATGCAAAGCCACCTGATTTTTAAATGTTGACAACTAATTCCAATTTTTAAAATCACGCCTTGCCCCAAATGAAGACATCTGTGGAGCCAGCTGGGACCCAGGGCAACTGGCTCAGGACCCCTGGCTAACTCCTTCCAGCAGCCCCAACGCCACGGGCCATATGAATCCACCCACTTCTCAAGCCTAGGTACTCGCTTTAGCCTTATCTGAAGCAATAATAGCATGCGACCACAGGTTTGATGTGCTACCGTATGCTTTTTAATGTCAATTAAAGCACGTGCCGCTGTCCACTGGCAGTCCCCAACTCTTTGAGGCGGAGAACTATAGCCAAGCCTAAGGAGATCCTCTTCGGGGAAAAACTGTGTCCCGGGGGGGGGGCGCTGAGTGTGCCAGGCACCATGCTGAGGCTGTGCCTGCAGCCTCTGGTGGGAAGTCCTCCTGCTGTCTAGCCTAAATCCCACAGGCTGCCCTTGGTTGGCCTTCCCCTTGCTCTGGTGGAGAGGGGCCAACCTTGGTGTCCGAGAGGCAGTTCTGGCACTGGATCCCCCTCACCCTGCCTGGGATTGGGGGTGGGAAGCAGGGGGTTCAAGGAGGGTAGGGGTGTCAATGGCCACCTCATCCCCCTGCCCTGCAGGTCTTCTCTTCAGGGAACCCTTCTTTCCTTCCATCTGTCTGTCCATTTGTCCATCTGCGCTCTCCCAGGCTCCCCTCCCTTTTGTTTCAGAGGCCTCCAGCTGCCGCCACCCCTGAAACAAAGGAGAAGAGAGAAGGGTGGGTGGCGGGGTGGACAGGCGGAGGGAATGAAAGGATGGGGAGACTGGGGGACGGAGTGGGGATGGGATACTCATCCCTCACCCCTCAGGGTCACCCTTGTGGTGGGTTGAATAGTGTCCCCCCAAAAAACGTATATCCAAGTCCTATCCTCTGTTACGTGTGTGACCTTATTTGGAAATAGGGTCTTTGCAGATGTCACTAGTTAAAGATCTCAAGATGAGGTCATGCTGGATTTAGGTTGGGCCCTAATCCAATGACTGGTGTCCTTATAGAAGACAGGAGGGGGAGATTTGGCAGACGCAGAGGAAAAGGCAGAGATTGGAGGGCAGCTAGATGCCACAGGGCACCAAGGATGGCCAGCAGCCACCAGAGCCAGGAGAGAGGCCTGGCACGGTTTCCCACTCAGAGCCCCAGAAAGAAACAACCCTGCCAACACTTCGACTTTGGGCTCCTGGCCTCCTGAACTGCGAGAGAATACATTTCTGCTATTTGAAGGCACCCTGCGTGGTCCTTTGTTATGGCACCCCCAGGAAACTGACACACCCCGGGGCTGAGTCCGCCCCGTGGCTGCCCCAGGCCCCACCATGACCCGCACGCTCCAGGCACGCAGGGAGGCCCTGCTACAGCTGGCTGAGACCTGCCTCCTTCCAGAGGAGCAGGGAGGAGGGTAAGAGGGCTGGGGGCTCCGTCCTCAGAGCTCTCAGCGGCCCCTCGTAGGAGGGGGCGCGTGGGTGGCTCTCTGTTCAAGGGAAGGTTTTCCACTCCTCTAACCTTGGCCTGGCTGGGCAGCTGCTTCGCCCAGGGGACTCTAGTCACTGCTCCATGACAACTTGCTTTGTGACCTTGGACACGTCTCTGCCCCTCTGCCTTCCCCAACAGCCATAGGCGGCCCGCGCTGGGCCCTCCAGGGTGGCCACGAGCTCGAGACTGAGCGAGCCCTGCTCTGAGCCTCCCCTTCACGACGCTGTCACGATTATACAAACCCCATGACATCCACACCTGAGCTCCACAGCTGGCCAGCCTGTGGTGGCCGCCCATGTCAGAGTGCTCGTAAAGGCCACCATTGGCCCAGCGGGCCTGGGGCTGGCAGCGCTGGGACACCCGAGGCCCACGGTCCAAGGGCCTGTGTCCAGGGTGGAATAGGGCCACTGCTCCCAGGCCTTAACTCTGCTCTGCTCACCCTCAGCGCTCATCACTGGCCTGGCACAGAGCAGCCCTCCATGAGCATTTGTGAATGGATGAATGAATGAATGCCCCATATACCACATGCCTTTCCAGAGGCCATGAAATGAAGGAAGAGCAGATTTGGGGTCCTAGCCCTCCCCTCCTGGCCTCAGTCTGGGCCCCAGTCCTGGTGCACAGCTGGGATAAAAGGCAGCACACATACCCCACAAGGGAGGGGATGCCCTCCCAGCTCAAGGGGTCCAGTTCCCCCAGAGAAAGCCCATCTCCCCTCTTTCACCCCACAATCAGGGACTCTGCTTAGCCAAACCCACTGGCCCAGGGGGCTGTGGGGAGTTCTCACCAGGGGCTCCTAGCAGGAAAGGGGGGCCCATCCAACTTGACCTCAGAATTATTTTTTCTGGATAGAAGCTGGAAGGCAAGCCATGTTCCTGCCTATGTGTGCATCCACCCACCCCCGGCTCCCAGGAGGGGCCTCCAGCCACCATCTGGCTCTGGGCCGGGCTCTGGTGACCGGGCCAGGCTGACCTGAGGTAGGGCCTACAGAACATGGGGCTCCCCCAGCTCCAGGTCCGGAGGCTCTGCCTGCCCCACGACCCGTGCACGCTCAGACCAAGCATCCCCATGGAGACACACACGAGGACCCACTAACGTGTCACTTACTGCTCTGCACGTCACATGTCACAGGGGAGTCAGGCTCCTGTATGGGGAGAAAAGGAGAAAATCACTGCTGTGGACTCCTCACCGGCCTCCCTGCTTCCATCAGCCCTCCCGGCACACGCAGGAGCAACGGGGTTTCCTCACGGCTCCCGGGATACTGCAGAAGATCCCGTCCTGCTTCTTCCCTCCTGCCTCAGAGGTCACCCGCTCCTCCAGTCACTCCGCCACCAGGGTCACCACTTGCCTCGTCCCACCTCAGCTCCTTTGCCCAGGCTGGGCCCCTGCCTGGAATGCCCTCTCTCTGGTTCTCTATGTATGAAAAACCTCTCCCATCCTTCCCTGGAGTGTTGTCTCAAAGTTCCATCTGCACGAAGGCCTCTCCCTGCCAGCACCACACCATCCCCCCGCAGCCCCATCCTCAGGGATCCCCCCCTCAGTGAGCACATCTTCATCCACTGATCGCTCCTGCCACTGGACACCCCGCTTTCCTCCTGTTGGGGAGCTCCAAAGCTGAGCTTCTTCTGCCACCCACAGAGGCCATGAACGTGGAGCCTGAAGGCTCAGCCCATGGGGAAGGGACCCTGAAGCTTCCTGTCTACCTCCTACTGCAGGGGGACTGCGATCCAGGCCTCCTGCCCCCGAGTTCCAGGTGCTTCTATGAAGATGGCCAATTGTCCCCAAGAGAGAAGGGCCAGGTGGGAGGTTCTGGGAGAGGGAGAGGTGGGGGAGGCCCTGCGCCTCCCACCCACCCATGTGGGAGCTCTAGGTCGTCAGAAATGCACACAGGGCCCACTGGCTTCCTGAGAGCCCCACTTCTTCCCAGAACACTCCGGGCCTCTCTTGTCTCTGGGCCTTTGCACATACAGATCCTCTGCCTGCACGGCCCTTCCCCTTCACTTTCACCCACCCTCTTCCTCCTCCCCCTCCCCCTTCAGTTCTCAGCTTGCAGGCCACTTCCACTAGGAAGTCTTCCTTGATGCTCCTGGGAGGCTCCTCCTCTGCACCCCACATCCTCTCTGCCCGCCCCCCGGGGAAGCACCTCCCCCACTGACTGTGACCACCTGGTAGGAGGGGCTGGGCCAGCACTTGTCAGCCCTGTGGCCACAGTGACCAGACAGTGTGTGTGGAATGAGTGTGAGCCATGCAGAAAGGCGGGCTGGGTGGGCTGAGCTCCAGCTGCAGGCTCCCTTCTTCCTTCTGTGCCCTCCCCTCCCACCCAGGGACCATTCCACCCTTGCCTGAGCTCCCAAGACGCCTCCAACCACCACTCAAGGCTCCCATTCCCCCCAGCCCAGCACCGACCTGCTCCCCAGCCTTCCCACGGACCACTGGCTGTGGCAGGGCCACCTCCAGCCGGTGCAGGAGCCATGCCATCAACCTGCAAGGGGGAGAGAGAGAGTCAGATCCCTTCCAAGGCAGGCAGCAAGCTCACCCGAAGGTGGACTGGAACCCAAGCCCCCGGCCCTGAAAACCACTGCCCCATCCCTGGCCTCCCCAGGAAAGCCTCTGGCTACTGTTCCGACCCCAGCAGGTAACTCAGTCCCCCCTACCCTCCCTGCCACCCCCAAGGTGCATTTCAGGCCCCTCACACACTGCCAGGGCGGGAGCACCTAGCAGTACCTATCCTGATTTTATTTTTTTCATTTTTATTTTTTAAATAAATTTATTTATTTTTGGCTGCATTGGGTCTTTGTTGCTGCGCACGGGTTTTCTCTACTTGGCGAGCGGGGGCTACTCTTCGTTGCGGTGCGCGGGCTTCTCATTGCGGTGGCTTCTCTTGTTGTGGAGCACGGGCTCTAGGCGCCAAGAGCTTCAGTAGTTGTGGCTCGCGGGCTGTAGAGCGCAGGCTCAGTAGTTGTGGCACGCGGGCTTAGTTGCTCCGCAGCATGTGGGATCTTCCTGGACCAGGGCTTGAACCCATGTGCCCTGCATTGGCAAGCGGGTTCTTAACCACTGAGCCACCGGGGAAGTCCCTATCCTGATTTTAAATGCATGTACCACTTGGACCAACATCTCCACTTCCTCCGATTTATTTACTTGCACGTGAACGCAATGATGCCTGTACAACGCTATTAACTGCAGCAAAAGTGGAAACAAACCTGAATGTCCACTGAATGCGTAAATAAAAGCTGGTACATCCGTATAACATACTATGCAGCCGTTGAGAGAATGGAGCAGACCTCTATGCATAAAACCACCTCTGAGTTACATCTTTACGTGAAAAAAGTGAGATGAGGAACAGTATCTAGAGTTTGCTGCTGCCGGGTACGTGAGTTTAGAGGAGAAACGTGCTCAGAGCTTGTCTACGTGTAGGAAACAGCGCGGAAGCAGGAGAAGCTGCTCATGCGAATGCCCGGGGAGGGGGCGCTGCAAACCCCTTTGAATTTTCTCTCAGGTGCATGTGTTACTTTTCTAATTTAAAAGACTCTTTTAGTGGATGTTGGGCTGGGGCCACGCACTGAGTCTGCTGCTTGTGGGAGGAGAGGCATTTGGAAGGCTCACCTGGCAGGGTCCTGGGTGGGCGGCAGGGAGGAGGCCTGGATGCCGGGCTGGGGCTCTGGAGTCAGCTCCTCCTCGGGCTTCGGGGGGGCAGGAGCAGGCAGGGAGGGGCTCTCCTGGGCCTGCGGCACGGGCTCCATTTCCAAGGCGGGTCCTGGGGGCTCTATGCAGCAGGGAGGGCAGGAGACTAAGGATGACGTGGTGGGGCTCCATGCAACCCCTAGGGCACAGAGTCCAGATTCAAGGCGCCAACGTGACTGAGTGGGGAGCCCCTTGGGACCACCCCCAACTCCCCTCATCATCAGACAAACACAGAGCTGAGGTGCAGGGAGGGGAAGGGACTTGTTCAGGACCTCACAAGGCTGTCCCAGGCTACTGGCTTCCCAGCCTGGACCAAGGAGGGGGGTTTAGGACTCCCACAACAGCCTGCTCCCTGCAAGCACTGAACCCCGCCCCGAGCATCCTTCAGGCCCCAGTTGTACCCCCAGCCCAGTCTGTGACCATCCCAGGCAGCCCCTTCCCAGGTCCCCTCCCTGTACCTGGACCCAAGGCAGCATCTGCAGGCTCATCTCTCCAGCCCTGCGTCGTAAACAGGAAGTGACGTCACGAAAGAAGGTCAGGCGCATTCCCTGCCCCGGCCAGCCCCGCCCACCCTTCCCCTGAACGCCCTGCCCCTCTTGCAGCCACTCGGTGGGTCCCAGGGGTGAGGACAGCCTGCTGGAGTAGGTAGGCACTTCCTGGGTGGTCAGCTGCCTGCTCCCCCTTTTCCTCGACTTACCTCGGAGATTTTCGGAGGCTGAGGCAGCATTTTCTCCAGATTCTGCTCAAGCCACCTGAGCAGCCAGGGCCCGGGCCTGAAGAGGGGCCAGAGGTCAGCCGAGCGGCCTCAAGGAGTGCCCAGCCACGCTGTCCTGGCCACCTGCTGGGGTCCCAGGCCTCGAGCAGCCCTTCCTCAGCTCCCTTTCTGCACACTGGGGACCTTGGACTGGATACTCTTAAAGGGCCTCTAGGGTGGGGGACTTCCACCAACCTGAAATTCTGACCCAGGGCTGGACCAGGTTCTGGAACAACAGGCCCAGCCTTGGCCTCCTGGGCACAGATGAGAACAGGGGCTGCCTGGGGACCTGAATGCAGCCTGGGGGCCTCCCTGTGACTGGGACAGAGAGCTCTGGCTTCATGGGTATGTGAGCAGTGTGGTCACACAGGGCCCCATACTTAAAGGGCCCATTTTTGGTTTAATGCTCTATCGTCACTGTCTTAAACTCTTAATTTTTTTAAAGGAGTCCTACATTTTCATTTTGCACTGGGCCCCACCAATTATGTAGCTGGCCCTGGGACAAACGTTGGGTCCCCAGATCCATCTGACCTCCAGGCAGCCCTGTCCTCTTAAGGGAAGCTCTATGCTCCCAGGGGAACCCATCCCCCATATACGGCCCCCAAAAAAGCTGGCAAGTCCTTTGGGTGCCCTCATCCTAAATCGTTTTACTGGTCTCACAAGTCAGCGGAGTGGCCCTGGGGACCCATGACCAGGGCAGCCTCCAGGGGACTAAAGAAACAGACAGCAAACTGGAGCAATGGATGAATGAATGGAGTGTGTGATTGTACATATTCATTCATTCATTCATTCATATATTCATTCATCCCTTCTGTGCTGAGTCCCCTTTGTCTGGCAGGCACTGTGCTGGGCACCAGGGCGTTCAGCAGTGACTGAGACAAAAGCCCCCGTGCTCAAGGACCCGACAGTCTAATGAATGAATGAGGGAAGGAATGAATGGGTGGGGTGGATGGAGATGAAGGCGTGACTCTGAATTTCCAGCAGAGATAGCAAACTGGAGGCTTCAGGTTTATTGCGGGAGCTCACAGTGTCTTTGAAAACTTTTCAATTCGTTGGCAACATCTAAAAATTAAGGATTATGTAAAAACCTAAATTTCTAGCTTCTCTTGAAAAACTGGAGGATCTGGCCACACCGGGTCAGCACTCCTGCAGGGCAGAGGGAAGTGGAGTTCAGTGGGGCCCCTCTCTGGAGAGAGACGTGGGCTCCCCCGTTTGCCACAGTTCCCATCCAGCCTGCCACCCACCTCGGTCAGCTCTGAGAAGTCTGAAGCTCTTGCCAACCGTGAGACCAACCTGGGCACCCCAATGTCCCCCACGGTAGCCCAGGCCCTGCTTCCGGGCTTCACACGGCACCCACCTACTCGAGGCCCATCTCTGAGGAGCTCATCCATGCCTTCTCCCATCCTCAGAAGGTGGCCCCCACCCGGGGATCTCTCAGTAATCAGCACAAGAAACCTTGAGCAGCACCGGACCCATCGTTCCGGTTTTGTGGAGGAGAAAAGTGAGGTTCAGAAGAGATGAGGGGCATGTCCAAGGTCACACACAGGCGGTGGTGGACCCTGGGCTCTGGGCATGCTGAGCCCATCACACACACTACAGATGGGGCTTAAGGATGGGGGCTCACCCGGTGTCTTGGGCCCTGGGGGCCTCACCGTGTCCATCTGCAGAAGAAAGGAAGCCGGTCAGCAACAAGAGGCCTGCCCGGAGCTCCCCGGTTAGCCCAACTCAAACCCAGGTTCGAACCCGGGCTGAGTCAGATAAGAAGCTCTGGCCCCGTGGACTCACCCCAGGGAGCAGGGCCCAATGCAACAGTCCCTGAGCCCACCCCTAAGCCATCCTGTTTCCTGGCCTTACCTGAGCCCCCAGTGCTGCAGTGCCCAAGGATCTGTCCTCCTGCCTGCTGGGACAGACAGACAGACGTGGGCAGAGTGTCCAGGGCCATCAGCCTTCCTCCCACCCCTTCCCCACCCGGCTTGCCTCAGCTCCCGGCCCCAGTAGTACCTGAGCTGGACCCTCCAAGCCAGCAGCGGTGCTCTGGGCAGGCCTGCCACTGTGGACGGGCTGTGGAACGACCTTCTCCACACCCTTTCTGAGCCAGGTCAGCACCCGGCTGCTGGGACCACTGAGAGACAGAGATACCGGCCTGCCCTCAATGTCCCCAGCCCCTCTCTGGTCGGCATGGCAGTGCACAGCATCCTAAAGAACTTGGTTTGAACCCCAAACCTCTATCTCCCCACTGTGACACTTCAGACACATCACCTCCCTCCTGGAACCTCGTGTCCCTCTCTGGAAAATGGGGGATGCCAACCCTTGGTGCCATTCCAAGCCCACCGCTGTCAGATACTCAGTAAAAGCATCGCCGCGTCACCCTGCTGCCCCATTAGCCTGGCCCCAGGGGGCCCCTCCTGCACTCGGCACATGTCTTGTGCTCTGAAAGGGTTGAGAGTTTCCTGTGAGGTGTTTCCTTGTGATGGAAGCTAGTCAGCCTAAACATGAGGGTCACAGACTCACCTTCTGAGGCCAGCCCTCCACACCCTCTGCAGACACACTTACTTGGATAAGTACCAAGGGTCTAAAATGTCTGAGCTATCTGGGAGATTTCATGGAAAAGTCTGGATTTCTGTCTTCATTGGGAAAATCAGAAGCTCTGGCCACACTCAATCTGTGTTTCACCCAAGCGCTGAGAAACCTCTGGTCCCCCCGCTCCATTTCTCTTGGTCACATGGTCCATTTGGCCCAGGAGACCCCCACCTCTGCCTGAGCCTCCCTTCAGCCAATTCCTAAGATGTTCTGGGCCTTTGCTTGGGAGTGACTGTAGACCTGAGAGCAGTGCCCATCCCCACCCCCTCAATGGCTCCCTAGCTTGGGTGGGGGGCTGGCCCTGAGGAGAGGGGGGGGTGGTGCAGTACCTGTTTGCTTCCGGAACCACAGCGACCTGAGCCTGGAGGGATGTGGGTGGAGAAGGGGCAGCCTCCTGGGTTTCTGGAAAGGAGTCCCTCATACTTTAGAACTGGAGCCTCAGGGAGACCTGTTTCTACCCTGCTGGGGAGGTCAAGTCAGAGGCAGAGGAGAGGGGAGAACCCTGAGGGAGTCAGAAGCCCAGGGTTCCAGCTCAGCTCAGCTAAAAGGTCCCCACCCTTAGCTTCTCTGAGCCTCAGTTTCTTCATCTGTGAAATGGGTCTGCCAACCTCGTGGGCTGCTTCAAGGCTCCGAGCAGCGGAGAACACAGCCCTTTCCCCGCCTCCAGCCACCCTGCCAGCCTGGGCTTCCAGCACTCACCCTGAGGGCCCGGATCAGCCTCAGCCACTTCCTTCCCCACGCAGGCCTCCTCAGGTGGCTGGAGGGTTCAAACAGGACCATGTAAACCCTCAGAGAGACTAGCCTAAGGCAGGAGCAACCCCTGATCCCCCTCACAACCGACCCCCCACAGGATCAAACAGCTCTATTCTCACAGTGGTCTCTGTAAATCCTGGTGGCCTCACCTTCCACCTGGGATACTCCCTTCTTCCCAGCCCCAGGGGCCCCTCATCCAGGGCTGGGCCCTCACCACGCCCCCCCCCAAGGTGCCCCCCAGGCCTATCACATCCCCCAGGAAGCTGCCCCACTCAAGTGGCCTGAAAAGAAAGAGGAAGAGAGTTACAAGGCCTTGGGGCAACTGAGGGGAGGAGGAGGCGGGAAGAGCCCAGCCCTCGGCCAGCCCCCAGCCAGCTCCCTCTCATTCTGCGCCAAACCTTCCATTGCCCCCTAGTAGCTGGGCGGCCTTCAGCTTCTGCCCTCTGCCTCTCATCTGCCTCTGCAGCTGCACCTCTGCTGCTGTGTGCGCATGTGTGCAGGTACAGACAAGCACGCACATGCATACAGACACACTAACGTGTGCACACATACACTAATACACTCACTCTCATATACTTCAGACACACACACAGACACAAGCACATGTGTATACAGAAAGTGACACACAGACACGTGTGTATACACACATGCATACACACACGAGCTGACACAAAACTAAGTCCATCCGCTCACACATAGATGTGCACATGCAAGGCACAAAGCACATGTGCATATACATTTGCATGTGCGTGCATGCCCCAACACACGCACATGTGCATTAGGCACATGCCAACTTGTGCCTATACACATGTGCATGCATGCAGATGCACACACGTGCAAATATCTGCAAGTGTACAGACACAGACATACAAACGTGCATACGCACACAGTACATTTGCATATAGACACAGATATCTGTGTGTACACACATGTACATATACATGCTCAGTCACATAAACAGGCATATACACGCGTACCTGCACTGACACACAAACATGCACTCATGAACACATTATTTCATATGTGTGTTAACACACAAATACACACATAGATGTGCATACATGCACAGGTGCACAAAATATGTATATATACAAACATGCAGGCACATACCAATATGTCCATCCATACAAGCACAGATACGCAAACGAGCATGCATGCACACACACATGAATAGATTCACAGACTCAGAAACACACACTTATACACACTAGCCTGCCCCACATGCACATGGAACTACAGGCACACGAATGCGTGTGCACATACACATATGTGTGCGTACATGTATGTGTGTACACACACCTGTGAATCGGCATGCATGTGTTCGTGGGCACACAGTTTGCTAATACACATGCATACACAGACATACCACTAAGAACACGAGGCACACATGTATGTACATACACATGTGTGCACATGCAAACACATATGCACAGCAACCCTATACCTGGATAGCTCGCTGTTTCCTAAACACACCCTGCATTACCCAGTAATAGCCTTCCCTCTGCCAGGAAGGCCCCACCTCTTCACCTCCTCCAGTTACGATTTGGCCCAGCCCACTGTGGTTAGGAAGCACTCCTCCACCAGCTTCCAATCTCCAAAATTAAGATGACTCTCTCCTCTGAGCTCCCAGAGTTTCCAGTCTGATACACTTATTTCGTCCTCCCAGAAGGGTAAGCTGAGGATGCTGTTGAAGCTCCCCACCTCCCTCATCACCTCTGTCTCCTAGAAGAATAACCTGGTTGGGTTCTCGTCTGCTGACCCCCAGGGGCAATGCTTTATTCATCACTGTGCTCCCGGCACTGCACACAGGCCTGGCATCAATTAGAAGCAAAATCAAATCTGTCTGAGTTTCTAAATTGGTTGTCATCAGGTTCCCAAATGAATGGGATACAGAGCTGGGAAGTTTGATGTGCTTGACTGAAAGGTCTAGGGCAGTGCTGCTCAAAATGTGGTCCAGGAACCAGTGTCAGTCTGCAAACTGTTACTGGTCCCCAGTGATTAGGCAGTTTGCAGCAGATTGTATAGCAACACACTGCTTCCCTCATGCAGAAAGTCTTAAGGCAAAACAAATACAGCTGAACTAAGCCGCGTACTTACTTATATAGTAAATTTACATCTGGCAAGCTTCTGATCACCTCCTGGACTGGTAACAAATGGTTCATGGATTGGCTACTTTGAGTAGCTCTAGAGGTTGGTAAACAACAGTCAGTGGGCCAAATCCAGCCTATTGTTTGTTTTTGTAAATAAAGTTTTATTGGAACACGACCAGCTACGCTCATTCATTTACGTATTGTCTATGGCGGTTTTCACACTACGGTGGCAGAGTTGAGTAATTAACAGAGACGGCATGACCTACAAAGCCTGAAATATTTACTATCTGCCTGTTTACAGAACCAGGTGACCGCCACGTTTCCTTCTGGCTCCAATTTTCTCTGTTGTGGAAGGTCGCTGGGGGCAGATGACCTGAGCTGGGGATTCTCCGAGCAGTGAGGTCAGTGTGCCCTTCCTCACCATTCAGTTCTTACCAGGGACTCTTCCTCTAGCTCAGTCTCCTCAGGGGCTGTTTCAGGCTCTGGCTCCAACTCTGGCTCTGGTTCTGCCCCCTCCTCCTCCTCTCTCTTCACTGGTGTCCCTGGGGGCTGAGGCAGCACCCTCTGGACCCAGCCCAGCATCCTGACACCTGTAGGGGACCGAGTCCTTAGGCCTCTCCAGAATGCTCACAGTTGCTCCCACCATTCATGGGCTCCTTCTGTGAGTTATATATTTCGCTTTTCCTTCATCATCTTTAAAAACATTTTTGCAGTTATACCTCCAGGTATTTTCCTGATGGAAATACTCAAGCCCACAGACATATGTGTGTAAAGAGGTCGGTCACAACAGTGTTGGAGCAAAAGATGAAAACCATCCAAATATCCATCAGTAGGAGACTGGTTACTGGGAAGTACCTAATCGGTCTTCTGTAAGAGGGGCACGGATTAAATAAATTATAATACCTCCAATAATGGAATATTATGGAGCCATTTTTTTTTAAGTAGATCAATTTAAACTAACATGGAAAGATCTACACTCTTTGGACTCCAGTCATGAGCAAATCAGTTAAAGGCTCCATGCCTCAGTTTGCCTGTCTGTAAAATGGGGATGTTAACAGTAGCTATCTTGTGGAGGTTAATGTGAGGATAAAATAAACTGATGAGAACAGTGACTGGCACACACTGAGAGCTTAATAAACGTTGGCTGTGACTGTCGTTGGATGTTAAGCAAAAATGCTGATGCTAGACTATCGTGTTCAGCATAACCCCACTATAAATTTTTAAAAATCCATTATGAGCAGCATATGAATGGAAAATATTTTTTGTTTAATATAAGATAAAAATCAACCTATTTTCATGATTTAGAAATTTTTAAGAGAAAATAACAAGCCCCTTTTTTCATGGCTTACTGCGATAGTTCAACCCTGCCTTACACAGGCTCAGTTTCTGGCATCATTTACTTTCAGGGAATGGGCAGCCCTGCCCTTATGACTACATCCCTGCAGGATGGCCTGGCCCAGCGGGCGCCACACAGGTCAATATATGCAAACTCCCAGCCTCGAAGGACCCTTCCGAGGCCATGCCCGGCATGGTGTATCCTCCCTCCCCCCAGCCATGGGCAGCCAAAGTATTCTCTGTCCCTCGTCTGCCAGGGACCCTGGCCACAGGCTGCAAAGGGCAGGCACAGGGCCCAGGACCCCTGCCCCAGTGCCCATCTCCCCGCAGCCCCGGCCATGCTGCCTCACCTACTACTCACAGCCCTGACTTATGTCCCTGCTCTGGCCCTCAGCAGCCCAGCTTCCCCTAAGCGAAGCTGTGCTGAAGGACACAGCTCTGAGTGGGGGGTCAGTTCCCTGGCTCAGCCGCCAAAAATGTGACTTGGGCCAGACATGACACCTCTGGTCTTCCATTTCCTTGTTGGGTATGGGGGTAAAAACACTGATTTCCAAGGTTGGTAGAGCCCAAGATTGCATGTTTAGGATGGCAGATTCCACCGTTCCCAGCCAGCCGCATAAGCCATGATCACCTCATCCTCACCTCCTCCCACTCAGCCTCAGTAAATAAGCGTTTTCATCACCACTTCATAGCCAAGGAAATGGAGGTACAGAGAGGTCAGCAGACTTGCCCAAAGTGACACAGCCAGTAAGTGGCCCAGCTGAGTTTACGCTCAGGTCTGCCTGGCTCCAGGTGTCCCACATCTACCCCGGAGGTACTGATGTTTGCCCAGGATCGGCTGCTTCTGCAGGCCAGCCCTGCAAGCCATTTGCCAGCAGGCAGCAATGCTGGCTTGTGCTTCTGAACCTTCTGGAAATGACTAGGGAAACCTTCCCCACTCCCAGTTTCCCTTCTTCCCCCAGACCCAGCCACTTCCTCCTGCATAGAAACACGTGCAGGCCCCTCCCATCTTTTAGCCCTGTTGCTGCTGATTCCACGTTGATGAGGGAGGCGCAGGCGGGAAGGGGGGCCTGGGAGTGGTACCCAGAACGACAACAGTGCTTGGACCACCAGCCTTTCAGAGTCTTCTGGGGAGCTGTGGAAGATACAGATTCCTAGGCCCCTCTAAACCCTCTGCAGGATCTGGAATCCGTATTTCACAAGCTTCCTTGGAGAGTCACTAAGGTTTGAGCCTCACAGGGGAAGACAGAAGCCTCAGGTTTCCAGCCTTGCCGGGTTCTCCATGTCTAAATGGCTTGATGGGAGGAGAGCACGGAGGGAGTCTCATCAGGGGTCCCACGGAGCCGCGACCTCACCCTGAGTTACCTGCTCAGATGCCGTCCACCAGCCAGAAATTGCCTCTTCCTGCCTCTCTCAGCTGGCCTCTCAGACACAGAGGGGATTAATTGGCAGCAGCAGGGCCAGCCCATATGCAAAGGATTAGGAGGTTCTAAAGAGGGTGGGGAGGTGGCAGTGGAAGAGAAGAGATTGATGCAGAGGGAGCCGGCAGAAAACCCCAGGGGCCACCAGGAATCGGCTCCTGGGAAGGAGCCCTACATGGCCCTTGTTTGGGGCACCATGAGCTGCCTGGGGACCTGGTTCCCTGCATACCCTGGCCAACCCACAGAGCGGCTGGTGGGAGGATAAGAGCTTGGAGTCCCCAGGTGATTCTGGGAGACTCCTCAAGGTAGCAGGGGCCTGTCAACTCAGTCAGCAGTGGCAGGAGGCACATTCCAGCTCTCCAGCCCCAGTGCAGGGACTCAAGCAGAGTCGCTCTGTCTCAGAATCTCCTGCAGCTTGGGCAGGGCCTCAGCACCCCCTGCCTTGGGCTCCACCAGAATGGCTGTGGTCCCAGGGCTGGGCCTTTAGGGAGGACCCGAGGACGGATAGATGACTGACTGCATCCAAGCCGGCCTCCTGAACTGAGGTCGAACCCTAGAGGGGGATGGCGATCTCAGGGGAGAGCGGGAGAGGGACAGAGGCCCAGCACAAAGGGGCTCAGTGAGGTGACAGGACCTGGGTGGGGGGCAGGGCAGTGGGCTGTTAAGCAAAGGGGCAGGGGATTGACTTGATCATCTACAACATTTCTCGACCTTGCCTATGTGTCAGGCAGCCTGCCAGCCTTGGCACATTGAGAAGGACAGAAATAGGACCTGCCCTCACAGGGCTTACATTCCAATGGAAGATTCAGAAGTAAAAAAGATTAACGATGAACTTAAAAGTATTGCAGATACGCTGAGTGCCATGAAAGAAACACACAGGGCAGAGACATGTGTGAGGTGGTGGGAAGTGGGAGTGCGCACAGGTGCCTCTATGAAGAGGGACATATTTGAGCTGAGACATAAGATCTGAGTGAATGGTGTTCCAGGCAAGGGTAAATAAAGGTCCTGAGGCTGGAATGAGCTTGGATGCACCTGAGGAACAGAGAGGGGGCCAGGGGCTTAGTGGGTGTAGGGGAGAGTGGTGGGAGATGAGGTCCAGGACAGATCAGGTAGGGCCTGTAAGCCACGGTCGGAAGATTGGGTTTTAGCTGATGGCCCATGGAAGCCCATGATGGTTTAGAACAGGGGCCAGACACCACCTGTGCGGCTGTTTTGTAGTGGGCAGGTGTGGAAGCAAGGCACTAGTCAGGAGGTAGCGGTGGAACAAACCAGTGTGTGACTGGACGACCCCTGTCCTCTCCTTCCTGTGCAGAACCTCTGATATGCAACCACCCCCAAGGCAACTGGTGTGGGAGAACGTTCTTTCTGCCGTGCTCTGTCCATACGCCAGGCTGCTGGGGATCAGCGCTCCTCCCCATGGCACCTGCAGCCAGAGAGGACAGTGAGCTCTACTGCTCTGCCTGGGTGTGCAAGTGACGGCCAGCATCATCGGTGATGCTCACCCTTGCCTCTAGCTCGACGGAGGCCAGTGCAGAGATGACGAGGCTTGGACCGAGCAAGTGGCAGGAGAGAGAAGAGGGGAGGGGAGGGAAAAGGGAGGTGTTGAGGGTGTTCAGCCTAGGCAGCTGGCAGGTGGTGCCATTTACTGAAAAGAGGGAGCCTGGGGCTGTGGTGTGGAAGAGTTTGGGGGGAAATCATGCGCTCTACTTCGTTGTCTGAGAGACATCTGAGTGGAAATGTGCACCAGGTGGTGAGAGGTGTGTTTTGGGGGGTGGGGGCTGTCTGGAGTCTGGGAGAGGTGGACGACTGGAGACGGAAACTTCGGAGGCATCATCTCAGCTTGTAGATGATGCTTAAAGCCACAGGACTCATTGAATCAAAAGTAAAGAAGAGAAGGACCAGAGATGAGGCCTGGAGCACACTGGCACATTTCGAAGTTGGGAAAAGAAGGAGGAGCTAGGAAAGGAGACTGAAAGAGCTGCTGGTGGGGTAGGGGAAGAGCCAGGAAGCCGGGTTTGCTGCAGCCAAGACGGCTGAGTGTGTTGGGGGAGGATGGCCACACGGGACCACCGTGTGAGCGGAGGCTGACCTGTGCCCCAAGGCTTGGCAACGTGGGAGCATGGAGCCCGGCCAGTGGTCAGAGCCAGGTGGGCCTGGCTGAAGAGTAACGAGCTCTAGCGTGAGGCAAATGAACGAACCTCAGCTCCACCCCAGTTGGATGACTCTCGTGTGCATATATACGGAGGGAAAGAAGCCAGACTGAAAGGACCCCAATGGCCCATGCGTACAAAGCTCAAATAGGGCACAATTAGCCTGTCTTATCTATGGCTGCAAACATAGGTAGTAAAATTATAAAGAAAAGCAGTGGTTATACTACTCGGCCAGGAGAGTGGTTACCTCTTGCAGGAGGTGGGACTGAGAAGGGGTATGCGGAAGCTTCTAGGGGCTGGCGGGGCCCTAACTTGCTTTCTTTAGCTGACATCAATTTTTTAAAACAACGTTATTGTCGTATACTTTGTATGCTGTAAAATTCACCAGTTTTAAGGGTACAACTCAATGATTTCTAGTAAATTTACTGAGCTATGCAACACCTAGTTTCAGAACATTTCCATCAGCCCAGTAAGATCCCTCATGCTGGTTAGAATCACTCCCCATTCCCCCCGCCAGCCTCAGGCAACCACTAATCTGCTTTCTGTCTCTAAACATGTGCCTTTTCTAGACATTCTATGTAAATGGAGCATAAAATATGTGGAGTGTTTCTGTGTCTGGTTTCTTTCATTTAGCATAATGTTTTGATGATCATCTACATTGTAGCACGTATCCATAATTCATTTCTTTTTAATTCCCAAGAGTATTCCATGGCATACAGTCGGTTTCCATGGCATAGATATATTAGAGTCTGTTTACCCATCCGCTAGTCAATGGACACTTAAGTTGTTTCCACCTTTTGGCTATTATAAATAATGCTGCTATGAACATCTGCATGCAAGTCTTTGTGTGGACATATATCTTCATGTCTCTTGGGAAGATTCCTAGGGGTAGAATTGCTGGGTCATATGGTAAATTTATGTTTCACTTTTTAAGAAACTGTTACACTGTTTTGCAAAGTAGTACCCATGTCTTGACCTGACTGGTAGTTACACAGGGTCTCACTTTATAAATTATGAGTTACATTATATATTTATGCACTTTCTGGATTTTGTTGTATTTTTAAATTTAAAAGAGTTAAAAAAAAAATTGCGATGGGGTGATGAATGAAGTCCAGGGAAAGTTTTCTTTAAGGGGTGGGACTTGGGGATGCTGCTCTGGGGCTGGATGGGGCACTGGAGGAGAAGCAAATAGGGAGCCAAATCCTACTTGAATCTCACAGTAGGGGTGCCAGGGCCCAGCAGGCTCAGCACTTAGGCAGGTGTATGCAAAAGCACGTGCCAAGATATGCAAATAAGTTGAGTCTCCCCAGGGTTTCCTCACAGGGATGGGGGGGCAGGGTCCACCTCCAGTGGTTCTTTTTTTTTTTTTTTGGCCTCCCTGCGAGCCTTGTGGGATCTTAGTGCCCTGACCAGGGATTGAACCCTGGACCACGGCAGTGAAAGCGCTTAGTGCTAACCACTGGACCGCCAGGGAAGTCCCCCAGTGGTTCTGACCTTGATGGTGGTCAGGCCCCAGGGCTTCAGGGTGCTGGGCTTAGGACCTCATGACCTCGCTTTTTTGGGAAGGTGGGAGGGAGGCTGCAGGCCTGCAGGGAGAGTATCACCTGCTAATCCCTGTCCTGCTGAGGCCACCACTCTCCCTGATCCCCTTATGCTGACCCTGGATCCTGGAAGCCACTAATCTCCACCTCTGGAGACTCAAGGACTGGCAGGCAGGGCAGTGCCCTCTTCCGTGAGGCTTGTAAGGAGGGGAGCAAGTGTCCGTGAGCCCTGCCAGCTCACAGGCACTCCTCCCGGCAGGGCCGGGGGCCCTTGCCTAACACAGATGGGAGCTTTGAGGCCCAGAGACAGACAGTAAGTAGTCTAGGGTCACACAGCCTGCCCTGGCCGGCCCTGGCCAGCCCTGGCATGGCCACCCCCAGGGAGACCCAGCTCCTTGTCTGATTTTCCCAACATGCCCAGCCGGTGTGAGGCCTGGGAGGAAGGCTGAAAGAGGGGGCCAGGGCAAGGACCCCTGGCAGCAGGCTCTTCTCCTCAGAGCCTCCTGTTGTCATGGTTGCCGAGGAGCCGGTGCCCTCACAATCAGGCTGCAATGGGCATTGTCTCCGCAGAATGTCCCTTTATTCTCCTACTGCCTCATAAGGCACTGGGCCTCGGTCCATCTCCCTGCCTCTTTTCCCCATTGAGCAGTCGGAAGAGCGGAAAATCCCTGTAAGCCTGTGCACCTGGGGCCCGTGGCCTGCAGGTGAGGTACCACTGTAGCGGACCAGGAGCAGGGAGCCCTCCCTCCCCTCTACCCCCACTTCCCACTTCCCTGTCCCTTCCCCACGAAGGCCCAGCCTTCTAGCCGGCTTCCCCATCTGGTCGCCATGCCCTCTCCGTGCTCCTCCATGGCCCAAGGTCCTCTCTCCTCCTGCCCACCTCCCTACCGCCCACCTCCATCTCTCACCTCCAACTGGGGTCAGGAAGAAAGCAACGGGACTCAACAAATTCTCACTAAAGTTTAAATGACTCAAAGGCTCTGGGAATATCCACTTTTTAAAACGAAGCACTGGGGAACCAGCCATATTTTTTCTAGTTCCTGTCTATCAGGTCTCTCCCCTTATTTAAAACCTTTCTATGTCTCCCTGTAGAATGTTGGGTAAATGCCAGATACCTTAGCTAAGACCAGAAGCCCATAATTAATTACCCAGAGGCAGCCTGAGAGCAACTGTGAATCCACTTGCTGCTGCCGCCGCTTCCTGCTCATTACTGAAGAACAGACACAAATGGCATCTCTTTTTAGACCATTCGCTGAATCCTCCAGCCTCCTCAGACACACATCCCCTGTACTGACCTCTGCCGGGGTCCTCAGCACATCCTCTGTGTGTGTGTGTACTTCAGCGTCCCTGGCCCCCACCATAGCTCCTGGCACACAGCAGGTGGTCAGTACCTGTTGGACGAGTAGACAAATTGGCACTGGCCAAGGTTGTGTTCCCACACAGAAGGGTGTCTGGTTGGGGTGTCTCTGCTCCCCCAGCCATGGCCCGCATCATCAACCTGGTGCCCTGGGAGGATGGCTCCACCCACGTGTACGCATCCCCGGCCACCCTGCTGCCCGTGGCACGGCGGCGCAACAAGCTGGCCAGCGTGAAGCAGCAGCTCTACCACCCAGCCCTGCCCAGCCTGCGCCGCATGGACATGGACTCCGTCAGGGCCTGCCTTTCCGACGAGCACTGCCAGTCCACCACCTACTGCCGCAAAGGTCAGGTCACCTGGCCACCATCAGCCCCTTTGGGCCTTCGGGGAAGGCGTGGGTGGTTTGGCGGAGAGAGATCTCGGAGGGAGAAGCCATGAGTGGCAGGTGAAAGGGTTAAAGGGAGTCGCCCCAGCTCTGCTCCTCCCTGTCTGGGTATCCTCCAGGTCTGAGCCTCTGTTTCCTTATCAGTAAAATGGGGATGCTGACAGTGCTGGCCTGTCAGGGCTATTTTGAGATTAAAATGAGATAAAGCATGAAAAGCACTTGGAGTAGTGCCTGGCACATAATATGTGCTCAACAATAATATTATTATTAATGGAGAGGGAACTGTGCAGAGGCCAGCAGTTGCAGGAGGAGGAGGAATAATAATAGCAATAATAACAACTTCTGCCCAATCATCTCTCCCTTTGAAAAAGGAAGAGAAAGACACCTGTCATGAAAGAGAGGTGGACATGGGAGCCTTTGGGGTAAAAGGCCACACGGGGCTAAGGAAGAACCCTTCATCGATTGAGAAGCTTGGGTATGGAGATAGCGGTGCCACACAGACACCCACACTCACTCATTCCAGCACATTTACTAATTGCTTGCTTTGTGCCTGACACTGTGCCTGGAACAAAGGCGCTCCAGCTAGCGGGAACAGCACATGCAGAGGCCTGGAGGGGAAAAGCTGCGTGAGGTGTTGGTGACCTTGAGGGGCGTGCTTAGGTGGGAGGATAAGGAGTGCGGGGGCAGCAGGAGCTGTGGCTGAGGACACAGCTCAGGGAGGGCTAAGCTCAGGGGTCTGGGCTTCCTGGGGAGGTAGATAAGAACCTCTGAAGACTTTAAGAAGGAAAGAGGTCCGAGCACTGGGGCCGTGGGGAGTGGGTGACCCAGAGAGACTAGAAGCGGGCGATGGGGGGAGGGCGAGTGATTAGGACACTGGGAGGGACCACAGCCTTCAGGAAGTAGTGATAGTGTCTGGCCACGGGGGAGGGATTTGGAAGGTATTTAGGAGATAAAGTAACACGATTTGTAGCAGTGTGGGTAGAGGGGCAAGAGTGAGGAGTCCAGGGTGATACCCAGGTTCAGACCCCGGTGGCAGGTGGAGTGAGGGTGTCAGAGACTATAGGGAGATCTCCAGAGGCCCCACAGCGACCCCTGCAGGGCCAGGATGGGAAACACAAATACAGGAAGTGGGTGGGGACGCAGTGGGGGGAAGGGGTGAAAGGTGAGGTGGAGTCCCAATACCCCCCTCCGAAAGGGAGCAGCTATGGGGTCCTGCTGATACTGTGTGGGAAAGGTCAGCACAGTTCTACCAATTTCCTGGCTTCCAGGAGAGGCCAAGAGTCTAGATTTTTAGGGAGAGCTCTTGATTATTGCAAGTATGTTTTTAATAAAAGCAATGGAGTCACAGTTTCAAAATTCAAAATGCTGTAACAATGTACATTTTAAAAATTCTCACTCCTCCCCCGCCATCCCCACTTATAGGTAACCACTCTGAGCTCCTGCTGAATCCTTCCATTGTTTACTACTGTAAATACAACCTATTCTCTTCCTCCCCAACTTTTTTTATTAGGAACATATTCAAACATAGAGGAAGGTTGAAAGACTAATACTATGAACATTCATTACCTTCCACCTGCTTCAATTAATGTTTTGACACATTTGTTTTCATTCTCTCTCTCTCTCTCTCTCTCTCTCTCTCACACACACACACACACACACACACACACTTTAGCAAGCAGTTCCCAATGACAGAAACAACCTCAATACCATTATCACATCTAGGAAAGTTAAAAATAATTCCCTAATATCTAATATTCAGTCCATATTAAAACATCCCCAATTTTCCCCAAGATGTCCTTTATAGCTGTCAAAAAAATTTTGGAACCAGGATTCAATCTAGGATTGCACCTTGTAATTTGTTGTCATGTCTCTTGGATCTTAGTCTAAAACAGTCTACCCACTTTCCATTTTTCCCTCATAATACTGACTTTTTAAAGAGTCCAAAACAGTTTTATTGTAGAGGAGTCCTACATTGTGAATTTGAGTGATTGTTTCTTTATGGTGTTGTTTACCTTGATAGTCTATTTTCTGTGAACTAGAAGATAGATGTAGAAGCTTGATTGTAGAAGCTTTCACAGGTGTTGGAGGCCATATTTGCCATGATGGCTCAGCAGGAGGCACATAATGTCATTATCCCACTATTCGTGATGCTAAGTTTGATGACTTGGTTAGGTGATGACCTGAATCTATATTCTTCTTTGCCTCCAATCGTCTCAACTTTAGGCTTTAAAGCCATATAAAGGCATATACTCTTCTGCACCTTGGAAGGTTTTGAATCAAGAACTTCCTCTACTGATTTTTACTCAAGGCATAGTGAGGATGTATCATAGTTTATTTAACCAGTCCATTAATGACAGACTCTTGAGTTATTTCCAATCATTTTCTGTTGCAAACTATGCTGAAATGGGTAAACTTTCTACCCACATCATTTCCCAGTTGTGCAACTGTGAAGTAGGATAAATTCCCAGAAGTGGGACTATAGGGTCAAAAGGTATGTGTATTTATAATTCCAATAGATAATGCCAATTTCTTTCCGTAGACTCGAATCAATTTATACCCCCCCCCCACTGGCAACATATGGCAATGGCCCTGTTTCTGATAACTGCACTAACTTTTGGATTCTTTCCAATCTGATATGAAAAACTGGTATCAGTGTAGTTTGAATATGCATGCATCTTATTATGAACGAAGCTGAGTGTCTTTTCATAGTTTAGGGACCATTCGTATTTCTTGTGTTTGTGTGTGAACTACCTGTGCAGACTGTTTACCTATTTTTCTCTTTTTCTTCAATTTTGTTTTATTTTATTCTATTTTGTCTTGATTTATAGGAATTCTTTCAATATTAGGGAAATTGCACCTTATCTACAAAATAAGTGGAAATATTCTTTTCCCATTTGTCTTTTGACTTTCCTTATGTTTCCTTATGTTGCCATGCAGAAGTTTATTTCTATGTAGTCCAAGTTATCAACATTTTCTTTAGGCTACCTGATTTTGAATTAGAGTTGGTGAGGCCTCCCCCACCCCAAGGTTATAAAGAAATTTATCCATGTTTTCTTCTAGTACGTCTATGGTTTCATTATTTTACATTGAAATTTTTTATCTATTTGGAGTTTGTTTTGTTGAATGGGGTGTGTTAAGTAAGAATCCACTTGATCTTAGATTTTTTTTAAGTTGTCAAGTATTTCAAAAACCTTTTAAAGCAGTGTGGACCAAACCTCTCCTGTGTGGGCCTGTGACCACTAGTGGACTCCTCCCTTTCTCTTTCTCCTTTAGATGACTTTGACAATGCCTACTTCACACTCCTCGGTGTCCCCAACAAACGCCTGCAGTGCTTGGTGAGTGTCCTTTGCCCCTGGCCCTGGGTTTGCTCTGGGGACCTGAAGGTCCCGCGTGCACCCAGCCCCAAGCACCTCGAGTGCTGGGCTCTACTCCGCGCACTTCCTCAGCTACCAGCTTGGGACCCTACCCCCTTCGCATCCCTTTCAGGGGCTTCAGGAACCCCCTGGGTCAGATGGTTCAAGTGCCCCCCCCCGCGCCCTGACTCCCTTCGTCCTGGCAGGACATCACGGCGACCGGCCAGAGGCTCCGAAATAGGTGCCACGAGGGAAAGCTGGCGCCCATCGCACCGGGCATCAACAGGGTCGACTGGCCCAACTTCACGCGCGCCATCGAGGACTGGTCCCGCTTCGTGTCCTCTGCCGGCGAATTCAAGCTGCCCTGCCCGAGCAAGAAGGGTCAGTCTACCGGCGGGGAGGATGCCTTAGTGTGGGAGAGACAACTGGGCCGCTGGGTCCCTAGAGCCCTGACCCCGAGCGCTGACCGCGGGCGGGGGGCTTCGGGGGTGGGCTCTGACAAAGACAGGTCTAGGATTTAGGAGCAGCTGGGGCACTCAGAGCAGGCTGGACCCAGACAGATTGAGGTTCATAGAGACAGGGCTTGTCCTGGGGAGGGGGCGGGGCCAGGTCCGAGCCAGTGGGAGCCAGTGTGGTGGAGGTGGAGGGCAGGGTTGGTTCTGGGACTGACGGAGCTTAGTCCGGAGGGGGGACTGGTTCTAGGAGCAGGCGTGGGCGTGGCTTGATCTAGGGGCGGGGCTCAGGTAAGAGTAGGGTCGGGGCTTGCTCTGGGCTGGCGGGGGGCCAGAGATGGGCGCTCTCTCCGCAGTCGAGAGTTTCAGCGGCAATGCGGTGCGGTACTTGAAGCCGGAGGTGACCCAGAACTGGCGGGTAGGTAGGCGCGCTGCTCCGTCCCTGGCGGGGCGGGGGTGGGAGAGAAGCGGCTAACACGGGGTCGGGGAGGGGGAGAGGAGACCGAGAGTAAGGTCTCCCAGTGCCCAGGGCCAAGATCCCCAGCAGAGAGTGCTGTGCGGGGCCTCGGCGGGGGAGTCCGTGTCCGCTCTACTCAGTGGACCGCCCCCCCATTCCTCTGGCCCGCCCCAGTTCTGTCTTAACCAGAATCCCAGCCTGGATCGCTATGGACAGAAGCCCCTGCCTTTCGACTCCCTGTAAGTGACCCCGGGGGCCCCATACCTGGCGGAAGGAGAGTGGGGTCTTGGCTGCTTTCACCACCGCATACCTAGTGGCCCTTGAAAATGTGAGACCTAGGAAGAATTGATTGGCTCCAAAACACCACAAGAAAATTGCAATTTCAAAATGACTAAATGTTTAATTCCTACCAAACGGAACATCCTGTCATCCAGTCCCTAGCAACTCCACCTTTCAGAGTGGAGGAGTTAAGGTGGGGCGAAGGTGCAGTGTAATCTTGGTGGGATGGCGCCTGCCGATGTGTTTGTTCCCAGAGAGGGTCACCCTTCCTCACCTCGGCCTCACCCTCCTCTCTCTTTTGCAGGAATGCTTTCCGACGCTTCGGCTCGATCTACAGGTAGGGCTCCAACTGCAGGGGGGGGGGGGGGGGGGGGGGGGGAAATGACCCCGACCCCGCCCCACATTTGGCCACGCCCCCCAGTCGGGCAGCGCGCGGGCCCGCGTGAGGGAGGCGCCAGAGGATTGGTACCCTCCTGGATGATGTCAGGGGGGCGCAAAAGTCTTCCGCTGGAGAGATCTTCGCCAGGCAAAAGTGCAGCCCACTGGGAGGTGGAGGGAGTAGAGTGCCTTTCCCTCCCGATTTGGCCCAGAGGAGGCCAAAAGGCAAAGACGGGGGTTAGGGGGATTGGGGGGGCGGGGTTACCTAGGAGAAGAGCAGGGACTGGAAGAGTAAACAGACATACAAGAAATATAATGTAAGGAGCCAAGAATTTGCCTTCCAGGAAGCAGGTGAAGTGGTAAGGGCTGGGACAAGTGTTCCCAGGAGAAGAATGCAAGATATTCAAGCACCTTCATAATTTGGCCATCTCCCACCTCTCCAGCCCCATTCCCTACACTTCAGCAGTACCAGACTCCTGCGTGCAACCCAAACCAAGCAACCAAACACTCCATATCTTTGCTTGTGCTGTTTCAGCACCTAGATGATCTTTCTACCTCTGCCTGGAAAACTCCTCCTTACACTTTAAAGCCCAGCCCAGGTGTCCCATTGTCCTTGAAGTCTTCTCTGACCTTCTGCCTTTCCCCTCCAGCTCAAACCCCCCTCCAGTTGGTCTCCGTATATGCATCCCTCTCCATCTTAGAGCACACAGGCTATTGCATTATAATTATTGATGAAAGTTTGCCTTCTCTCACCCACCCTGTGCACACACAAGGGAAAGCTTTTTTTTTTTTAACTACTATATAATGCCTGCCAGAGTAGGCTCACTAAATGATTGAAAAGTGAGTAAAGCTCACGGGAGATAAAGATGAGGCAAACCAGAAGTGGGGCTTGAAAGTCAAACAGACCAGCCAAAAATATATTAAAGGTAATAGGGAGCCATTGAGGGCTCTTGAGCCATAGAGAGACAGGACAGAAGCTGTGTTTTCAGAGCCTCGAGGGCAGGAAGGTGGGTTTGGTGGGGAAGGCCTAGAGAAGGACAGCCTGATTTTTCCCCAGGACATCCTAGAGGCCCCCACCTCACCTGTTTCTTTCCACAGTCGTGTCAACTACCTGACCCCCTGGCGTTAATCTGTGAAAAGGAGGCCGATCCCCAGGCTGCCTAACCGTGCCACCTCAGGGTCCCCAGCAGGACAGAGGGTGTATGGTGGCAGCACCGATCTCCCTAAGAGTTTAGCCTGACTGGAAATAAACCTTATGCTCCATAAGGAGGCACCACACCCGTGTGTGTGTGTGTGTGTGTGTGTGTGTGTGTGTGTGTGCGTGTGTGTGTGGTGCAGGGGCTGGGGGAGGGTCAGGACCTCAGGACCTCAGGATGTCTTGCCCTTACCTGCCTCCTGCCAACTCCTGGAGGACTGGTGGCGGTGGGGGGAGTTGGGAAAGATGTCTGGTGACCCCAGGTAGAGAATCAGGGTCTAGGCCCCAGGGCCCAGCCAGGGATGAGGTACAGAGGCAGGCCTGCCTGAGAATTAGTTTTCCTTTTTGACCCCGTTCCCCTGCTCATAACCCTACAACAAAGCTCCTTCCACCTCAGACTCTGAACTTGAGCCCTAAAGAGAAAAGAGGGGCCTCGAAAGGGATTTTAGACACCTCTCTCAGAAGCCCTTGCCATCCCAGTGTGTGCTGGGGGCCTCCCTGGGCCCAGGGTTCCCCTGAAGAAGTGGAATCAGGCCCTGGAGGGTTGGCCTATGGTCTCTATTCCCTGTGAAGCAACTGAGTGTGGAAGTAAGATGAGGTGCCCAAGCCCACTCAGAGAAGAAAGTTTCCTCTCCCCAAAGCACCGCCAATGAACATACCATGTAAGCAAAAAGTTATCTGCTCTATTCACATAGCTTCAGGACTAGCCCTCATCTGCCTACCAACCTACAAAAAGGAGGCCTGATGTGCTGGGGACAGCCGTGGGGCTCCTGGGCCAGGTCCAGAATAACCCTGCTCAAAGTTTTGGGCTAAAGAAGAGTGTCTCAGCGTGGCTGGGTGTTAGAGCAGCCAGCATCAGCACTTAGCTCCAGGACCTTCCAAATACCATCCCACCTGTGGCCAGTCTGCAAGGACAGACCCAGATCAGGGTAAATAGCCACCAAGCTCAAGAACTGTTTGAACGGGACTTCTGGTGCTAGGATCTGAGGCCTCAGGGATCCACGAACCTTCTGAAATCATGTGCAAAACCGTGGGTCCACCCACATGTGCATTTTCCATGGAAAGTCTCCTTGTTTTCATCTGATTCTCAGGAGAGTCAGTGCCCACAAAGGTTAGGAGACCCTGACTTACATCCTCCTCATCCCCTTCCACTAATATTTACTGAGCACCTAGTGGATGCAAGCCTGGTCTCAGGTGGAAGGACTTTAAAACAATAATACCAGCCCCCCACCTCTGGACCCTGTGTTATACTGGTTAGAACACATCATCTCCTCCAGGCCTCATACTCCATAAGCACCCAGGAGAGTGAGCAGAACCAAAGCTACTCTACTTCACAGATGGGAAAACTGAGGCCCAGATCAGGGAAAGGCTCCAGCCAAAACCAGAACCCAGGACTCAAAGTCAGTCCCAGCACTTGCCACAGTACTCACATATAGTTTGTGCTCAATATTCGTAGAAAAAGTTATTTCCCAGAATCGGGGTCTTTTGTTCAACCTTGGGTAATAAACAAGGAAATGAGTTGTTTTGTTGTCTGATATGCAAACAGAGCCTGCCTTACAAATTCGAGGCTGATTTTAATTTCTTTTGGGGGTGGTGTTGGAAATCATCACCCTTATACCGAGATGAGGGAAGGAGTCTGTCTCTCTGTCCTGAAGTATGGGGCTCTGCTGACAACAGGGCAGGAGACAGGAGCGTGGGGAGGAGGGGATGGGAAGTGGTAAGCAGATCAGAGCCCTTTCCTCCTTGGGGGCCTGTCAAGGAGGTATCCAGCTTCCTGCCATTTGATGCAGGAAGAAGCACTTTCCTCCAAGCCCAGGGGCAGTCCACCTGGATTGAACCTTGGGAAGCCATTGGTGAAGGCCCCTGAGGTGTGAGAGCCACACTCTTCAGCCCTGAGTGTCCCCTCCAACATGACAGCTCAGAGAGAAATAGATTTGCCCAAGGCTCATAGCAGAGATGCTGGAGTCCTGGCCTGTGTGAGACTGGGGGCAGTCAGGGAGCTCCAGAGAGCGTGCTGAGATCCCAGAGGGAATCAAGTGCCCGTGTGTCTTCGCGTGGCCCTGCTTCCTTGACACTGAATAACTGGACAAGTCCCTCTGGGAATTTGGCCCAGCAGACATTCAAGGCCTCGCCAGACCCCATGCTGGGTGCTGGGACACAGACCAGAAGGCTTGCCTGCCTTAGAGGTACTTCTAGTCCAGTAGGAGAGAGGTAAACCCAGCTGATTCAAACCTGAAAGCAGAAGGTGAGAATGTGAGCACACCTAGATCATGTTCCTCAAGCCTAGGAATTTGATTAGGTCCTTCCTCACCAGTTGTACACTGAATCCTAATTTCGTAGATATAAAAATATGTGCCCAAGAATAAAGGAAATACAGAGTAGATGCACATTAACAAGTCTGATTTAGTATACACTTGCTATTTTTTACGTGCAAAGGCAATGTATCAATATTAAGCACTTGGCAGTACCCAGGAGGTGGGCAGTTTTAGACCCACTTTACAGATGATGAAATGAACTCAGAAAGGCTAAATGACTGGCCCATGGTCACACAGCTGGTGATTGGCAGAGCTGGGAATTGAAGCCAGCCTGCCTGACCCCTTGAGCCTGTGGCCACCATACTCTACTGCCTTCTTGCTATGAGAGCGATGCACGCCAAGAGTCGGGGGGAAACCAGTGGGGACATTCGACCTGAGCTTAGAGAGAGGAGAAGATGTTCCACCAGAAAGTTTTCTTGGAGTTACTGGCAGTGGCAGAATCTGCAGGTTGAAAATCCCAAGAGATGGAGAGAAGCCACCCAGCCTGGGCCTCTGTCTCGCAGCCTGGAAGTTCCCTCAGCCTCAGGGGGCTCTTTGCTCCTCATAGAGAGATCACAGTAGAAATCCTCCCTGTGGCCATTGCCTTGGGGACAGCCCAGCCCCCATGGCCTCACCTCCAGGACTTCCTGGCCTGATCCCAATCCAGTACCCAGGCCCTGGGCCTCCATGCGCTACCCCTACCCACAACGGCATCACCAGTCTCCTTGCTGTTTCAAACACCCAGGCTCCTGTCTGCCTCCTAACCTTTAGTCAACACCTTCCTCCCACCTGAAATGCTTTCCGCATCTCTTCCTACCCAAATCTCACCCTTTCTTCCAGGCAGGCCTCTCTCAAATCCTCCCTTCTCCCCAATTCTTCCCCAAGACTATGAGGACAGGAACCGTAGCTGTTTCAGGGGGACTAACTCATAGCCTCTGGCCCACCGTAGGCTCTTAGGAAATACTGCACTCGCCGGCCCCTCTTATCTCTCTAACAGGATCTGGGACTCAGGAATGGGGCCTGGGGCCTCCCAGAACCAACACACGGGCGTGGACTAAATGATACAACTACTACAAAGTAATAGTTGTGTTTATCACAAAGTAACACGCAAAACACATACCCTCACCCTGGGGCTGGCAATGGGGAGGATCAGGGATGGAGTAAGGGTCCTAGCTCAGGGAGGACGGGGTGAGGGTCGGGGAGGACTCTCACAGGTAATGTTTTGTACTAAATACCAACAGCTTTGACATTTCTGACCCTACCTTTTGATACATGAAAACCTCAAAACTCTCTCATCTGAAGTTCTACCTTCATGCTCTGCCGCGCCAGCTCAGTGTCTGGCAAACAGCAGGTGCTCAGTGATGCTTATGGATGAACAAAGGCAGGAATGCAGACCCAGAGTGGGGATGGACACACACGCATAGTGCGGAGGGAGACCCCACGGGCTGCAGCCCACCTCCGCCCCTCCCCTCGACCTCCTTTTCAGGGCCCCAAAGGAGGACTGGGCATTCCTGCCAGAATCTGCAAAAATCAATAGCGGGCCAAGGCTTTTCCTGGAGGCATGACCTTCAAGGAACAAAGAAAGCACCGTCTTGAGGATGGGATGCGGAGCTTATCACAGGCGAGCCCGGCCCAGGCGCAGAGGCCTTGGGCAAATTTCCAAGGCCTGAGCAGTCCATGGTCCTGTCTGGGGCCTGCTCTGGAAGAGGGATGAGGCTGGGTACTGGGAGGTCTGGTGGAGGCTGTCTATGGAGCTGCCTCTGCACAGATGGCAGGACAGAAAACGGAGGCTCCAGTCCCTCAAGGAGCTGAGAGCAGGCCCGAGGGCTGGCTGCCCCCTCTGCCTGCTGGTGAAGAGCTTTCCTGCTTCCATGGCCAGCCCTGGTGCCAGCACCAGTCCCGGCCATTGTTCCCGGCTTCCTGGCCCGCAAAGAGTGGGCTGGAGCCAGAGCCCCGGGCTTCAGTGGCTGAAGCTGGAGGTCTGTGGGCTCAGAGCCCAGGCGGTCCCACCCCGCCGCCTATCCCCCCACCTAGCCAGACCCCACAATGCCAGGCCTCTCTCATCACTAAGTGTACGGCTTTGGGAAGCCCCTGGGCTTCTCAAGGATCAGCACAAAACACTTCCTCAGCTCTGCCCTGCCCATCTCATGGAGATGGTATGAGGCTCAGACCAGCTGGTGGATGGGAAAGGTCTTGTGTAGCAGGGTGGGCGTGGGAGAGCCCTGATGCTCAGGTAGGAGAGCTAGGCTGGCTCCCTTCTGCCCCTGACCTCCCAGTGCTCTGCTTTCCTGAGTGGCCACTATGTGGCAAACACTCCACTCAGGTCATTTCACGGGACCCTCACCCTAAGCCCAGAAGACAGCATTAATGGCTCCATTTCACAGATGAGGAAAATGCGGCCCAAAGAGGTCCAAAAGCCCTCCCAAAGCTTTGGTGCTGATGAGTGGCAGAGGCGGGACTCCAGCCAGGCCTGACTGTTGTGCTCTTAACTACGACAGCACAGCGCTGCCACAGTGGTTCACGAGCACAGGCTCCACCCCTGGAGAGCAGGGTCCTCTCCCACTGCCCCCCGGGAGGCCGAGCACAGAGCCAGCCACACAGTGGGAGTCTGACAGAGCCGTCAAGATGATGGGCTCCCTAGGGAAGTTGTCTTTGGTGGCCCAGCTTGCTCTGGCAATGACTTCAAGGACCCAGGAAAAGGGACCCCCACCCCACCCAGCAGTGCCTCTTTCCCCAAGAAGGGGAAATTATTAATTCCAGAGTGTGAATTTATGTCAGCCTCTCGCTCTCGCTCCTCTGGCCCTCATCCACGTGTCACCCCTCACCCCAAGGTACCACGCTCTTCCCATCCTGTCAGTGGTTGGGGCAAAGGGGATGATTACTCGGAGATTAAAAATGATAGTGCTAGTTTGTAGCCCTAGCCACAGCACCTGAAGTTCCCCCATGAAAATTCCATGCTCTAAGAGATGGAGCCTCACATCAGCTATGGGACACAGGAAGCGATGGGGCTCCTGGGCAGGTAGGTGGGAGAGGTACCTGTGTGTGTGGCCAGGTACAGTGTGTGGCTACTTAAGCCAGTTTGCGCTGCTTCTGTCACTTACAATCAAGAGAGACCAGAATGAGACAGGTGGGGAGCAGACTGGAGGCCGAGAGAGGCAGGAAGGGGAATAGGGGCCACGGGTTGATCCGGTTGCCTTCCCAGAATCAGAGCGACAGGTCTCTAAGGACCCTTAGAGATCAGAGGTCAAGACCTCTGCTTCAGATGGAATCAAGGCCCCAAGAGGAACAGAGCCTGCCTGTGATCACTTGTTATCAAAGGTCTAAGACCTGAGCCTGAACACGCAGGCCCCCAGGCCAGGGCTCCATTCATGGCCCTGGTTTTGGCCCAGGTGGGAGCCCCACTGCTTTGTGAGGGGAGGCAAGGTGGGGACAAAGGAAGAAAAAGTCATTGCACCCTCCATGTGGGCCCATGCAGGGCTCCTCTGGCCCCTGGCACACGCAGAACACCATCTGTTCAGGAAGAGCAACCTGAAGCTATAAAGCACCCAACACGTGCCAGTGCTTTCCAGGAGTCTCTGCGAGGTGGGTGGGTTTTGCCTAAGGTCACTGAACTAGAAAGGAAGCCAGGATTCAAGCCGGGCACAGAGACAAGGGGCCCTGGGCGTCCTCGCTGAGAGGTGGACGCTTGCACACGGCTTCTCAAGGGCAGAGTCCTCCTGTGGCCACACATGGAGGGAGTAAGAGGACCATGGGGTCCTGGTCACATCCAGGGTCCCCCCTGGCGTCTCCACTAAGACTTCTGCAGCCAGTTTTGAGCTCTCTGCGGTGTGGGTAGCTCCTTTTCCTCTTTCTACCCTCACCTCCACCCCTACCTTCAGGGCAGGGGTCCCTCCTGACCACCCTCCACTGGCTCTCAGACCTGGGGGGAGTTGCTTCTACCTTCCTCTCCCCACCTCCACCCTTGCCTTTGAGAAACAGAAGGAGCCTGAGTTGCAGTTGGCCCAATGCAGGACAGGATAGGGGACAGAAGAGGGGTGCAGGAAGGCTGAGATGCAGGTGGCCAGGCTGGACATGCAGATGGATCACCGTGCGACAGGGTGAGCAGGAGTGGGGTGAGAGCATGTGATCCTCGGGGGCGGCGCCTGTAGGCTGCTCCAGGCAGACCCTGATTTTCCACTGGGGCTAAGCAAGCTCTCCTGCTTACCAGGCTCAGTGCCCAGCTTCTGACCATCCATGAGTTGCCAGTCCCTCACAGATCAGCTCCCTTTACAGGGGCTGCAGTTAAACCCCAAGGATGTCAAGAGGTCACAGCCCAAGGATCCCAAGTGTCCTGCAGTTGGTACCGTCAGCATCGTCACAGCTTCCCCACCAGGGCCGCCGTATGCGATTCCACTTAATTCTCACAAGAACCAAGCAAGGCAAGGGTTAACCTCCCCATTTTATAGATGAGGCAACTGAGTCCCAAAGAGGTTAAGTGACTTGCCCAAAGTCACACAAACAGAATGTTCAAAACATTCGAACCCAGCCTTATGTCCCAATCCCAAGCCTGCCACCCTGGACTGCACACCTCACTCCCTCTCCACGTCCCAACATTCCCCTCTGAAGAATGACCAGAACAAACTGTGCTTTGGTCTGTGAAGGTCAATGTCTTTACTTCTAAAGCATACATTGGACTCACTATATATTAACATCAAAAGGGCTATCTAAAATGGAGTCATTCTTTTTAAAAATCCAAATTCTCACATTTTTATATAAGATCCAAAATGACATGAAATTAAACTATACAATGTTATGAACAGTATAACAACTGCTTTTAGAAAGCAAAATGAAAGAAAAACATTAGCAGTTGGGACTGTTGTCAGCCTGGGTTCCACGTCTTTTGAGGCATTGTGACTAAAGCCAGCACCGAGGGGAAGGACCAGCCCCTCTCTGCAGGCACAGGAAGGGAACCTAGGCAGAGGAGGGGGATGAGGGCTTTTCAGACTTCTGAAGGTGAGAGTGGGACAAGACAGGTCTCCCTGCTCCTCTGGGATCTTGGGGTGGGCACTGATTAAAGTCTCCTTTTAAGACCCAGGGAAGGGGGCTGGGAGAGGGTGGGGCAGAGCTGGGTTCAAAAGAATCATTTTGATAGTAAAGGTCTTCTGGCCTTCCCGAGGACAGTCCCGGCCATCAAGCAATACCAATCGACTCCATCTACCTACCGGTTTCCTTAACAACCCTCTTCCCCTGCCCACTCCTTATCCTGAACACCCTCGGCTCCATGAGCCCAGTGGGCAGCCAGAGACCTAGGGGGACCCTAGGAGGACCCGAAGGAGAACACTATGGCCTTGGAAGTAGCTGGATGTTGTCCAGAGCATCTTGGTAGAGCAAGACCCCTGAAGTACAGGCCAGCAACCAGACTGATGGGGGAGGGTGCGCATGGGCTGGGAGGGCACTGTGAGGTCAGAGGCGTTCCCATGGTCCTTTCACCTCCCCTACCCTGGGTACCCAGGCATGGTCTTGGCCCTGAAGCAGGGCTGGGGCGAGCTGATTAGGGCCACGCCCTTGAGGCTTTGGTTCACACAATTCAAAGGGGTGACACTTGTTCCCATCCACTGGGAAGATCACGGGCTTGGCCCTGCTTCCTCCCAGGCACCAGGTGATCTAACAATCCCCTCTTTCACATCAGTAGTTCTGTAGGGCTGAGAGCACATTCCCCACCAGTGCTTGGAACCATGCCGCAAAGGTGGGAGGGGCACTTCTAAAACAGTGGGATTAGCCCTGGGTGCAAAGACTGCCTTTCCTCCTTTCCCTGTGGACAGCACTGTCCCTGGCTGAGTGAGTCACAGGAGAACTTCTCTGCCTCCTCCCTTCTGGCTGGGCCAATTGTTCTCCAAGCAGACTGAGCCCACAGGTGTGTAGCACCCCTGTATGTCTCGCCTGCCAGAAACCTGGAGGATGCATCGCCCCGGCTGAAGCTGACGGAGAGGCCGGTGGCTCACAGTTTGCCCTCCTGGTTCCAGGACTACACCACGGAGCTGGCCTTCTCCCTCAAACAGCAACCTGAAGGGCGATGCCCTACACCCAGCTTACCTCTGGAGTCCAGCCCTTCTCCCAGGCCCTACCGTGACCCTCCTCTTTCCTAACCTATCTGATTTCTAATTAGGCTGAAAGGTCTGGGAAGGTTGGGCTAGCACCACCCCCTCGTTGGGGTGGAGAGAGGCCATTTGACTTCCAGCCTGGTTCCAGGCCCCCAGAGACAAGGGAGGCTGAGGTCTCTCAAGAAAGCGAATCCTGTAATGGGAAAGAGGTCTGTGGGGTCAGGACCAGCCACAGCAATCTGCCGCCCCCGCTCCTCCCCCCAGGCCTGTACCGGGAGTGCCAGACACCCACACCCTCCACCTGCCCAGGGCCTCCCTCAGAACACCGAGCCGGGTGCAGGGATGGGTGCGAGGAGGCCGGGCCGGGCCTGGTGGGGGCCGCGGCGGGGACTCAGGGCAGGCAGGCGGCTACCTGGTAGGCGCCCTCGGCCGCAGCGGCGGCGGCGCTGTGCTGCGCGCTGTGCTCCTGCAGCAGGGCCACGTCCAGGAAGCGCTCGCCACACCACACGCACTTGAACTGCTGCTCCCGGGCGTGCACGCCCTGGTGCTTGTTGAGGTGCTCTCGCTGCTTGAAGGCCTTGTCGCAGTTGGGGCACTTGTAGGGTTTCTCACCCGTGTGCACCCTCCGGTGCCGCTGCAGGTCGGAGGCGTACTTGAAGCGCTTCTCACAGTCCGGGCACTTGAGCGGCTTCTCGCGGGCCGGGTCGCAGCGGTGCTGCACGAACTCGGAGGACGAGAAGAAGCGGCGCTCACACAGGGTGCAGCGCAGAGGCTTCTCGGCGGCCGAGCAGTGGGCCAGCTGGTGCTTCTGCAGAGCCGACGCCCGCTTGTAGGCCTTGTTGCACACCGGGCACTTGAAGGGCCGCTCGGCCGCGCCTGGCAGGCACTTGTGCCGCAGCAGCTCGGCCGACTGGTCGAAGCCCTTCTGGCACACGGGGCACTTGAAGAGGGTCTCGAGGGTGTGCACGTGCTGGTGGTAAAGCAGGTGGCTGGGCTGCCCGAAGCCCTTCTCGCACAGGCCGCACTTGAAGGGCTCCTCGGTCTTGTGCGTGCGCCGGTGCCGCATCAGCGCATACTGCTGCTTGAAGCCCATGGGGCACAGGTCGCACTTGAAGGGCCGCTCGGCGCTGTGCGTGCGCTCGTGCTGCCGCAGGTCCGACGGCCGCTTGAAGGCCTTCTGGCACTCGCCGCAGCGGAAGGGCCGCTCCCCGCTGGGCGTGCACGGGTGCTGCAGCAGCTCGGATGACTCCTTGAAGTGCAGCTCGCACACATTGCAGCGGAACAGGTGGTGCTCGCCCGAGTGTGCGTACATGTGGCGCACCAGGTGCGAGCGGTGCTTGAAGGTCTTCTCGCAAACCGCGCACTTGTACGGCCGCTCCGAGCTGTGCGTGCGCTTGTGGTGCACCAGGTGGGACGACTGGCTGAAGCTCTTGTCGCACAGCGTGCACTTGTAGGGCTTCTCGCCTGTGTGGATGCGCTCGTGCCGCGAGAGCTCCGACAGGTGCTTGAAGGGCTTCTGGCAGATGGGGCAGCTGTACGGCTTGTCGGCCTGTTCTGCAGGGGCTACGGTGGGCGGAGCGGGTGCCGGGGGCAGCGAAGGGGCGGCCGTGGCCGCGGGCTCAGCCGCCTCGGTGGGCTTGTAGGTCTTCTCGCAGATGGAACATTTCACGAGGCCCCCAGTGCCGCTGTGCGCGCTGTGGTGCTGCGCCAGCGACGTGAGCAGCGAGAAGCCCATCTTGCAGACGCCACAGACAAAAGGCTTCTGTTCGGCCTGCACGCACTGGTGCTCCAGCAGGTCGGTAGCCTGGTGGAAGATCTTGAGACACTGCGTGCACTGGAACGAGCGGTCGTGGCCCGCCAGGCACTGGTGCTCATGCGGGCTGGACAGGTGCGCCAGGTCATGACCGCACACGCCGCACTTGGGGCCCGGCTCGCCTGCTGGCTGCAGGGGCGCATGCTGCGGGGGCTGCAGGCCCGGGTCAGGCTGCAGAAGGATGCCATAGACGGCACAGCCCAGGGGGTTCTCAGCTGTGCCTGGGGTCAGTGTGTGCTCGGCCAGGGCCGGCGGTGGTTCTGCGTGGTGTTGAGGCTGCGGCGGCTGCGGCTGCTGCGGCTGCGTCTGTGGTGGCTGCTGCCAGCTTTCCGACATGCTTGGGAAGATGAAACAGGGTTTGGAGAGTAATGGCTTCAGTTTCCCCGCTTAAGTTGACCCACACCAGAGAGAGAAGCTGCCCAGGATCAGGTATGGATGAGGACCTCAAACAAGGCACAGAGAGGGGCTAGTCAGGCAGCCCAAGTCATTAACCAAGACAGACTACAAGGCTCTGCCTACAGGACGGGGGTCTTCGAGGCAGGGTGCCAGCAATGGCGGGGAAGCTCTGCCTTCCCTGATGATTGGTTCTGTAGAGAAGAAAGAAACCGTGAGCTTGAGGCAGGGACATGCAGCTGCTCCCGGGGCCTCTCCCTGATCTGCCTGCACTCGCCACATTGACATAAACCACATCAGGGAAGCAAGAGGGGCTCAGGGCTGGGAGATCTGCTCCCTTCACATGCTACCAAAGAAGTCTGCTGGCGGCTCAGCTCCTCTGGCAAAGGGGATGGTGGCTGTCTCCATGCCCAACCCCCATTCAGTTCCCCATCCCTGGGCCAGGCATCCCAACCTCCCAGCTCACTGTCATCCCTCTTCAATTAGCTGTCTCATGGGTGACAGTCTGGGGTGATCTGTCCACAATACAGAGAAGTCACAAGTTCTGCTCTTGCTCCAAAGAAAGAAGGAGGTGACCAGATAGGGCCCTGGCATCCAAAACAAGAATCTTAGTAACATAACTTTATATTTTGCAAAACACTTCTTACTTGGAAGCCCAGTACCTAAGATAGATAAAAGCAGAAAGGCTCTGGTTGAGGCCTCCCTGTAGGCCTGCCAGCTTCTCTCCTGTTGCTGAATCTCAACCCAGGACACAACTGCTCATAAGAACAGACTGTGGGTCTAAGAGGCCAGGCCTCCCAGACCTGAGGGCCCCACAGCAAACGGCCTCAGTCAGTCAATATCTAAAACAACTGCATGAAACTGAGGACCATCTCAGAAACCTTCTCCCATCAGGGGCTGGCCCATACCCCTCTCAACTACCCCCCAGGCCCTCCCCGACCATGTGTCTGTTCTCTCTTCACATAAGTGGGATGGCTTTACAGGGACCTGAGCCAGTGCATGACGGGGGTTAGATGACGGGTCCACAGACCCACGCAGCCTACATGTCTACATGGCAGAAGTTCCCTAGTCTAGTCATCTCCCAGAGCACCAAAACAAGTCCTAAATCCTCTTCATCTGACAGTGTCAAGGCCTGTAGGAAAATGTAAGCGATTTCCAGTTTGCCCCTGCAAGCTGGGAAGTGGCATGCTAACCACAGAGCGTTCGTCCCTATCACCTTTCCGGAGAGAACCCTGTTCCCTTGCTCCAAGTCTGTAACATTTTGGATAATCAGTGGAAGGTAAAGACCACCCAGCTCAGGCAAATCTCTAACTCACCACTTTGTGGCAGCATAAGGTAATGACAGCGAGAGGGAAGAACTTTTAGAATCAGACACAACCCACTTTCAGGTTCCCAGCTCTTCTGCCTCTAACATTGAAAAGTTTCTAAGTTTTCTCCCGATGAAAAGAGAAGGAAGGGGATGCCTTTACTGGCCAGCCTGGCCTCTAACTGCCAAAGAAACGTAAGAGTCGGGCTAAAAGCTGTCAACCTCAGCATCTTTCTGGGAAGAGAAGAAGTAAATAAGCCGCTGCTCTGGGTGGAGGCAGCAGGTTGCATGAGTGAGCAGGTACTGAAGCCTCCCCAGGAAAGAGGGAAGCAGAACTACTCTGAGCGAGGTCTAGGTCAGGCTGCGCCAACCCAACTGTTTTTGTTTTTTTTTTTCCGGCATGAATGGCTGCCACACAGGGTCCACGGTCCTAGGCCCCCAGCTCAGCTGCCCACCCTGGCCCCCCTCCAGGAAGGTGCGGCCAGAGGCCTCTCTGATCACTCAGCAAAGAGGATGAGAGACTAGGGTGAGGGCAGCAAGCGGAGGCCCCCACCTGAGCCCCACCCCAGCCCTTCCTCTTCCCTGGGAAACCGAATGAAAGCCGATCACCTCCCTGCCGGCAATGCCCGCCGGCCCAGCTGGGCTGCCTCCTGTCAGCCCTCGCCAGGAATGGACAGGCCGCTGCGGCCCGAGGGCCGGCCCCGCGGGCGACTGGGCCCGAAAAAGGCCCCAGGGCTGCAGGCTTGGCCCGGGAGACAGCTGCGCGTCGAGGTCGGCCTGGGCCGCCCAGGAGTTCAGGAGGCCGCCGGGTCGGGCTGGAGGGAGTGGAGGGGCGGCCGGGCCGGCTGGGGAAGGGGTGCGGCGGGCGCGGTAGGGGCGCCCAGCCGCGGCCCCGGGCGCCCAGCCGCTCACCTGCTCCAGGCCGCCCGCGGGGTCAGGCTCAGGGCGAGTGGCGACCAGCTGCTCTCTCAGCCGCCCCTTTATTCCGACTCCATCCGCGGCAGCGCGGCCTACGCGCTCTGCCAATCCCCGGCCTCGCGTAGCGGCGGCGTCCGGCTCGGGGGCGGGAACGGGCTAGCGGCGGCCGGAACCGAGGAAGCGACGTGCGCGGCCGGGATAGCGGGGCCGGGGCGGAGGAGCGCTGGGAGGGCGGGCGGACGGACCGATGGCCTTGCAGAGACCGGCGGACAGGCGGGCGGCGCGGGGGCCAGGGAGGCGGGGCCGGGGGGAGGAGCGGCAGCCTGGGTGGCGGCGGCAGCGGGAGGAGCGGGCGGCGTGGAGCGAGGCCGCCCCCTGCCGGGGACCCCGCGGCCGGGCCGGGTCGGACAGCCGCGCGCGCCGGGCCGGCTCTCCAGTCGCCCGGCCGGCACACCTCAGCTGGCCCAGGGAGGGCGCTCTGTTTCCGACCACCCTACTCGGCCTTAAGGGTGGGAGCTCCCAGGACCCAGCCCCCTGTCCGACCCCTGAACCTGAGAGGAGGGGCCTCCTAGACTCAGAACTTCTGGAACTGACCCGCCTCTGACTGTTCAGCTCGCTCTTAGGGGAGGGGACCCCGGAGCTCGTACTTTGGGCCAGCTTGAGGAAGAGGCCCCGGGACCTCTGACCCCGCCCGGACGGCGAGGGCAAGGGTGCGGGCACTAGACTCCGATGGCTCTAATGCGCTGACCTCTGACCCAGAGACCATCTGCTGCTGGGAGGTCCCGAGCTGCTGCAGACCGAGCAGCGGACAGAGAGGTCAGAGCCGAGAGCGATCTGTTTAATGGGCACACGGAGGATGGCGGTTCCGGGAAGCTCCAGGTAGTGGTCAAAGCGCGGCGAGCCAGCAAGTGTAGTCTAGGTGGGTAGCCTCTTGGCTCGAGTCCTGCCGGGCCCCGCCCCAGACCCCGCCCTGAGGCGGTGCTAACCCGGGCCCCGCCCCCTGGAGAGCACTTCCGGCGCAGAGGAATTCCGGGTGTGGTTCGACTGCTGGCGGGCCGGCTGTGCCCTAGCGAAGGGGGTCCCCCATGAGTGCGGCGCCCCTGGTGGGCTACAGCAGCAGCGGCTCCGAGGATGAGGCTGAGGCCGGGGCCCGGGTCCGGCCGGGGACTAGAGGCTGCAGTCGGTGAGGAGCGAGGAAGACTTTCTGGGGAGGGTGCGGGTTGGCACCCGGACCGGACCCGAGCTTTGGGGTGGTTGGGGAGGGTGCCGGGCTGCTCGCAAGGGAAGGAAAAGGGGCACCGGGGGAAAGGAGGATCCGGAGGACAGCCTTGGACAAAGCCCTGGAGTGCCCCCACCCGGCTGGGCCAAGATTAGGAGGCAGGAAACGTGGGCTCGGGTCCAGCCTCCGCCGCTGGCCCACTCGTCTCCCGACGCGCACCGCTGTACCACCCTAGGTCTGCTTCCTCATTTGGAGAGTGTTTTCCTTTATCCAGTATATATTCATTGAGCACCCTCTCTGCGCCAGGCTCGGGACTGGGGACTCAGCACTGAGCAAAACCATCCAAGTCTCCTACTTTGTGGAGCTTCAGTTCTTAATTGCCAAGCCTGGTGCATCCTGGGTGCTTTTCAAGCAGTCTCCCGGTTCATCTCACAATAGCCCTATCAGGTTGCAGTGCACTGTACAGATGAGGAAACTGAGGCCCACAGAGGCACATGACTTGCCCAAGTCCACGGAGCTAGGAAGTGTCATTCCAGCTGAGGCCTGTCCAGTTAGGGCATGTGACCTCTGAACCACATATTGCCACTTGCCCCGTTGTTAACCATGGGGACCACGTTCCCTGCTAAAGTCTGCCTCCGCGAGCCGTTGGGAGACCCCAATGAGACAGTGTTGGGGAAAGAGCTTTGTGGTTATCTAGAAGCTGCTTACAGCACCTGGTGAGAAACAGACACACAGACTCACCTGGTACAAGGGGTTACAACTTTCATTGTGTGTACAGAGGTAGAGAATGCTAAGAGGCTAAATGTACTTGATTTCTTCTTTTCTCTTGCAGGGGCCAGAGCCCCCTTCCCAGCCAGAAGTTGCCAGTACCCGACAGTGTGCTGGACATGTTCCCAGGCACCGAGGAGAGGCCTGCGGATGATAGCGCAAAACATGGGGGCCGGGTGCGCACCTTTCCCCACGAGCGGGGCAACTGGGCCACCCACGTCTATGTACCATGTGAGTAATGCGTGACAGGCACGTGGCTGACACTGACAGGTGCCCCTTATGGGAGGAAGCTGGCCCCAACAAGGAGGAAGAAGCCAGAAACCTCTGACACTGGTGGTGGGAAAGAGATTAACTCAACAGAGAGAGAACAAGTTTCAAAAACTAGGGAATTTTTCTGTTAACTTGGTTTCAGGTTTTCTGGCCTTTGTTTTTATGCTGGGATGTAGTTGATTATCAATGTTGTGATAGTTTCAAGTATACAGCAAAGTGATTCAGTTGTACATATACATGTATCTATTCTTTTTCAAATTCTTTTCCCATTTAGGTTGTTACATAACATTGAGCAGAGTTCCCTGTGCTGTACAGTTCAGTTTTGAATTCGTTACCTGAAATATTTTTTACTAACCCTGTGTATACTGTTCTCCCTGCTCATGAGGATATGACCAAGGGAGGGTCTAGGGCAGAGTGTCAAGGCCATCCCAGACTGCAGCTGTAGCTGGTACTTTATTTCAAAGAGGGCTGTCGGTGTGCTGGCCTCCAGTCCCACCCCACCCTAGCCCTAATGAGTGAGTGGCAGGCAGAAAATGCCCAGGGTTCAGAGTCTGACCTCACTCCAGTACCCACTACTCTGTGTGCCCTTTAGTAAGTTGCTGACTTCTCAGAGCCTCAGTTTCCTGATCTCTAAAATGGGGATAGTAGTAATACCTATCCTCTAGGACTTTTGTGAAGATTAAATCAGATAATCTATGTCAAGTTCTTAGCATGATACACGGAGAATGTGGTGGCTTTTACTACATTGTGTTAGATCAGGTAAACTCTTGGAACCTCCATTTCCCCATCCACAGAATGAGAATGATTCTCTATACTGCATACTCCACGGGGCACTTGAGCAAATCGAGTAAGTTATTAGTTGTGAGCAGACTATTAACCATGCAGCTCTAGTCACATGTTTGGTTAAAAAAAATGAATAATCTGTGAAAATACAGTGGTGGTCCTTGTTGCATTCTTTGTCTTTATGAACAATCAGGAGATTCTAAATGTCTGATTAAAAAAATGAACTGTTTCTGATTATGGGTTACTGTGGAGCTGTAATTATGAGCTTGATTTATGTAATGAGAGGAAGGCTGTCCAACATGTAGTGTTGTATGGAGAAAGCCAATGGAAGAACTGGTATGCCCTCATCTTTTTTAACAAATAAGATATATACGTTAGTACATGCACTGAGAAAAGGCTGGGGAAATAGGCATCACATCTGACAGCCTTTATCTCTAGGGTAGTATCTTGAAAGTGGGCTGTATGTGCCTGGGGACGGGATCAAGATGATCCATTAGAGAGAAAAGTATTAAAACCTTTTAATGTGTTTCTCTTTATCTCATCTTTTAAAATTTCTGTTGTTCCAAGTGTACATTTTATAACACACATAATTTTGCAGTGTAGCACATGTTTGTCATTTATAAATAAATACACATTTATTGTGGATATGTGGGCAAGCTTGTTTGACTAAGGGCCTGTGCAATCACAGTAGTTTGGAGACCACTGCTGTACGTGATAGGATATCAGGGGCCCCTACTTTCTCTGTCACATATTTCTTTTCTCACTTGAATACTTTTCAAAGAGCATGTATGTGTTACTTCTGTAGCCATAAATGCATATTAAAGTATTATTCGAAATACATAGACATAAGCTACTCTCAAAAGCCTTTCTCTGCCTTCTGGGCTTCATCCAGCCATGCCGCCCTGGCTAAGAGAATGGCCCACCCTCTCCACTCCTCCCCTCCAGATGAAGCCAGGGAGGAGTTCCTGGACCTGCTTGACGTGCTGCTGCCCCACGCACAGACATACGTCCCCCGGCTGGTAAGGATGGAGGCCTTCCACCTCAGCCTGTCCCAGAGCGTGGTTCTGCGCCATCACTGGATCCTCCCCTTCGTGCAGGCTCTGAAAGACCGCGTGGCCTCCTTCCAGAGGTGAGTGCCCAGTGCTTCCCTCTGCCCCTCATCTCCCTCCCCTTCAAGGCTCCTCTTCCTGTCCTGAGCTCTTGTGGGGATGGACCTGTGGAAGGCACTACCCCTTCAAGCAGGCAAACCTAAAGGTTAGCACATCGAACATCTCCCAGAGCCGCCTGCTGCGCGCTTCATCCCATGTGCCCTTGGGCGTGCCACGTAAGCTCTGGAAGCCTCCGAGCCTTACCTGTGTGCGGGTCAGGGGAGTGGTGGTGGCTCCCTCAGAGGGGGACTTGTAAGAGTGAATGAGATCACGCATACCCTCAACGTGGCGCTTGGCGAACGATCAGAGCTCACCCCCACTCTGGTTTTATCTGCCAGCCTAGGCTTCTTTTCCCTTGACTATTTCATACCTCTTCTTTCTACTAGAAATGCCCCTCCTTCGAGACTTGGCCAGATCAAAGCACTGCTCCTTCACTGAGGCTGTCCCAATTGGTATCTCCTCCAGAATTCTTCAATCCCAGGGACCCTGCTGTCCTGTGCTTGTCTATACCCCAGTGCTCGTTCCACTCATCCTCATATCCATATTCAGTCATCCCCATGTCCCATCTCCCGCTTGGAGCCCAAGTCCTGCAGGCCAGGAATGCGGCTGCTCTCTGAATTACCCCACAGCTTTTTTCCAGGTGCCTTGCTCACTATAGGCATCAAATAGGTGTTTGTTGAATGACTGAGCAGGAGAGAGAGAGCCCAGAAATCCTCCTCTGGATCCTCTGAATGTTGGTTCCAGTAGGAGCCTAAGAAGCCATCCAGGTGGTGGTTTTCTACTCCTGGTCTTATCTGCAGAGTCCTTTCTTCTGATGAGGTGTTACACAGATCCCTGATGTGTAGCTGGGTAAGAGAGATAAAAACAGAAGTCTTTTAGCCAAAGCCCCACCCTCGCAGTTCAGGAGGCCCGAGGCCCAGGAATTCCATAGAACTACTCTGCCCCATTGGAGGACTGCCCATTTTGTGTAGCCCCTACTCAGGGCCAGAGGAGGAAGGGATTTGCTCCAATTCAGTCAGTTAGCCAGAGACTCAGGACTAAAACTCATCTCTCCCCCTAATCCAGCCCCCATCCCTCTTTTTATTGAGTCATGTACGTTAGTCAGGACCCTCTTGATCGCCGGTGCCAGAAATCCAACCAAAAGTGGCTTAAACGGGGAATTTATAGGCTGGTGTAACTAAAATGTTTAGAGGTAGCACTGGCTTCATACATGGGACCGGGAGACGTCAGATGGCAGCAAGTCCTTTCCCCTTCTACATGAGAATGCTTCAGTTATCCTGCTTCTAGCTGTGTCCCTGGATAAAGGTAGAATGCCATATGTGTTCTTCGGACACGTCACTTATGGTAAAAATGACTTATGAGCACGTCGTGTCTGGGCTGGGAAGACTGTGAGTGAACTAAGCCCCTCCTGGAAAACCATGGCTTGGGCATCCCTGCATGCGGTGGTTCCCTACCTAGGCAGGTCCCTTGCTGGGACCTCTGGAAACTTTGCGCAAGGGCTATTACAAGAGGTATTGCTCCCCAGGGTGGCTGGGGTGGGTGGATTTAGCTTGTTCTCTTGCTTATTTAGGGAACAGCCCCTGGACCACTGGGTTGGCCCTCCCTGGTGCTGCCCTGCTGGTGCAGTGTTTTCTAGCCTATGTCCTGAAGGAAGCTGGGCCAGGTGGCCTCTTCAGGTTTGACTGGTTGAGCCTAAGATGACCAAGAGTGGGTAGTGTACCTTTGATTCTATGGCTGTGACTGAGGGAATGCTATGCTCTGATTGTCCAGGCCTGTCAAGTACACACCCCTGGGTGGGGGCAGGTTGACCACTCTACCAGCACAAAATGGGAGAGCAGTCCTCCTATATAAGATCACCAGGAGAAAGGGTGTTGGTTGATGTATTAGTCAGGGTTCTGCAGAGAAACAGAATCAATAAAATGTATACAGATATACATAAGAGGAGATTTGTTATAGGTATTGGCTTATGTGGTTATGGAGGCCAAGAAGTCCACTGTCTGCCATCTGCAAGGAGAGAACCAGGAAAGCCGGTGGTGTAATTCAATTTGATTCCAAAGTCCTAAAAATCAGGGGGCTGATGGTGTCAAGTCCTGGTGTGAGCCTGAAAGCCTGAGTACCAGCACGCCAGTGTCAGAGGGCAGGAGAAGATGGACGTCTCAGCTCAAGCAGAGAGGGGGAGTTTGTCCTTCCTCTGCCTTTTTGTCCTATTCAGGCCCTCAACAGATGGGATGATGCCCGCCCACCCACATTGCGGAGGGCCGTTTGCTTTACTCAGTTCACCAATTCAAATGCTAATCTTTCCAGAAACACTCTCACAGACAAACCCAAACCTAATGTTTCACCAGCTATCTGGGCATCCCTTAGCCCAGTCAAGATGACACATAAAATTAACCATCTCAAGTCCACCCCTTATCAACTTGACACTTACATGCATCTTCTTAAACCATACTTAATCTCTAAATTAAGACCACAACAAGGTCATAATTCTGCCTAACATGATACAACATCCAGTGTACATCTGAAAATGCATTAATCCCTTCCCCAGAAGAGGAGGTAATCTTCTTGAGCGATACTTTTTACTCTTCTGAAAGCCCATAACTTGAATACTATGATGTAAAATTAACAATACTTGAATACTAGTATAAAGTCACTACATATTATGGTACCTGGTAAGGGAATAAGAGAAGAAAACAAAGATATTTGCTCAACATATGTACAGGCAAACCTTGTTTATTGTTTTATTGTTTTATCGTGCTTCACATATACTGCATTTTTTACAAACTGAAGGTTTGTGGCAACTCTGCATTGAGCAAATCAGTCAGTGCCATTTTTCCAACAACAGTTGCTCACTTTGTGTCTGTCACACTTTGGTAATTCTTGCAATATTTCAAGCTTTTTCATTATTGTTATATTTGTTGTAGTGATCTGTGATCTTTGATGTTACTATTGTAATTGTTTTGGGGCGCCAGGAGCCTCACCCATATAAGAGGGCAAACTTAATTGATAAATATGTGTGTTCTGACTGCTCCACCAACCTACCATTCCCCCACATCTCTCTCCCTCCCCTTGGGCCTCCCTATTCCCTGAGATACAACAGTGTTGAAATTAATAACCCTACAGCGGCCACTAAGTATTCAGGTGAAAGAAAGAGTCACACATCTCTCACTTTAAATCAAAAGCCAAAAATGATTAAGCCTAGTGAGGAAAGGCATGTCAAAAGCAGAGGTAGGCTGAAAGCTGCTAGGTCTCTTGTCCCAGTTAGCCAGGTTGTGAATGCAAAGGAAAAGTTCTCGAACAAAATTGAAAGTGCTACTCCAGTAAACACAAGAATGATAAGAGCGTTTCGCTGGTTTGGGGAAAGTTTTAGTGGTCTGGATAGATGATCAAACCAGCCACAACATTCCCTTAGGGCAAAGCCTAATTCAGAGCAAGGCCCTAACCCTCTTCAATTCTCTGAAGGCTGAGAGAAGTGAGGAAGCTACAGAAGAAAAGTTTGGAGCTAGCAGAGGTTGGTTCATGAGGTTTAAGGAAAGAAGCCATTTCTATAACATAAAGGTGTGAGGTGAGCAGCAAGTGCTGATGTAGAAGCTGCAGCAACTTATCCAGAAGATCTAGCTGAGATAATTCATGAAGGTGGCTACACTAAACAATTGATTTTCAATATATGAAACAGCCTTCTATTGGAAGAAGATGCCATCTAGGACTTTCATAGCCAGAGAGGAGCCAGTGTCTGGCTTCACAATTTCAAAGGACAGGCTGACTCTCTCGTTAGGGGCTAATACAGCTGGTGACTTTAAATTGAAGCCAGTGCTCACTAGCTATTTCAAAAATCCTAGGGCCCTTAAGAATTATGTTAGGTCTACTCTGTTTGTGCTCTATAAATGGAACAACAAAGCCTGGATGACAGCACATCTGTTGACAGCATGGTTTACTGACTATTTTAAGCCCACTGTTGAGACCTACTGCTTAGAAAAAAAAAGATTCTTTTCAAAATATTACTGCTTATTGACAATGTCCCTGGTAACCCAAGAGCTCTGATGGAGATGTACAATGAGATCAATGTTGTTTTCATGCTGCTAACACAACATCAGTTCTGCAGCCCATGGATCAAGGAGTAATTTCAACCTTCAAGTCTTATTACTTACAAGTCTTATTATTTAAGAAATACATTTCATCAGGTTGTAGCTGCCATACATAGTGATTCCTCTGATGGATCTGAGCAGTCATTTGAAAACCTTCTGGAAAGGATTCACCATTCTAGATGCCATTAAGAACATTTGTGATTCATGGGAAGAGGTCAAAATATCAACATACACAGGAGTTTGGAAGAAGTTGATTCCAACCCTCATGGATGACTTTGAAGGTCTCAGGACTTCACTGGAGGAAGTAATTGCAGATGTGATGGAAACAGCAAGAGAGCTAGAATTAGAAGTGAAGACTCAAGATGTGACTGAATTGCTGCCATCTCGTGATAGAACTTTAACGGATGAGGAGTTGCTTCTTATGGATGAGCAAAAAGTGACTTATTGAGATGCAGTCTACTCCTGGTAAAGATGTTGTGAAGATTGTTGAAATGACAACAAAAGATTTAGAATATTCCATAAACTTAGTTGATAAAGCAGTGGCAGGTTTGAGAGGATTGACTCCAATTTTGAAAGAAGTTCTGTGGGTAAAATGCTATCAAACAGCATTGCATTGCACGCTACAGAGAAATTATTCATAAAAGGAAGAATTGATCGATGTGGCAAACTTCATCGTTTGCCTTATTGTTGTCTCATTTTAAGGAATTGCCATCGCCACCCAGTCTTCAGCAACCACCTCCTTGACCAGTCAGCAGCCACCTACATCGAGGCCAGATCCTCCACCGGCAAAGAGATGATGACTCACTGAAGGCTCAAATGATGGTTAGCATTTTTTAGCAATAAAGTATTTTAAAAATAAGGTATGTACATTGTTTCTTTAGACATAATGGCTTTGTTTAACAGACTACAGTGTAGTATAAACGTAACTTTTATATGCACTGGGAAGCCAGAAAATTGTGTGACTCACTTTACTGTGGGGCTCTGGATCCAAATCTGCAGTGTCCCTGAGGTGTCCTGTGTATATATACTTGCAGACATATTCATAACAAAGTAAGGAGGAAATACTCATGACGATTATAGCCTTCATTTTTGTAACTGGTCACATGGTCGTAGCTGATATTTACAACTACCTTCCACTACCTAGCTCTCTGTTCCCTTTGCCTTCAGCAAGCACCTCAGATGGTTGTGGTTCTTTACCTGGGGTAGTGACCCAAATCTTCATTCCCGAAGGGTCTGGGCCATTACTAATCCTGCCTGGATTAGGTTGTTGTAGTTTTCCTTGGCCTGAAATCAGTAGGCATGGCAATACTAAAAGATGCCCTAACAGATCTCGTGTATTCCAGATATCCTCTTCCATATCTCCATTGTGGAGTAGTAGTCCAGTTTCCCCTCGGTAGTCAGGATCAGTGACCCCAGCCAACACTGTAACTCTTTTGTCTGTTGATTCAAAGGTACAGGAGCCCAGAGTGGCAAGTCTCAACTTCCCGTTCAGTGGAAGCACTACATCTCCTGGTGGAAGCATTCCTCCCTCGGAACTAAGACCTCTGGGCTAGCAGAGCATGAACTTGTGGGAACAGGAAGCAAACATTTTGCTGATGCATCACTAGGGCAATGGTGAGTGGTACCACTCCCATTCCTACCCCTTGATTCCTGGCCCCGTGAGTCCTGGCTACAAGGGAAACAGCACCATATGTGGCTGCTGATTCAGAGCAGATACAGATACTGTGGGTTCTGTTCCAGAATAAAATAGAGTGAATGACACAAAGTTTTTGGTTGCCCAATGCACATAAAAGTTATGTCTATAAAGTGTGCGATAGCATTATGTTTTAAAAAAAAAGGTACATACCTTATTTCAAAACTACTTTATCCTTCATCTCAAAGGGGCTATCTCGATATGCCCCACACCATTGGACCTCTAGACATTTCACTGAGGTAGAAGGCCCTGAATTTTAGTTGGATTTATTTCCCACCCTCTGACACACAAATGTCTTAGCAATAAGTCTAGAGTAGTTGCCACTTCCTGCTCATTAGGTCCAGTCAACATAATGTCATCAATGTACTGGAGCAGTGTGATATCTAGTGGAAGGGAAAGGTGAGCAAACCCTCTACAGTAAATTAGGACGTAGGGCTGGAGGGTGCTGTAGCCCTGAGGTAGGACAGTGAAGGTGCATTGCTGGCCTGAAAGTAAACTGCTTCTGGTCCTTCTGGACAGGGATGGAGGGAAGTGTATTTGCCAGATCAGTAGCTGCAAACCAGGAACCAGGGGATGTGTTAATTTGCTCAAGTAATGAAACCACATCTGGAAGAGCAGCTGCAATTGGAGCCACCACCTCCAGTCATCGGTTTATGATCATCCACTGTCACCTTCCACGATCCATCTGTCTTCCGCCCAGACAGAACGGGGGTTGAATGGAGATGTGGGAGTCAGCACCCCTGCATCTCTCAAGTCCTCGATGGTGGCACTGGTCTCTGTAGTCCCTCCAGGGATGCGGTATTGCTTTTCATTTACCATTTTCCTAGGTAGAGGCAGCCCTAATAGCTTGCACTTGGCCTTTCCCACCGTAATAGCCCTCACTCCACAGGTGAGAGAATCAGTGTGGGGATTCTGCCTGTTGCTGAGTATGTCTATTCCAATTATACATTCTGGAACTGCAGAAATAACCACAGGATGGGTTTGGGGACCCACTGGGCCCACTGTGAGATGGACCTAAGCTACAACTCCACGGATCACCTGACCTCCATTAACCCCTACTCCGAGTGATGAGCCACAGTGACATTTTGGGTCTCCAGGAGTTCGTGTCATTTCAGAGCCAATGTCCAGTAGTTCCCCAAAGGCTGGTTATTTCCTTTTCCCCAGTGCGCAGTTACCCTGGTAAAATGGCATAGGTCCCTTTGGGGAAGGCTGGGAGAAAGATTAACAGTATAAATTTGTAGTAATGTACCGGGGTTCTTCCTCAAGGGGACCCGACTTCCCCTTCATTCAAGCGGCTCTGGTTCTGTGAACTGGCTCCATTCTGGGAATTGAGGGGCCATGACTCTGCCTTTATGATTCAAGTTAGACTTTGGCTCACCTGGCCTAGAACTTTCTTGCTTATACAGATGAAGGAAGAATTTGGTAGGCTTCCTATCTATGTCACTTCTAGAAACAGCCAACGCCCTGTGTCTGCACAAGTCAGACTTCTGATTGCTGCTTCGACTCTGCTGTCCTTTACGGTAACTACGCCCACCTTGCGGGCCAGGTATTTCCAGTTCACTCACTGTGGGCCACCTTTTGGTCCATGTTTCAGCCATCTAACCAAACAGACCCCCTTCCAACTCCCGGAGCTGCAGCATTACATGCCGAATCTCTGCTTAGCAAGCCCATATCCGTAAATTCAGCCTGATCCCACTTTTGATCCTTCTGTCATTGCCCCACACCTTTTTTTTTTTTTTTTTAATATTCACTTATTTTTATTTTTGGCCGTGTCGGGTCTTAGTCGCGGCATGTGGGATCTTTCATTGTGGCGTACAGGCTTCTCTCTAGTTGTGGCACGCAGGTTCCAGAGCATGTGGGCTCTGTAGTTGCGGCACACAGGCTCTCTAGTTGTGGCGTGCAGGTTCAGTAGCCCTGCGGCATGTGGGATCCTAATTTCCTGACCAGGGATTGAACCCGTGTCCCCTGCACTGGAAGGCAGATTCTTAAGCACTGGACCACCAGGGAAGTCCCACCCCACACCTTTAATATCCATTCCCACACACGTTCCCTGGATTTCTGCTTGTATATGTTAGGAAACTCAAATAGTTCTGGAGTGTAGCGCATCTCCTCGTGGGCCACACATGGTACCTCACCTTTAGGGGGTCTACTGGGACTTGAGTCTAGTTATAGGTCTAGAAGCAAAGAGGGGTGTTGGAGGTGGGTCCTGAGGGGACTCAGCATTTTCTTGGCATCTGCCTCAGGGGAGGCCATTACCATTTCCTCAGGCAATGCAGGGTTAATCCCCTCAGAGGTGGGAAGGTCCATAACACTAGGTGGGGGAGGACACTTCCACTGCGTCCGAGAAGACTCATCAGAATTTAAGGGCTCGGGCATCCCTGGTGGTGCAGTGGTTAAGAATCCGCCTGCAAATGCAGGGGACACAGGTTCGATCCCTGGCCCGGGAATATCCCACATGCCACGGAGCAACTAAGCCTGTGTGCCACAACTATTGAGCCTGTGCTCTAGAGCCCGCGAGCCACAACTACTGAGCCCACGAGCCACAACTACTGAAGCCTGCACACCTAGAGCCCATGCTCTGCAACAGGAGAGGCCACCGCAATGAGAAGCCCACGCACCGCAAGGAAGAGTAGCCCCCACTCGCCGCAACTAGAGAAAGCCCGCACGCAGCAACGAAGACCCAATGCAGCCAAAAATAAAATAAAAAAAAGAATTTAAGGGCTCAATGCGCCGAGCTTCATCAGAGTTTCCCACAAGTCCCCCATACTTTCCCAATCAGTGCCCTCACTTTAACTGTAAAATCCTGCTTGTTCGAGGAGTTCAACTTGTGTTATAATTCAGCAAATGGCAGGATAAGGTTCCAGATTTGATTTCCAGCAATTTCAGCCCTGCAGCTACAGGGAATCAAGGTCTCCTTTAGGGGACACCGAGAAGCTCTTAGGTCCTTTATGCTTGAGTTGGGAACTCAATACCCTGAGCTCATCTTTTTATTTCACCACTTTGTCCAGCAACATTAGGAGCAGCCAACCAACATCATTATATTCCTTAGTTTTCCAGAAATGTTCGCAAGTAGCATATAGGGTCACTCACCTCGCTTCTAATAAATGGCTGATGAGGGGTATCAAGGAAGACATTTTCACATCTCCAGAAACAGTCCGTGCGGCCTATCAGTGCTCTCTTTACTACTGGAGATACAGTCATGAGCGTCTTTGAATCGAATCAGATTAGAGAGCGAATTCCAGAAACCCCAGAACCAATTCAGAAAACTCATCCTTAAAATTCTGTTCCTGTAGAACCATTCTCAGTGCCAAAATCTGTATTAGGGTTCCCCAGAAAAACAGAACCAATAGGATAGAGAGATAGAGATAGGAGGAAATGCACTGTAGGAATTCGTTCTCGCAGTTATGAAGGTCAGGTCCCAAATCTGCCAACAGCAAGCTGGGGAACCAGGAAAGCCAGTGGTGTCATTCAGCATGAGTCCAAAGGCCTGAGCACCGGGGAATGGTGGGGGGACCGGTGGCGTAATGACTGATATGAGCCTGAAAGCCTAAGAACCAAGGACCCCAACGTCCAAGGGCAGGAGAAGCTGGACGTCTCAGTTCCAGCAGAGAGAGCGTGCATTTGCCCTTCCTCTGCCTTTCTGTTCTATTCTGAAAAGTTGGATGATGCCCACCCACACTGGAGAGGGCAATTTGCTCCACCCAGTTCACCAATTCAAATGCTAATCTTTCTGGAAACACCCTCACAGACACCCCAGAAATAATGTTTTACCAGCTATCTGGGCAACCCTTAGTCCAGTCAAGTCAATGCATAAAATTACCCTTTATAGTTGGGTGCAAATGCCCCATGTCCACCCCAGAACATCTGGCAGGTACTCTACACTTAACCGAGCTCCTGCTGCTTCTATCACCCCTTACATTTTCCCCAGAAGGGATGCACTAGGAGGCTGAAGGCTGACAGGAAAGCCAAAAGTTAACTGACTTCGTGCCCTTGGACAAGTTGTGAGATTCTAACCGGCAAGCTGGGTTGTTGCGTTCCCTCAGATGAGGGTGAGAGCTTGGCCTGGAGCCTGTAAAATGAGTGTTTCCTGTAATGGGATTGGCCAAGTTGGTCCAGGAAGGGCAGGAAGCCAGTTTGTTCCCTGAGATCACCTAGTGACCCAGAGAACACAGGCGGAACCAGCCAGAGTCAGAGCACTTACCTGGCAGAATTTGATGGTCCCCGTGTAACTGATCTGAGAGGTGGGTGACAGTATTTCTGCGGCAATCTCACACCAACAGAGACCCCTCACTAAAGCATCGGGTGAGAGCAAGGGCTCTGGAATCAGGCAGATTGAAGTTCAAATTGTGACTCACCAAATTCAGCCTCACCAAGCTTCAGTTTCTGTGTCTGTAAAATGGGTGTCATTATAGCGCCTGCCTCACAGAGTTGTATGAGGATCCCCAAGCTCAGCCCAGGCACACAGAAATGTTCTTGTTGTTGCTTAGACTGGATCAGAATTGTCTTGTTAACCTGCAAAGAAAAAAACTGGCTCTTAAGTGATCTATTATCACCGGCCTGATGACTTTCTCAGTTCCCATCAGTAAAGCTGGGGTAGTCGCAAATCGCTTATTGGAATCAGCTGCTCTTAATAAAGTAAAATTTTTGCTAGCATCTGAGTGAAGCTATGTGTTACCTGGACTGGGTGATTATTTAAGGTCTTGCCCAGCTCTAATATTTTAGGGTTCAGTTTACCACCTGTATAATAGGGTGACAATACTAAATGTGAAATGAGTTAACTGAATTTTCAAAGTAATGTTTTTGAATATACACTATTTTCTCTGATTTTTTTCCTTATTATTCTTCCTGAAATGTGGTCCTTCTTCTAAATTTCAGATTCTGCTTTACTGCCGACCGGGTAAAGATTTACACCAATCAAGAGAAGACCAGGTGGGTCTCCCCACGCTGCCCCCAGTTGTTTCCAGAAGAGGATTCTTTGGAGTAAAGACTTGAGGAGGTCTTGTCTCTCTCAATTTTTTGTTTGTTTGTGTTCTAACCGGCCCTATGACTACAAGGGCAGCTGTTCCCAAATCTGAACCTTTCATTAAGAAAAATAACTCAGGGAGCATGGGAGGAGGAGCAGAGGGAGAGAACAACATCTTGGTTTAGTGGGAAAAGTCTGAGACTCAAAGAAAACCTGGGTGCCTGACCAGCTCTGCCTGCAATTTAATGTTGAGCTCATACCTTCAACCTCTGTGACCTGCCATTTCCAAGCTGTCACATCATCCATCACATCCTGTCCCATTTCCAAGCATCCATCATTGGGCAGTTGTGAAGCTTAGATGAACGAAACAAGTTTTATAAAAGCATTCAAGGATGAGATGAACATACGAAGAAACTTGTTATCAAGGCTTCAAAGCAAGCCTCCCTGTCAGATCCACTCACTGGATCTGAGCTGCCTTCTGCTCTCAGCACCTCTAAGAAGAGTACTCATTCACTCATTCATTCATTCATTCTATGCTTCACAAATTCGTTAAACACCTCCCGGTGCCAGGCACCTGCTGTACACTACAGATCAGCAGTGAAAAGGTCGGCATAGTCCCTGCTCTGTGGGATCTCACATTCTGCAGGGGAGACAGACAATAAACAAGGAAATGAGATCATTAATAACTATCGTGTGAAACGATAGTTTGGAGCAAGTGGCCGAGGAGGGCGCTAGCAAGGTGGCATTTGCTGGCGACATGAGGACAAGAAGGAATCAGCCTTGGGAAGAGCTACCCCAGGAGCCTCCAAGCAGAGGACACAGCCAAGGAGGTGACTGAGGAGGAAAGAGCCTGGCATGTTGGAGGAGGCCAGTGAAGCAGAACTTGGGGAGCACGTGGGAGAGTGTGAGGAGATGAGTCAGGCAGGGTTAACTCCCACAGGGCCTTCAAGGTCAAGGTCAGGAGTTTGGATTTTCAGTGTCACAGAAGCCATCGGAGGGATCTAAGCAGAGATGTGATCCAATTTACATTTGTAAACGTCAGTCCGGCCCTATCGTGTCTGTGTCTGTGGCTCCTGAGTGGAAGAAAGATCTAAAAGAGCGAGGTTGGATGCAGGGAGAGCAGACAGGAGACAGGTGAGGCGCCAGTGGTGGCCCGGCTTAGGGCGATGGCAGTGGAAGAGCCAAGAAGCAGACACATTCCCGATATACTGGAGGTAGAATCAACTGGAATTACCAGTGGGTTGGGTCTGTGCACAGTAAGGGGAAGAATTAAAGTAGATTCCTGGGTTTGGGGTTTGAACAGCTAGGTAAATATAGATAAATGGCCCCATTGTCTGTGATGGGAAACACCTGTGGGAGGAAGATGAGAAGTTCTGCTTTGTACCTGGTGGATTTTGCTGCCTATGAGACCCCCGGGTGGAAGAGTCGCATACACAAGTGGGTATACAAGAGAGGTGCCAGCCGGAGATAGAAATGTGGGATCCATCGGGCTGTGTGATACTGAAAGCAGGGCTGGGTGAGATCAGCCTGCGGGGGAGGGCGGGCGACGCCGGCTCTGCAGCCCCTGACCATTTAGAGGCTGGAAAGAAGAGAGGGCGGCAGAGGAGACAGAACAGGAGGCCAGAGGTGGGGTCACACCAGGACGGTGTGGTGGGTGGTCTCTTGGAAGCCAAGAGAAAAAAGGGCTTCAGGGAGGGAGGAGTCAAGTATCTGAGTTCAGGAACACAGGTGGTTGGCAGCTTTGACGGAGCGGTTTCTGGCCGAGTGGACTGAAGATGGGAGGGGAGGCGTGAGAGACTGCCGAGGGAGACAAATCGTCGGAACGCACGTTTTACCGGGCATGGGATGGGGGCTGGCTGAGGGTGTGGGTTCAAGGGAGGGGTTTTAGAGATTAGCGGGAGGGAGAGGGAAGTGCCAGAGAGGGAAGCCCTGGAGAAAGAGTCCGACATGGGAGCTATGCCGGCAAGCCTGGGCGCCACAGCCTGGGGGTCCGTAGCCTTGGCAGCAGCAGATGAAGACGGCCCTGCTAGGGTTCTTAGACCCTGGGGAAGGAGGGGGGATGTGCGATTAGAGCCGGGGAAGGATGGAGAGCCAGCTCGGAGAGCAGGGAAACGAACTGAACTCACGGCCCAGAACTCCCTCCCTCCCGGCTTTCCTCTGTCGCATCCTCTGCCCCCTCGAGGATGGTTTCTGTTCTCAGGCTGCGTCTCATGCCCGTGTGGTCTCCACCTCTGTCTCCCCCCAGGACCTTTGTTGGACTCGAGGTCACCTCGGGACACACCCAATTCCTGGACCTGGTTTCAGAGGTGGACAGGGTCATGGAGGAGTTTGACCTCACCACTTTCTACCAGGTAATCAGCAGCGTCTTTTTCTCTCCACTGACCCATCTCTAATAGGAATAAAATCAGTCTTAAAGAAACCCTTGTTAGAGGCAAACCGAAGAGCCCTCCAGAACTTGCCCGTGGGAAGTGTCCATTCGGCCAGCCCTCAGAGGACACACAACCCTGGGGAGTTGAGGGCTGAGGTGTCTTCAATATGCATGAGATTTATGTCTTCTACTCTATAATGTATCCATGTTTATTTTTATATTTTTTAGGAAGTAGTTTTCCCCAATACCTTTTAGTCACGTTGACACTCCAGGTAGAGTTGCAGCTTCGCATACCTTCCTCCAGGGGAACTGGAACTCCAAGTCGAATATCAGGGCTTTAAAGGGCCAGTGGTTTTGCTTGATATATTCTTTTAAAATCATGCTGAGAGATATAAGTATGAATTTGAGTGGAGATAATTTATAGTTTTATAATTTTAGACATTTTGGTTTTTGTTCATCTTAAAAAGTGTGTCATCTCTTGAAATATTTTTGATCAGAAAACATTAAATCTGGGACATGTGTTCTCTTCCACATCCCAGAGGTAATGACTCTCTATGATATGTAAAGGAGAGCCTCTGAGAGCAGGACTGTCTTAGCTCAGGCGGCCATAACCAGATACCATAGACTGGATGACTTACACAATAGAAATTTACTTTCTCGGGCTTCCCTGGTGGCACAGTGGTTAAGAACCCACCTGCCAATGCAGGGGACACGGGTTCAAGCCCTGGTCCGGGAAGATCCCACATGCCGCGGAGCAACAGAGCCCAAGCGCCACGGCCATTGAAGCCCGCGCGCTTAGAGCCTGTGCTCTGCAACAAGAGAAGCCACCGTGATAAGAAGCCCGCGCACTGCAACGAAGGGTAGCCCCCACTTGCTGCAACTAGAGAAAGCCCACGCACAGCAACAAAGACCCAATGCAACCAAAACTAACTAAATAAATGATTTTAAAAAAGAAATTTACTTTCTCACAGTTCTGGAGGCTAGACGTCCAAAACCAAGGTGCCATCACGGTCAGTTTCTGTTGAGGCCTCTCTTCCTGGCTTGTAGATGGCCATCTTCTCACTGTGTCCTCACATGATGGAAAGAGAGAGGAAGCAGCTCTCTGCCGTCTCTTATATGGGCACTAATCCCATCATGAGGGCCCCACCTTTAGATGAAGGCCCCACCTTCATCTAAACCTAATTACCTCCCAAAGGCCCCTTCTCCAAATACCATCACAGTGGGGGTTAAGGCTTCAGTATATGAATTTGGGGGCACAATTCAGTCCATAGCAGGGACCAACCCAGGGCTATTTTATCTGTCTGTGGAGGGTGCTTGGGATCAACACTGAGGCTCTAGTCTCCCATGAATCAGGTCAGGGATGCAGCAGGGATACCGTGACAACTCTGTCACAGAGCTGCTTTGATGTCTGAGCCTGCCACGACCTCCAGGTGACCGCCTGTCTCCCCGCCGTTCCTCCGCAGGACCCCTCATTCCACATCAGTCTGGCCTGGTGCGTGGGTGATGCACATCTCCAGCTGGAAGGGCAGTGCCTACGGGAACTACAGGTGAATTCCCAGGGCAGGAGCATGGAAGGTGCTGAACCCCAGAAGCTGGGGGATGGAGGGGAGCTGACAGGTGCTGAGGATTAGGCATGCAAACCTGAATCCTGGCATAGGAAATAACTGGCATAGCCAGAGACCCCAACCCCTTACCCTGCGCCTCACAGTGCAGTCCCAGACCACCTGGGAACTTATTAGCAGCACTCACTCAAGCCCCAATCCACATCTAAGAAATCAGAACTTTAACAAGATCGCTAGGGATTTGTGTGCACGTTAAAATTTGAGAAGCCCTGCCCTAGAACACTAATCTGAAAGGATGCTGCAGGCCTCCCCTGAAGTCCTAGACCCTCACCCAGAGGTCAAAGGCTTGGGTGCTCCCAGGGGCCTGGCAGGTGCTGGAAATGAGTGAAACGCACCAGGTCTAAAGAACGTCCACCCTCACAGCCTTTCTCGTATTGTGATAAGTAGGGGATATCTTTCACTTTCCCGCCACTGCCCTCAGAGGAGCCGGTACTCACCCCTGGTGCAGGCAGCTGCCATGCAGGAATGTGGACCTCGTGTTGCAAGCACTTCTGTTTCTCAAGAGAAGCCAGAAATCTTAATTTTTGTGGGTAATCCCTCTATTTTCAAATGTTGGCAACCAATATGTATTTTTTAAGAAAACATTTTGCGAGCCAGACAACACATGTGCAGACGGGACACAGCCCGTGGGCCATCATCAAGTAGCCACATCTGCTCTTGGTCTAATCATTCTGGAGGCAGCAAGGAGCTCCGGTCTCAGGCTCCAGTAGACCCAGGTCCCAAGCCTGGTTTTATTGGATTCTGTGGTCCAGGGCTCTGAGCATCCATTTCCTTATCTGCAAAGTTGGGATGCTAGGACTGACCTCACAAGACTGCAGAGCTGATTAGACAAGGTAACCTGGAGAGCCTGGCGCCTGCGTGGCCCTCAGCCTCCCCTGAGCAGGCCTAACCTCTGAAGGATTTCAGTAGGCTGGCTTTGTTTGCAGTGCCCTCTGGGTCCCTGATTCCCCTTAACGTGATGGTCCTCTCCTGGTTTAAGGAAATCGTGGGTGAGTTTGAAGACTCTGAGACGTTGCTGCGTGCGCACGCCGAGCAGATCCGCTGCAAGTCTGGGAACAAATTCTTCTCGATGCCTCTGAAGTGAGCACCAGAGGCCCTCGTTGTCCTGGGCCCCGCCCTCTGCAGCCAGGCAGAGATGGAGGAACCCACTCAGACCGATGGGGATGCTGCCAGTCCCACCACTGGGAGGCCCGGCCAAATGTGCAGCCGCTCCTGGCCCTCCCCGGGAGCTGGTTCTCTTTTGGCCCTTTTGGGGTTGCAGGTTGGGTGCTGCTGCGTTGCGATCATCCCCAGAAATCACCAGTAGAGGGCAGCCAGGGCTTCCTAGTTCTAGGTCTGTGGTGGTTATGCCTAAAACAAGACACAACAAAAGATGGGGGGTCACCTGGTGAGCCAACCCAGACTCAGCCTGAATCCCCACTGTAGTCCCTCCAACAAATGGCCCTTCCCCACAGCCCTGTGTGCTGTCTGCATTTTGATGCCATTGGCCCCAGATGAAGAGTTTTGTAAGCCATCATACCCTGGCTCATCTCTGCTCAAGCCTGACATAGCGTGCTTCCACGGGCCTGTCATCCTCCCTCCTTGACACGGTGTCGCTTTTATTTATTTGTTTGTAGTCTCACCCCCTCCTATGCCAGCAGAGGCCATTTCAGGGCCAAGGCCCAGGGTGCTAATTTGTGGTTTAGCATCAGTTTTCTCCATTCCTTCCTCCCACTCACCCCCAGCCAGGTGCCTGGGGAGACTTGAGCAGATGTTTCATCTTGGCCTGACTGGTGGCTTTAAGCCAGGCCTCCAATGCTCTGTGACCTCTGGCTTCCCATCAGCTTCCCAAAGAAGCAGAGAGGAGCCTTCACCAGGCAGAGTTCTCTTTCTGCTGCCTCCAGCTGCCTGCTGTGGCCTGCGGGCATCCCCAGGGGCTGCAGAGGAAAGGCCAGGGGCTGCACAGGGGTTTTGTTTTTCTTCGAGCCCTCTCGGGGAGCAAAGGACCAGTGCTCTCCAGTTGCCATCTGATTTCTAGTGATGGAGGAAGAGACACTTTGATGTTTTAGTTTAAAATTAGGTTCAGCAAATAAAAATTGCAATTTTTATTCTGGATTTTGTTTTGGACCACTTCTTTTCAACTAGGTGCAAAGATGACTTTCCTCTGCCCCCATCTTCCCCAGCCTGCTTCACAGTTTGGCGGTGCTCTCGGGAGTCTCTGTTACGACGTCTAAGGTGGCTGGGAGAGGCCTTAGCGATGCCTCAGTACAGGGTGCCTCAGTACAAGGGGGGTCACCTGGCCTGCCAGGCCTGCTGGCCAGAGGGTCGCACACACCGCACCTAGACCAGGGCGTAAGCACAGACATTTAGACGCGATCCTGCTATAACACTTCTGAGTCCTTTCTAGGACCCTCTCAGCTGTTCCTCCCAAGAACCCATGAAAAGTAAACTGGGTTGGAATGATTATTCTGCTTTTCCAGAAAAGCAGGTTCCATGACTTGCCTGGGGTCACATGAGAAGTCAGGTAAGGCCCTAACCTCAATGCTGCCCTTTGCAGCCTGCCAGGCCTGCTCTCCCTACACCACCCTGAGCCCCCAAGGGAAAGATGTGGGGAGAGGGGCCTGTGGCTCTGGCCCCCACTGTGCCTCCCGTCTGCGCTTCCTGAGGCCAGCTCCCCATCGCCATGCTGAGAGACCCAGGAGATCACACTCTGTGCCCTTCTTCCCCAAGCCCTCTGCATTGAGCTGCTGATTCAACTAGGACTGGCCAGTCAGTTCTTCTGGCTTTTGTGGTCACGCGGGCTGGAGAGGGAGAAGCCGGCCATCCTTCCTGGCAAATCTGTGCAGCCAGCACTTACTGGCACCTGCTCTGTGCCAGTCCCTGACCTGGGCAGTTGGGTGAATCAGACTCCTCCGGCCCTCTGGATACTCGCAGTGATGCAGGGGGATGGTGGTAGAAGACAGGGTGCAGAGAAGAATCCCCATCCCCAACCTTCACACTTCTCAGACTGGGAGATACAAGCAAAGCCACCCAAATTCCTACAGGTTCCAACCTCAGGATGGAGGCAAGCCTCCAACAAGGCGGGTTCTGTGGGCACGGACCACCTGATCTTCCTCATCAGGGACATGGAGCCTCCATCTCGGGCACTCGCTCTTCCTGGGAGGGGGCCCCATGTCATGTAGCATCACCATTAACAAACCCAGGAGGACAGACTGGCCGGCCGGTCCCCGGGGGGAAGATGTGGCACGGATGGAATTAGAGTACAGCGACTTTGATAAATGGGCCAAGATCAATAACCGGCTCTTCAAGAGAGGATGGAAGGTGGTGATAGAGGAAGGAAGCAGGAGATCCCCCAAGCGGGGAGGGGCAGCAGGCGGCAGGGCTTGGCGGGCACCCAGACACTGAGAGTGCAGCTGGAGAGGGTGCGTTCACGGGCGCCGCGCTGACAGTGCAAGAGCAGCTGGGGCTCTTCCATAAGAGGAGATGTGCTCCGGAGACAGGAGGCAAGACCAGAGCAGGCTGGGGTCCACCCCTCGGCAGGCTGGCTCGGAATAAAGACACGCTCTCGAGGGGGATTTTATCACACCAGGGAGGGTGCAAAATCAACACATCTAGCCTCGGTGTCCTCAGATGTTCCCCGCAGGGCAGAGAAATCATCATCTCTCGGCCTGTTTGGCCCTTTTCCACCTGGCACTCTCCCTTCTCTCCACACGCCTCTCCAGACCACCCCAGCTTTGTTTCCAAGGAAGCGGGAAATTACCTCGGCTTGTTTGTTTATTCCCTGTCTTGGTACCAGAAGCCCAGGGGGCCCGCAGGGGGCGCCAGGGGTGGGGGTGGGGTCTCTGGGCCTGGCTCCAGCCCACAGTGCCTTTCCTTTCCTGAGCGAGGGATCTCAGTCTCTACCTGAGCCAAAAGCTGCCTTTAACAAATGAGGAGGCTAACCCAAAGAAGGGAGATAACTTGCTCAAGGTTGCCCAGTAAGTAAATTCGTGCTGGGCAGGAACCCCTGGCCTGGCTTCGGATCCAGAGCTGTTTGTATAACCTCTCACACCACAGCAGGGTCTCAGAATGAAACTGTGCTGTGAAATGAGGTGTCTGGGCTTTAATTCAAAAGACTCCAGGAAAAAAAGCGGGGAGGTTAGGGGCTAGATGAAAAGATAGAGGCGAGGTGGGGGTTGTGGTTTAAAGCTGGGTAACTGAGGATACATTCAGTTAGATATACATATATATAACTGAATCACTCTCCCCCTATTGCAATAGTCTTTCTGAATAAAATATCTCTTTACTACTTTAACCTCTGTCCAGCTCTAGTTCTCTTGAACAGTTTTTGGTGCCATGATTCAGATCTGGATCAGAACCACCACTGAATCCTCAGATGCGACAGCCAGGCCTCACAGGGTACACCTACCTACACGTTTTGTCTCCGGTCTGCTTGCTGGTTTGGGGATCCAGTGGTGAGGCTGACTCCAAAACCCAGTGCTCTGGATAAATGTCCATTGACGCGGAATGAGGACAGATCTTGTTTCTTAGGACTCAGAGTATACTCTAGAAGCTGGGTTAGAGCCCTAGACAAGCCAAAGCCAGGCTAGAGTCCTGGGTTTCTCTGTAACAAGCTAGGTCAGAGTCCTAGGCTTTTCTGTTGGTACGAGGCTGGTCCCTGTAAGGGACAGGCTGGGTTAGAATCCCATGTTTTTCTGTTCGTACGTGTAAAGGCACTATTAGTCAAGAACATGGGGGCTTCTTAATCACCGGGAACTCTCCTCAGACTCCTGCTGGCCACATGCTTCTGCGGCCCTAGTACTGTCTGCTTTTGTTGGCAAAACTTGACCACAAACTCTCTTAAGCTAACACAGCCCCTCTAGGGCTCCTGGGATCTGCTCAAATTAATCCACCTAAGGGGAAGCCCTAGGGCAAAAGGGAACTAAAATTTCTGATGCACAGTGGTCCACTTTCTTCACTTGGTATAAAGAAGCCGAAAACAGCTAAATGATTCAAACCTCGTTCAAACTATTGAAGTTCTTAAATAATGTCTTCAGAAAATGTTTTCTGGGACTTCCCTGGCAGCGTGGTGGTTAAGACTCTGCGCTCCCAATGCAGGGGGCCCAGGTTCGATCCCTGGTAGGGGAACTAGATCCCACATGCATGCCACAACTAAGAGTTTACATGCCACAACTAAGGAGCCCGCCTGCCTGCCACAACTAAGGAGTCTGCAAGCCACAACTAAAGAAGCCCGCCTGCCGCAACTAAGACCCAGCGCAACCAAATAAATAAATATTTAAAAAGAAAATGTTTTCTGACCCAGGAAACCTAGACACCTTCATAGTGCCCCGGAATTCCCCTCCCAGCTCTCCATGATATCTGTCCCTCTCTCCCAGAACGTCCTTCACCAGCGGCACCCCAGCCCCTCAACTCCCTGAAACTGTAAGGTTCTCCAGATCCCCACCTCTTGTAGATGAAGCTCAGGGTGTGGTTGTTACCCATTCTCAAGGGAGGCAAACAGAAAAGAGAACATTTAAACCTTGGTCTCTCTCAGAATTACATGCCATCATCAAGAAATTTCCTGGACTTCCCTGGTGGTCCAATGGTTAAGAATCCACCTTCCACGGGCTTCCCTGGTGGCGCAGTGGTTGAGAGTCTGCCTGCCGAAGCAGGGGACACGGGTTCGTGCCCCGGTCCGGGAGGATCCCACATGCCGCGGAGCGGCTGGGCCCGTGAGCCATGGCCGCTGATCCTGCGCATCCGGAGCCTGTGCTCCGCAACGGGAGAGGCCACAACAGTGAGAGGCCCGCGTACCACAAAAAAAAAAAAAGAATCCACCTTCCAATGCAGGGGACGTGGGTTCGATCTCTGGTTGGGGAACTAAGATCCCACATGCCGCGGGACAACTAAGCCCATGTGCTCTAGAGCCCGCATGCCACAACTAGAGAGCCCATGTGCCGCAACTACCGAGCCCACGTGTTCTGAAGCCCGCGCACTGCAACTACTGAACCTGTAGAGAGAAGCCCACAACTAGAGAGAAGCCCGGGCGCCACCATGAAGAACCCGCGTACTTCAAGGAATGATCCT